TTACCAACGTGTCAGTTCAACAAACATTGACTCAAATCAAGACCCTGATAACAAAGTTTCTTTTTATGAGAGGGAAAGTGCAGGTTGCTTCTTTTTCAAAAATAACCCAACAGTTCCTTTTATCTCTACAGCTTCAGATATCAATATATCAACCTGCACAAAGTCCGTGCTACATCACAGGTTTGGCGAGGGCCAACTGGCTTGTTTAAATTAGTTTGCATTGTGAATCTGGATCTTTTTTCTGGTTAGGGATCGGGAAGAAGTTTGATGCAGTCCACATTTAAGGGTGAGCCTACCTGATTTGCACTTTCTGAAACCATCCATGAACTGAAACACAGCCATCATTTGAAATTTGCACTTCTCTGAATTTTGCCAGGCAGTTCTCTGGCCAGGTAGTGTGTACAAAAAAGGCTACCTTCTCACAGGAGCAGTCCTTTGGTATTCCACTAGTTTTCAGGCTTTCTGTATTCAGGAAGCCATTTCTGTGTTAACTGCTCTGCCATGGCAGTCCTGCAAAACCGCAGTCCATTATAGCCAATTCTGGGTCACCTTCTGGACCCCAGTCAGTTGATATAGCTAGGCATATTGGACATTATTGTTGTATTGTGATAACTAAAAGTACAGCCTGGAACACACTGTTACATTTTCAGAGAAAATTGGAAGTGGTGTACGAAGTGCTTTTCAGGGAAACTTGTCCATCATTACTGCTCTCATGGAGAAACTCCTGACATTATTCCAAGGAAATCAAAGGTTCCATTGAATACAATTGGAAAGTGCCTATCTGCAGACCAGAAAACAGTGTCTGGAGAGGGCCACTTCTGCACTAAAAAAAGAGGAAACATGTTTACATAAAATGTGAATATGCTAAATTATATGTACAATTGCAAAATTAAAAATAATTACCATAATTCCAGTGGAAATGCAATACATTTCACCATAGTGACAAAGACTGTGACCAGGTGACATGCACCTGCTGCCCATGTATTGTGCTGATAGACAACTTCAAGACGTCTACTTTCGCTTCTTGTTGTTCTTTAACTTTAAAATGTATTTGGACTGGGCAATGCTTCAGAGGACAATCCTCTGTAAAGTAGGATGCATGGTCATCCCACTTGACTTTGCCTTGTAGAAGAGAAACAATGTTTTGTTGAGCACTTTCTCATCTTATTTTGCAGTCCTGCTCAGTAAATTTGCTGTCACAGTTCTGATCTGTGTCCATTAGAAGGTTTGGGAGAAGTGGATAAGAAAACAGAAAAACTGGTGGCTCAACAAGCTAATTGGAGGACAAAGCGAAGAACATTCTCAAGGAGTTCCAAGGTGACAGGAAGATGCACCAGGACTTTAGCATGAGCATGATTTGGAAAACACAACAACAGGGCAAATTAGGCAGTGAAACAGTGGATTTAATGCATTTGCCTATCTCCATTCCCATCCCTCCTGTGAAACTCTTTTGCTGTTGCCAGTTTTGTTCTCAGCAGTGTACTGGCACTTGCTCCCACTATGAAAATTGTCTTGTGTACTCATGAGTCACATGTACATCAGGAATCCGAAAAGCAGCTTGTCATGCCTGTGTCTGACTGATTCATTGTCTAAGCTCCTGCAAGTCTCGATTTCTTTTCACTTTTGTTAGGTGGGGGACTTGTGTGTGTGCTCTCGTTGTGTTAGTGGAGGCCTTCAGAATCTGCTAATAATACTGCCACTGAAAACACAAGGACTGTGACATTATTCTGAAACTATTGTGGAGAAGGCTCATCCTCTTTAGTGAAGATTCTGCATTCAAGGATAGTTCATTCGGGGGGGGGGGGATATTGCTACCCAAATAAATATCCTCCATCCTGGAGAGTCAGGACCATGTTTGGACACAAGGTTTATTTTGAGATGTTTTTACATCATAGTAGGATCACATATATGTAACTTTTGGAAATAAACTTTTGAGAATTTTGGGAAAGGACCCTGAAGTGGCTTTACAACGAAGAATAGGGAATCAAGAAGTCAGCTACTGTATTCACAAAACTTAATATTCTTAGTGACTTAAAAGGAGTAAACAGAAGTTAAGAGTTCTGGTAAAGGCAAGTAGAGGACTATTGTTGTGTCTGATGTGGCTTTCTTGGTGCAGCCAGATTAAGGGACAATGAATTATACTGAGGTGTCCCATGCTTTTGATTCAGAAACAGCTATCGCTTCTCTACAGTTCATGTACTCTCATACAAATTCAGACAGCATTCAACTTATTCTGTCCTGTCCCTGAGATTTTCTGTAGTACAGAATTTTCAAGGAGCAGAATGGGGGAACCTATCACTTGTAATTATGCCATAGCCAGTCCCCCACTGTTAGTACAATGGTTATTGGTTTCTCTTGCTAGGTTTAAGAAGCTATGAGCAGCATCAAGAGACTGAAGGTGGCAAAGCACTGTATGTGCAACATTTCGGAAATAAAGCGCTTGAAGGCTTGCCATAGCTGTCTCTCTTGGTCATTTAAAAGTGAAACCGACTTGCTCAAATAGGCACGCTGTGGAAATCATTTAAGTAGAACTTCATGAATTTATCATGAAATATCATGTGCTAAGAAGTGGTTATTTAAATATCTGAGCATCGCATGTAATCAGAGAATTGTGAACTCATGAACTATCAGACCTTTTGAAGCTTAAAACAAAAAATATGTTTGTTAACATTGCCCAAGCAAGGCAAAATTACTACCAGGACAAAAATATTAAGAAAACTTAACTTCTGTCTACTCCTGTTTTACATGTACGTATGCTAAAATCCCATAAGGGGACCTACACACTTGATCAGCACTTATTTCTTTCACCAGGGTATAGGATTCCAGGGCTGGATCCACACTGACCTTTTAACCGTTATTGGAACGGTATTAGATAGATCGTTCTAAAGCGTCACAGGGCATACTGGTAAATTAAAAATGTTCCTTACCTTGTTTTTATCCATCAAAACGCACTTTCCCTACTGCTGGTTCCTGGTTGCTTTGCAGCGTCCTCTGGTGTCAAATTTTAATAACACATGATGAACATTACAAGCAAAATGTAACGTGTCCATCTACATTATGAAAATCATTCCTTAACATTATAAACCACGAGTGTAGTTCTGCCCCAGGTGATTTGTACTCATAAACTTGTTACTTTAAAAACCAGCTGTTGGATTTGTCCCAGGAATATTTAAATTTGCTTTATGGTTTTAAATGGAAGACCAGCTAGATTGTTAGAAAAAAAAACATTTTTCAAAAAAACAAAGCTAGATTTTTTATTAAGAAAGGGAAGAATTGATGTGCATCTTTTTTCTTTAAGAAGAGAGATGGAATACTGGCTCTGAATTATTTCAAGACTCTAAAAGTTTTTCATCATGTCAGAGGCTGACTTCTTAAGTCTAAAGGGCAATATGTAGTATGAACAAACTGTGGGTTCTTCACCATATGAACACACCAACCCTCTGCTTCTAATGGGTACAAAAGCATCTGGCTTAGAGGTTATCAAGATGCTAAGGAACTATAATACTTCAGCTGCAATGTCTCTTACAGGCTCCTGTGATTTTTCCACTATTCCATAAGCAGTGTGATATCTTCTCAAAGGAGACAAGAGTACACACTCAAGATCTCTTAATGTGGATTAGTTACTTGTTAATGTTCTTTAATCACTAGTTTCTTCACACAAGCAGGAGGGTTAAAGAGCAGTTCAAGTGTCACACCACTCTTTAAAGCAACATTAAGATTCTCCATCTTCTTAAGCTTTTCTCCATAAGGAAAGGTGCTCCGTCTCTCCTAATCATTTTAGTTTCTCCATTTTGTATCTTTTCTACCTCTACCATACCCTTTTAGAGATGGGGTGAGAGAACTGAACAGAGAATTTTAAACAGGGACACGCCATAGGGCAGTTTATGTGAAGGCATACACATTACTTGCTGTTTGATTTTCATATCCTATTCCTAATATTGAGATTGCCTTTTTCAGTGTTAAAGTATACCTCTTCACACCCATCTCTTCTGCATACTGCTTCAAAGTTATTGATGTGTATGATGACAGGAATGCACAGAAGTACTTGTGCATAAGCAGTACTATTTTTTTGAAGTCCCCAGAAACCCACAATTATTCTAAGAGAGGTGATCACATATACATACAAAATTTCTCAGCCTCATATAATCAACATGCTTAAGTCTAATTAATGCACGAAGGTGTTAAAACCACAGAGCAACCCGACATGCCAGGCTTAGCTAGGTCACACCCCCTCACCTCGGGAGAAAGGTAATCAAACCTATTGTTCTCTCCCAACCTGCCTGAGAAGCTCAACGTGTGAGGTCTGAACTGGTTGCTCCAAGCGCAGACTGCATGGCTCTAACAAGCCATTCTTGTGTTCCTGTACCAATAATTTAGGAACTTTCATCACTGTAATTAAGTCAAGTTTTACTGCCTATGTTTTCCGAATGATGTATGGAAAAGCACATGAACCTGACATGTTTGTAAGTAAACCCATTTTTAATGTACCAAATGTGTGATCTTTTTCTATGCTGAGGGAAAAGGGACCATTTTGGAACTCCCAAGGGTGTATTTTAAATATCTAACAGCCTTCCCCCCCCACACACTTTGCTGCATGTTTTGTGATTATAAATCTCTGCTGGTGTTCTCTCACCAAAAAATACTTGCCCCAAACTTCGATCTTGGCATCCAGGAATTCTCCTTTTATACCTATAATTTCCCCTTGACACCGGCGAAGATTAGTACTGGGGAAATGAGGGGCAAATCTACATTAAATGAAAACGAGTATTAAGAAGGTATGCTGGCGCAGATACACTCTAAGCATGTGATTTTGAGCACAAGCTCAGGATTCCTGTTCAGATCTAAACTGGCAGGGGACAAGGCTAGCCTGATGTGGTGAGTTGCCACTATAAGTGAGCATTTTAACCCAGCTCCAGAACAAGCTGCCTCTCATGTGAGTCTCATTGAGTAGCTGACATGGAAGGAGTGCCAAGAGGATAGGTGCCCGAAAGGCTGCATCCCTATAGCAAGACTAACCCGACAATAGCAATGATCATGAGAACCCCAGCAAGAATACAGATGCTGATGAAGACAATGTCACTGGTGTCCTGGCCCTTGCTCTCGTAGACTTCTGCTGCCTCCATATCCTGCTGTTGGGACTCCACCAGGTTCTCTGCATACTGGTTCAGTCTGTAGGGATCAGAGCCAGAGATAAGATTCACAGAGGCCTCTTTCCTTTTGGGTTCGCACTGCACTTCATATTGGTGAATGTCCTCCTGATTTCCATCTGAAAAGTCAATATACAGGATGCTGACAATCACAGAGGTGTTGTTTCTTTTCTATAAAAGAAGAAACACAAGCAAAAGAAAAGTGTTTTATTTTAACACCGTGCAGCCAGTGAACACCTTCCTTTTCTACATTAGTAATAAATCTTCTAAAGAAGTAAGGCTGTCTAAGGTTTACTTTGTGAGGTACTAATTTATTTTTAATCCGGTAGGGACTTTACCTACCAGAGAAGAAGGGCAGATCAAGTTGATGGATTATGCCAAAATGGCTAAAATGACCGAAAGAATCAGAAATCAGGAAGACCAAAATTTTAATAAGGAATGGGAGGAAAATTATAACCTTAAAAACCATTGTAAACAGTTAAAATTGTTAGTAGGTTTGGGATATCACTTGTAGCTTAATGGTGAGTTTTGGACACAGTGGAGATGTAAAAGATTTGGATTATCATAAAAGATGCAGGAGGAAATGATTAACAATAAGACCCACAAAGGGGAGGAGGGAAGTCCAGGAGATTCCTTGCAATATTGTTTTTATGTTGTATGTTTGATATGTGACAGTAAAAGTTTAATCTGAAAAACCAAATAAATAAATTTATATATATCTAAATAATTTTATTGTTAATCCTCTTTGTTTTCTAGCTAAAACAAGATGCATAATGCCATGCAAGGCAACAGAATCCAGGTGGGCCTGACCAACTCCACAACAACCAAGCTGAACACAGCTCTCAAGCAACATATTGCGGTTGCCATATGCTCAATATCTTTTTGGGTTTCTGCAGTGCCAGGCAAAATCAGATGCTTATTGAGAGGCCCCTGTTGGGCCACCACCCCTGGACAGTTAACTGTGCTCAGCTTTGTGGATCACAGCATTATGCAGGGCTATACAGAGAAAAGATAGGTGGCAACATAACTTGGTAGGTTTACAGGTAAAGTTTTAGGTCAGGAAGACACAGTATATTTACACAGCGAGATAATTAGCTGGATTACAGTTTGTACTAGTGTCAAACTGGAGCAAGCTTTGAATAGAGCAGAGGGAAATTATGTGCATTTTGTCTTTGACATTCAGCACGTGTACTGATTTTTATATTTCCGTGATGGAATCTTTGGTACCACTATCTGACTTGCATATGCTATGGATGCAGAGCAGACAGGAAGAAAATCAATACGATTTGCCTGATTATGAGCTACTCACAGCTGGTGAATAATCCTTTTTTTATTCTACTGGTAGTCCATACCCTTCCTTCCAGCCACAGTACATCAGTCAATCAATGTAGGCCTTTATCAGAAGAAGCTGCATTAAAACGCTTGTAGAGCTTCCCCTTTCAAAGAGGGAAGAGTGCACAAAGGAAGCAGACGGATCTGCTGCCAGAAAAAAAGTCCTTCTCAAACTCCATGAAACTAGAGAAAGCAAAATTGGATTACTCATTGGATTATCATCCCATCGTGCCGCTGGACATCTGACCTGCTGTGGCATCATTGCCAAAAATAAAGCAACAAATGCACATGGTTATTAGACCCTTGTTCTGGACGTATTTTTTAAAAGTGGTTTATTTCATACTGTGGCCTCATTTAGCCCCATAAAGCCTCATTTATGGTGACTTGTCATAGGCAGATGCCTTGTTTGGACTCAAACCAATAGTCCACCAGGTTCAGTATTGTCTATGCTGACTGCCAGTAATTCACCAGGGTCTGAGGCAGGGAATCTTTCCCAGACCTACTTAGAGATGCTGAGGATGGAACTTGAGAACTGTTGTATGTACAGCAGATATGCTCTGCCACTGAGCTACGGCTCCTTCCCATCACCTTAAGATTGCCTCGTATCGCTTGTTCTCTGTCACAGCAGAGAAGTCATGCCCACAGTCCAGGAAAGGCACCTTAACAGCCCCCACCTCCAACTTATTGCCACTTTGACTGTTTTAGCCCCTGGGTGTTTTCTGCCTATGTGAGTGACTGCCTTGTGATTGGCAGGACATAGCCACCTGTCAATCAAGACCCACCTGGGCCAGAAACTCTTTAAAAGATGACTGTTGCCAAATAGGTCCCTCAGCCGACCATCTATCTGAGGAGGCCAGGAGCATGTTTATAAGTAGCTGCAATAAGAGAAATAGACTTGAAATGTTTTCTTTTTGATGTACCATTCTGCTTTTACCTTGTCTTTTTATTCTAAATAAACTTAATAAAATTGGCTGTTGGGGACTTGGTTGCATTTCTGCTGGACTCAAAGGGGTATTTCCTGCCCTCACAGGGCTGTACACGTTGGATCTGACAGAGAAAAGTAAAGTCTCTGGGGTTCAGGGAAGAGCTGGGAAGGCTTGATGATCTCTCATTTCCCCTCATATATATGCCCCTTGGATCCACAGAAATCACTCTCATCTGGAGGCAGAGGGACCAGAGAACCTCAGGCCTGGTATGACTGACCTACCTAGACTGGCAGGTGAGGAATGAATGAAGCAAAAGGCCTCTCCTCTCTTCTTTTACACACACCTCATGGAATCACAAAATGGTACAATAAAGGGAAACAAGTTGAACTTATGACTACCAGTTCTTTGATCATGACAAGTCAAAACTATGTCATGAGGAAGCTTGGCTTAGCTCCCACGGTTATGAAAATATGTTGAAAATAAATACATGAAAATATTATGAATAATTTACAAGTTATCTAGTATTCCCCAGCAGCGCATAGCCTCATTTCAATGTCGTTTGGATGCTCAGCACCTTTGACTGCCAAGCCATTGACCGAGGAATGAGCACCCCTCGTTTCCTCTTTCTTTCTCTGCTCACTGGGTGGCCATAGACAAGTTATTTAATCTAGGGTCTTTAACGTGAGCCTTGCCACCTGCACACCAACAGCTTCACAGATGACAGGGACCTAAAATGAAATTTCCCAGGACTCAGACAATAACTGCACCCCAAAGCAATGGTTACTTTCAAAAATGTATCACCTATAACTTATAAAAATATAGTGCTGGTGCTACTATCAGTAGCCAGATAGCCCTATACTGGAAATCATCCAATATTCCTATGAGAGAGGTATGTTTTCCTAATGTATGGAACACAGCTTTATCTGAATATCTGGTCAGACTTAGACATGTAGTTTGGGGTGAAGCCAAATCAGACAGTTCTGAAGTGGATCCGTCTCCATTTTTTAAATTATATAAATATGGAGAGTCATATAAGTACTCCTCCCATGACTCCTCGTTGTGGTTGGACTATATAAGGTAAAGGGTAAAGGGACCCCCGAGTGTTAGGTCCAGTTGCGGACGACTCTGGGGTTGCGGTGCTCATCTCGCTCTATAGGCCGAGGGAGCCGGTGTTTGTCCGCAGACAGCTTCTGGGTCATGTGGCCAGCATGACTAAGCCACCTCTGGTGAAACCAGAGCAGCACATGGAAACGCCGTTCACCTTCCCACCAGAGCGGTACTTATTTATCTATTTGCACTTTGACGTGCTTTTTAACTGCTAGGTTGGCAGGAACTGGGACAGAGTAACGGGAGCCCACCCCATTGCGGGGATTCAAACTGCTGACCTTCTGATCGGCAAGCCCTAGGCTCTGTGGTTTAGACCACAGTGCCACTACATAGACTCATCTTAAAATCTTGGCTATATGGTACTGCACCTCTGTAATTTTTTTTTATATACAAAATATACTCAGCGTATGGTTCTGTTATGGTTTGTATGATTATGTGTCAGTTTGTACGTACGTTTATGATAAATCAATAAAAATGATACTAAATTATATTAAAACAAAATGTGGGACTTAGGAGCAGTTTTTCGGTGGTTTTAAAAACAACAACCCCAAAGCAGCACAGTGGTAATTGAAGGTGTTATTGGTGCTGTGGTGTTTTAAACTTTTCCTTGCATGCCACAATCCTATTTGAAGTACACTCACTCTTGTTAGCTGCTGAGAGGAAATTTCCTCCCAATGCTTAAAATGAGATCTTTTTCTAAGGTCTGCAGAAGGGTGGAAGGAGTTAAATTCTCCCTGCTTTGATCCTGATATTTAACACCCCTTAGCAGAGGCTGCTATTTGCATTTTTAAAAGAAAAGTGCCCAACAAATGTGTGAAACTCCACCTTAAATGTTACTCTGGTTTAGCTCTTAGTTTTTCTTTGTGCAACCTGAGGATAATTTAACACATGCTGAACATCTGGAAGGATTTTGCTTAGTAAAAAAAACCCCAGATCTGAGTTCCCCATTCACAGTGGTCGGTATGCTTTCTGATTATCATGAAACCTTCTTCCAGAAAAATCATTAGACCAGGCTAATCAGCCAGAGTGTTGGAAAACCTTCTTAGAACAAAAACTGAGTCATGATGAGCTTTCTGCCTATGCTTGGGTGCCACATGAGGTACAGTTCAAACAAAACACCACATTTACACCACAAACTTTTATCCAGGCATCACTTCACAGGCCGCTTACTTCAGAGTATAATGGAGGATACTTTTATTTTAGACAGATGCTTCTCAGCCTGACCTACCTCATAGGGTTGTGGTGAGGATAAAAAAGGGGGAAAGGGAAGAACCAACAACAAACGTTAGAATGTGCTTTACCCCAAATAGTTCTTTCCATTCCTTCAAATACACACCCATAGATGTAACATTTCCCCTGTGTGTTTGTGTGTAACATCTCAGAGGTGGTGTGGAGAAATGTCAGAGTATGTGTGTGCGAGAGAGACAGAAACAGAGAGAAGGTGGGGTGAGAGACCCAGGATGGGAGACTCCCATGGGATCCCCCATGTACACTTCCTTGAGTTCCATGGTGGAAGAAAGGTGGCATATCAAATGTACAAGATAAATAATAACTGCATCTGCATTCCCTCATCTTCACTCCTCCAATAGTAATTATTCTTCTTCTCCTCTTATCCATTCAATGACACAACTGTGTGTTGGCCTTGTAGTTCCCTGTTATTTATGTTGAACAAGCAAAGGAAGCAGCCAGCAGTAAGGGACAGCAAGTAATCCACACAGGAGAACTTCACTAATTCGGCTACGGAAACAAATCCAGGAGCAGATGCTCTGAGGATTGGTCCAGAGGCAATAAATGATAATAATTGTGCCTTCTGCTGATGCAGAATACAAGGCCCAGGCAGCCAACATATTTTACTTGGACATGGCCTTAATTTATACAGGCCTAACTTTTTAAAAAAAAACCACACCGATCACTTACCTGTGGTTCTGTACCACAGGTTTCAAACCTTGCATGTATCCTAAAATTCAAGCCGACCACTTGTGCAGGACAGGACGGGATTCCTAAATATATCTTATTCCTCTCCAGCTGAGCCAGTGACTGTGTGGGAATCTGGATCTGAAACTCTGTCCGTGTGCAGCTGACATTCATGAGGACAACTGCGAGAGGGGAAACAAAAGGAAGAACCTTCCCTGAAATCACCGGAGGTTAATAACAAATAGCTGGCAGCATTCCCACAGATGAATCACACTGTCTTAGCCAGATATGTCAGTGGACCTGATACAACGCTGTCTAAAGGGAAGTCTATGTCCTGTGTTCTAAAGTCCTATATGGGCATATATGCATTGCCTGACCAGATATTTGGCTGCAGGCTTCCAGCGCCGGGTCCCAAACCACCTCATGGAGGGTAGGTCAGTAATTGATAATTTTGTCCGTGATAGCACCAGGGATGCCCCCCCCCCTTCGTTTGCCCCTGCCAGGGCTTAACAGAAAGCAGAGCCTCAAAGAGCTACCCGGCTAATGTTTGTTAGTGATCCAACCTGAGTATGAAGTTGCACTTTACCAAGTGAATCAGGGAATAAGACATAACCAGTGGTAAAGGCCACAGGCTCAAAATTTTAAGTGAACTGAAACATTTGCTTTAGTGGTACACAGTATTTCATACAGAAAATAATATTATCTTCGTGCAGAAAATAATAGTATGAGCTAAAGCACAGATTTGAAACTAGATAATAATCGACACCACCACAGTGATCGTAGATGTGACTCTGGGCAGCATAGAGTTTAGTGTTTGGGAAGGTTCATCACACCTTTTCACTCCTGAGTTCATTTTTTCAAAGCTCACTGATAAATCCTCAAATACATTCGGTTGGTAATTTAAAACCCTACTTCCAGCTTAACAACAGCAATGTGAAATAGAAGGTGCATCTCTTAACTGCTGCTCATTTCCTAATATCCACCACAGGAGATTGACACCACTGGCTCTGACCTGGGACAAAGAAACCAATTCCTGCTGTGCAGTTCAGCAAACATACAAGGCTGGTCATTGGTACTATGCAGGAAGGAATGTCCCATGCAGAAATAAGATAGAAATCATCCCTCACACATCCCTGAGACACTATTAGTCAATAGCAAGATTGCTGTTTGCTGCCCAGCTTTAGGTGTGTGTGTGTGTGTGTGTGTGATGCTTATTATGTCTGATTAGGCGTCACAGATCTTATCCTGCCAGATTTCAGCAAGAGTTAGGCTCCAGGCAATAAGATTCTGGGACCCAATGGAGCTTGTTGTCAGCCCATGTGAGCCAGAAGCAGGTGTCCTGTCCAAAACAAGCAGAAGTCAAGGTCCAAAGCAGAAGCATACATTTAGTCAAACCCAAGATCCAAGAGAAAAATCAGAGAAACGGAGCAGGGGCTTAGGCTCACTTCTGAGGGAAGCCATTCAGACTGCCAAAGACAAGCAAGCTCTGAGGCAAAACCTTTATAGGACATGGCATCCTGGGATTGGTCGTTGGGGGGTCAGCTGACTGGGTGCTGAACAGGCTGGTATTACTGTCTAGATGGCACATCAGAACCCAGTGTGGTGGGCTTATGCTACTGGTGACACAGGATATGAAGCCCCTGATCATGACAGTTGGGAGTTCTTGTCCGAGATCCTGCGCCCTCCCTTTCAGCACCGTACACATCCATTTAAGATCTATGCATCCCCAATTATTTTTGCAGCTTGTACTGCGCTGTTGTGTTGTGGCAGCAGCATGGGCGCAGTCGCAGGTGAGGGTACAGTTGCAGTGACGGGGCTGGCAGCAGCACAGGCATGACACCCAGAGCAGGGAGAGGGCGGGATCGGGACCCGGATTTGTGGAGGGATGTGTCATGGGGGCAGGGGCATTGTCAGCCATTTTGCTTACAGCAGCAACATGTATCGGGTTGGCCCTTACGACATTGTCCATGTCTGGAAGCACCCGAAGTCATTTGAGAAGGTGAAGTGTTGGTCTAATAAACATACATACATACAGGTGTTTATCTTTGTCCTTGCAGCCAACCTCTTTATCCTGTATATTTTAGCTGGTACCAAGAGTCAAGGGAGCTCTGGTCTGATCTAGTACCTCAGTTCTTCTAAAGCTTCTCTCATTTTGTTTATTATGACTGTATGAACCCACAGTGAAGAAGTGTGCACTTTGCAGCACTAAAATGAACAGAACCAAACAACTGAGAATATTCAAAATAAAATGTCCAACCCATTCTGCCAAGGATTGGACCAGATGTTGACCAATACCAGCCCACCAGATTTCAGCCTACACAATATAAACCAATATGACACAAGACAGAGCAAGTATACTGCAGAAAATCCGTCTTGGATGACTTCACTCTAGATGATTTAAACAAGACTTCCAATTTTAGCTGTTATGCAGCTGGCCTCTTGCAAAGCTCATCACAGAAATATAACCTGTGATAAGTAAATATTAGAGTAAAGAAATAGCAAAGCACGGGTTGAAAAATTGCCCATATTTCTCCTGAAACGAAGTATGAACTACCAAATACTTTCTGACCATGTGTATTTAATAATGACACAGTTTGGGAAACTGCACGCAAAACAGAAAACCACTGATTGCATAGCTTTCCCTCAAAATTTTATATAATTTGTATGCCACTGCATTAATAATTTTGGTATTTTCTCCCATCCCAACACACAAATGCAAGTACTTTCTGACAACTTATCATTTGTGTGTCATGCTCAATTTCAACAATGATTATTATCTTCAGGCTTGTTCCGGATTCTCTTGTTCATAAACTCCCCCCCCCCCGCGCGCAAATATTCCACACAACAGAAAATCTGGGTGAAAGAGATCAGATGGTAGGCCATACCCCCGATGTATGCAACAGAGAAACCTCGGTTGGCTGTGTTCCTGTCTGTGTGAAGGACCAATAGCAGCTTGTTTCTACTGGATATAATAGGAGACAGCATTTCTCTCCCACACCACTTCCCCAGCAGAGACGCCTTCTCGGTGCCTCCATCAAACGCAGCCAGATGGTCATAATCACAGCCATCTGTCAGGCTGTTCCGCCCCTCCAGATCCAAGTCCAGGAAGAAGACTTTGATTCGATATCCTGGGGGCAGCTGGATGGCCCAGTGACACTTGATATTATTGGGGTAATAGTTGGGATACTGAGGACTGGAGAAATTTCCTTTGACGGCTGTGTACACCTCCTGACATGCACCTGGTTACAGAACAAAGAGAGTGTGATACAATTCAGACAGCCCAAAGAATGAACTTTAATTTCTTGTAGTGCTGTGTAAGACATTCCTAAACACTTCTCTCTCTCTCCCACATCCCTTTCCTCAACCCAATGGGAAATGCAATTTCAACTTCTTAACCCCCCCGCCTGCTTGGCTGTAGGGTAGCCACTTGCTCATCACCCAAAAGAGGAAATGCATCATCAAAAGAAGAGGTTTGCATAAAATCTGCATATGCTGATGTGTATGTATAGATTAGGGATGGGGAGAAATTGGATTCAGTTCACATTTAAACAATACAAGAACCGAACTGGAGCCATCCTTCAAAATTCACACTTCTCCAAGTTTTGCAATGCAGTCCTACAAACAAGTAAGGAACACAGAAATGCATACGACCACCAGGATAAGGTGTCCATATAAATGTATGCATTAGTGAGTTTGATATATACCTACTGACATAGAATAACCTAACAGCATATTCCCTAGCCCATGTGTCCAATGGGAGACCTTTGTCCAAGCCCTATAGCAAAATCCCCTAGCCTGATGTAGAGCTGGCAAGCTCTTCTGGGAAAATGCACATTGTAAAGCTGTCCTAGGGCTAAAAAACTTCATAATACAGATAAGGATGGGGAAATCCCTGTACATAGAAAGGTAGTGCATCTGGGAGAACACCAAGGCACACCTTTTCTCGCTGACAGGCTAGCTTTCCTTAGAAATAAAGTTTTGTATGTTTGTGTTTAATGTGAGGCAGAAAACATGCAACCCTCTCCTGTATGTTTTATAGCTCCTGCAGGTTGTGGCCTTTTTAAAATGTGTAGATTAGTTCTGTGCCTTAATTCTCACGCTCCTTTTGAATGTGGTGAAGTTGCCACAATGTGATTTTTACTAATCATTTTCTGTGGTTAACATTTCTTCTGAATATGCATCAGTGTGGTGAGATCTCAGATTTGCCACATCCTGGAGGCTGGTCAAACACCAAGGTTCTCCAGGATGTGGTAAATCTCAGATTTCATGATGTGGGATTGCATTCAGAAGAAATACTCAACAAGCAAACATATCTTCAAAATGAACATTAGAAACTGATATAATGTTGCCAAAGCTTAGCATAGGGTGGATCCTATTGATTAGGAACATATCATAAAAGGTTTAAGATTTGCAAAGGCTGAAATACTAACTTCAGTTTTAAGCAATGCTAGTTTGTTAGCTTTACTGAGGTCAGGATCTATCTCTCAATTTATACAAAAGCTAAGTTTTTTTGAGGAATATCCCATTTTTCCCTAGGCTGCTTCCACACCAAGCATTTTCTGAGAAAAGCAGCACTTGTTCATTCTCCTCTTAAGATGCATCTGCATAAAAGTCAGGACCAAAGCATACTCTTCCCATATTTTCCCTGTTCAGCTACCATTTTGCTTCCAGAGCTCAGAAATTGACTATAAAACAAACAGTGGGATAGCTGCAGGATCTCCCATGGTGCAAATGGCCTATCACACAGCTGTTCAGTCGGTTTTGGAGCCAGTTATGGCCTGCTTGCATTTCTCTAGCCATTTCCTTCTCTATGGTCTGTCTTTCCTCTCTAGAAATCAACTCTGCCACTTTAACATTTCTCTTTCTGAAGAGCATTGTCACTATACTGTATCCATATTTTTTTCTCCCCTCTTTGCATTGTAGTGGCGCTGGAGTGAGGGAAGAGGAAGCATTTAGCCCTTTTGCCCATACCAGGATCCCAATGATAATCACATCCTGAAACATTTGGGGCTGAATTAAGTGAGGCTTCCTTCTTGGTCACCCAATGTTATTTGGATTCCAGAAGTTTAGAAGCAGAGTTGGCATTCCACTTCCAGCTTAAAGTAGAACCAGCAATATTTAGGTGCTGCTAAAATTTCCATGTCTGGAAGGACCCCAGGATGACTTCCTGTGCTAACAGAGACTCCACAAAACTTGCCATGCCTCTGCTCACTTGATATTGGCATAAGGTAAAGGTAGAATTGTCTTCCATACCTGAAAAGAAATATGCTTTGAAGCCTCTGCCTGCAATGTTAAAGTCTGATTTGAACACAACCAGCAGTTCCTGTGCAGAAGAGATGTCCGGAGGCTTCACATGCCCACAAAAATGACCAAGGAGTGTATCCCCCATAGTTGGCCCATCAAAGATGGCCACATAATCAAAATTGCACTGCTCACTGTTTTCCATCTGGAAGTCCACAAAAATCAGTTTGATGACAGAATTTGAAGTTGCCTGGATGACCCAATGGCATTCCGCATTGTTGGGGTAATTCTCTGGGTAATCAGGGCTTGTTATTGATCCCGAGAGGCCGGTGAGCACCCCCCCACAAACATCTGGAAGCAAGAAAGCATAACATATTAAAATGAGAGAGAGGTTACAATTCAAGTTGCTTTTACATCACATGACTTTCCTGAAAGCATCTTAGGAAGTGTAGTTTACCTCTCACAGAGGTAAAATTCCCAGCACTCTTAAGCGATGAAAGTTCCCGGGATTCCTTGGGGAAAGTCATGTGCTTTAAGTGCGTTTTAAATACCGTATATGGTGTGTATGCAACCAACACTTTCCAGTGCATTTTCCCTCACTTTCCTTACAGAAAAAATTCTGATCTTTAGGGGAAGCGGGTTTGTTGTGCAAGACTCCCCCCAATCAACTGTAATTGTCCAACCTGAATCTGCCCTTTTGCCTCCAAAAGTGACAGTCTGGAAGCCCCCATTGGAGCTAGTAGAGAAGACTAAAACCAATGCATATGTGTGTATGTAGGAATTGAAGAATGAAATGAAATGAATGAGAAGAATGAGATGAAAAAGAATCAGCATGCACGGGGTGTAGGGGCTTTCTTTTCCACCATGTTTCTAGGCACAGGTCTCAAATTGCTGCTTCTTCTGACTCGGTGGTAAAGAGCAGGATTTGGTGGGGAAAGCACTGGGGCAAAAAAACAAGCGCTTAGTCACAGCGCTTTGAAGTGCAGACTTGTACCTAAAATGCATGGGACAAGATGTAAGTGTGGGTGGTCCCTTGGTTTTCTCAGTTCAAATAAGTTTCCAGGTTGTGGGAGGCCTAGAAGATCTCTCACATATAAAGGAGGAGGCCTCATGACTTCATGAAGTTTGAGAAACATTGCTTTGAATGGTGGTCATTCGCCATCATTTTACAAAACAAAACACTATTAACAAAAGCCACAGGCACTTTGTGCTTGCTGACATAGGTTGTTGTTTTGAAACTGCTTACTCTGGGGTAGCCTTACTGAAACCAAGAGGGTTTTCCAAGTTGGAACTGGTTTGCAAATCACAGCCTAAGTTCCCATTGTGAGGTCAATTTCTGCTTCCAATTACGCCAAGAAGCAATAAAACTGTAAAGAGAGAGCAGAATTAAGTTTGCAAACCCTTTCCTGCCAGTACTGGCCCCTGAGACGGAAAGAATCCAATGTTACTACTCCTGAATCCTTCTGTGACTGTTCAGGAAAAACCCTTGAGAAGAAAATACATTTCTACTTGCAATCTCTGCACATTATTTTCTTGAAACCACCAGGAGTAAGCATAATAAATCTCAGTTGCTCCATGATGCCACTTTTATGGACCCATCCTGTAGCTTGATTACAGTTTAATATGAAAAGGGAAATGTAAGAGCTTTTAAAGGAAGTCTAAGCAAGGATTTCTAAATCTGTATCTAAAGATAATTGATAAGCAAAATTTAAACTAAATTTTAAACTGCCCTTCTTCAGTTAGCCTCACCTGCAGCTGGTAGTAACTGATTGGGGAAGTGTGGTATACCACTGCAGTGTAATATATTGGATTCTGTCTGCGGAGAACCACAGTAAGTTTCCCCACTCAGCCCTGAAGCTGAATGACCTTGGTCTAGTCACTCCCTCTTATCCTAACCCACCACAGCTACAGACCGACTCAGTCACACCAAATCCAGACATGCAAGGTGCACTTTTAAGGTCTGCAAGGACAGTAGCTGAGCTGGAGAAACTGGAGATACAGCCAGGTTGATGCACTGCTCTGTTGACTACACCAAGGTAGAAATCTAGGCTCCTAAATATGTATACCAGGCAGGCCTAGTCAACACAGAGACTTTGTAATGCCTGCCAGTCACAGGAACTGATGCTGCACACCTCTTTTCTTCTGCACCGGAATGAAACTTTGAGACCTGAGCATCTACAGACCTCAGAAGTTCTCTGGGGTAGGTCCCAGAAAAGAACTTGTGTCCCTGGCAGCCACCACCTTCCCCCTGCAGCCTGTGCACTTTTATTTTTGCTCTTTGAGCTCAAGTACCCTCTCAGTATATTAGCCAGTTTCTTGCCTGGCTTCACTCTCTCACCACTCTACACGACGAGGCATGTTTTCTCCTCTATATCTGGCTCTTCATGCTTGCTGACTCTGTTTGTACAGTAAGGCACACGGTGTTTGTTCTTTATAGGCCTATTACACTTCCCAATCGTTGTTTGCTTGCTACTTCACTTTTGACTCCTCTTTTCTCCTCTGTTTTACCTGTTCTTTTCCTTCACTAGCTCTCGCGTTGTTTGTTTTGATTGCCTAAAGTGGTATTGACCCCCGCCTGTCTTTATAATCACAGATTTGCCTTGTGCCTTAATGAGTAGATTCAGCTCTATTGGCCGGCTTAGACATTGTACTTGCTGCTGAATTTTCCCTAGAGCTCCACTCCTGTAAAGGCTTATTCCTCCTAAGAGGCTCTGAATCTGTAAGGTGGTGCTGTGTCCCCTGATGTACAACACAGCATGACATATACATGGTCTGGCCTAATGTTGACTGACATTTCTTTTCTGTAAATACGTTTTAATATAATGTTGATATTTTTTTTGGTATATCACCTTGTGAAGGTTGCAAGAAAGACGTCATAGAAATAGTTCAAATAAATAAACAATTCTCTCTTTCGTAGAGAAGCTGCAACTGAATCCCATTCTAACCTTTTTGGTAAACTGCAGAGAATCCTTGGCTGGCCACATGGTTATCCGAGTGGAATATTACAGTCATGATGTTCCAAGATGAGGTAAATGGTGGAGGAAAACTTGTGCCACAGAATTTTCCTAGGAGATTGCCTTGGTCTTCCGAGATCCCGTTGTAAATCATGAGGTAGTCAAATTCACAGTTGTCATGGTATTCCAGGTCAAAGTGATGAAAGGTGAGAAGAACAGAGGACCCTTCTGTTACCACTATGAGCCACATGCAATCTGTATCGTACGGGTAGAGTCCAGGGAAATTCGGGCTTGAGACGTTGCCATGCGGCGCTGAGAGGACACCACCACATTTGATGCCTACAGAAAACATTTGAAGGTCAACTTTGACTAAGCAGCCACTGTAGCCTACTGTATCTATAAGCAACAACTTGAAGAAATATATAGCGGTGTAAGTCCCCACCCCAAAAACTCCAAAATTTATTTCTGAATGTGGCTTTGTCTTCTGCACAATGCCATTCTCACTAATGCCTTTCTCCTGCTTACCCAAGGAGCATTCATTTGACCATCTTTGCTTGTTGAAGTCAATTAAGACATATTGAACCAATCTTGTGAACAGTTTGATGTGTGTCCAGATAGTGACTCAACACACTGCAATGTAGTATTATTGCCCATTTTGCTAATATTAGTTGGTTATTTTACATGCTTTACATGAACTGTAATCCACTCAGGAATTTCTGGGACTAGGCAGACTCAAATAAAATCTAAATAACTGCCATAGGCAAAGAAGAAATCCTCTGTCCTTCCTAACCTTTTACAATCAGTGTGTAATGCATTGCTATCAGACACTATAATGGACAACAGGGCAAGATATACAGCTAGTAGATAGATAACATAAGCCAGCATCATATACATTCCTTTACTACGTAAAGTTTAAAGGTAAAGGTACCCCTGACTGTTAGGTCCAGTCGTGGACAACTCTGGGGTTGTGGCGCTCATCTCGCTCTATAGGCCGAGGGAGCTGGGGTTTGTCCACAGACAGCTTCCAGGTCATGTGGTCAGCATGACTAAGGAGCTTCTGGCACACAGCGCACAGAAACTCTGGTTACCTTCCTGCCGGAGCAGTACCTATTTATCTACTTGCACTTTGATGTGCTTTCGAACTGCGAGGTGGGCAGGAGCAGGGACCGAACAACGGGAGCTCACCCCGTCATGGGGATTCGAACCGCCGACCTTCTGATCGGCAAGCCCAAGCGGCTCTGTGGTTTAAACCACAATTATACGCAGTGTATAACATTTCATTCCTGCATAAATCTAAGAGAATGAATAATTGCATATTATCTTTCACTGGAATATCCAGCACATCTAGCAAGGTTCTGTTGCCCAGCTCATTTTGGAGGAAAACTGGGCATGTGGTGAAGATCATAGCTGCAGAGAGCTATGGAGTTGAATGGAATAAAACAAAAACTTTGGTTAAGATTGGGGGAAGCATACCTAAACTGGCAATAGCATTGTTTTAAAATCTGAAATTAAGTGGTAAGGAGGAGGAAGGCCCACTTCAAAACAAAGTATCTTCTTCTCAAATGCAGCTGCAGGTCCATAGAATTTAGAAATAGAATCCATTGGAAAGCATTAGTCACTCTGTCTTTCTTCACACAATTTCAGCTTCTCACTAAAAACTTTAACTCTGCTCAACTGGGCCTGCTAGTTGCCCTAAACTTGTTAATATGCCTACAGTGATAATTGAAAAGAAAGAATGAAAAATACTGTTCTAGCACACCGCTATAAACATGGTTCTAAGCACACAAAAACATCTCCATATCTACAGCTCTATTGAAATCAACAAATCTTTGCTCTCTGTTGTTCTTCTCAAAGCACATACACTGCTGCAGCAGACCCATTCTTCTCAGTAGGGGTGCTGGGTGACTAGAAGCTTCCACCCTGTCAACCTGATCCAGAAAATACTTGTGGATGCAAGAGTTCAGAGATGTATACAGTTCTATGTTAATTCCAGTGGAGGAAGCTTGACCCCACACTTCCTTTGCCCACTTGGACCCGCTCCATCCATTACATGAGTTATGGGCATCCTACATACAAGAGATCCATGTATGCATCTGATTGAGGCATGGATACAAGGAAGCCCTAGCTTAAAAAAAATATGCAGTGTATACAGAGAGCAGATTACTGAAAGATTTGTAAAAGAAGCACCATCAGTACACAGCACATTGCAAGTGCACCATGACAACTGATGTTCTAGAGTTAGCACCCTACATGATCATGGGAAGCAAAGCAAAGGCAGTCCATTTAAAAAAGAAGCACGATTTTGCAAATGGGCCCAAAACACAGCCCCCAAAATGCCTTACTTTACCTTTCTTGGCGTTTATCCCATTCGCTGCGCACAAGAAAGTTATTGTCACAAGGTGTTGGAGAAGCATCTGCTGCATCCTTTGACACAGCTATGAAGAGACAAATGGACCCAGTGCCAGAAAACAGCAGAAGTATACTCAATGCAGCCTATCTGAGAGGGAAAAAATAGCTGGAGGCCTGTCGAATTAATAATGGAATGAATAATTCATTGCTTGTTTGAATTAGTAACCTGATCTGTTCTTTGCTTCCTTCACTCGGTTTTAACGATCTGGATCAAATGTCCCTAGGATTTACACTGTACCAGGTACCTTGTCAATACACTATATTTGGAAGCGATGTTAATGGTTGGGATATGGTGCATAACTGCAGTAAGTCAGTGCTGACAATATGCCCTGAAGGGCTCGTGAAAATAATTTAGTTCACCACGCAAGATAGGGAACCAAATTAGGAATTTCAGATTTTACATGGAAATGTACCTGGGGAATTAGTTTGATTTTAAAATATGGGGCCTGCTGCACAAAGCCAGTAGTTGATAAAAGAAAGAGAAATATGGGACAGATTTTTAGATTTTGATGAGCTGAACCATACTAAAGGATCGAGGTGCTTTTTAGTTCCCTAATTACTGTTTGGATGGTGAACTGCATATCACAACCCTTTAAAGGGTCTCTTCAGGCTGGTGGGCATGTTTGTTTTCGCAGATATATTCTGCAGCATCTCATTGACACAATAACTGTGCATTAGTAGTGGGATCATCCACACATCATTCCACTTTGTTCATTGTTCTGTGATGCTTCCGCGGTGTTATTGCGTTATTGTCATGGTTGCAGGGGCAGGGGGAGAAGGATACTTGGTACTATAGTGCAACAAAAGCTAGTCAGTCTAACTTCTCTGTAGTGAGGGAGTTTCTGAGTCTGGGAGCAGCCACTGAGAAGGCCCTCTCTGGTGTCCCCACCAAGTGTGCCTGTGAGGATGGTGGGACTGAGAGAAGAGCTTAACTTGAAGATCTCAAAACCCAAGCAAGGTCGCATTGGAGAATATGGTCTTTCAGATGACTTGGACCTAAGCTGTCTCAGGTGTCAAAGGGCAGGGTAAAGAGGTGTGTCTTCAGCATTATCCAAAAACTGCATTGTGTAGATGCCAGATGCACCTCATGAGGAAGAAATTCCACAACTTAGGGATTGCCACAGAGAATGCCCTCTCCCACATTGCCACCACCCCATACATCTAATAAGGCAGAAGGGGCTACCTAGAGGGCTCCCTCTGAGATCTTAACAACCAAGTGGGCCTACAGGAAATTTGGGGCCAAAGTTGTTTAGGGCTTTAAACACTAAATGTGAGTAATGTCATCAATGTCCTTACCCCATTACTATTGGTTCCCCACTGGCACTACCGAAAACTCTCAGGAATTTATGCCTATGGTCTGAAAGTTAAGCTTAGAGAGGGGAACATGGCAGTAAGACCACTGGGCACGTTTTATACTGGTGAGAAGGAATGTAACCTTTGACTAGCAGGCTTACATTTTGAACAAAGCAGGTGGAATTAAAACGATTTCCTTCTGTCTTTCTCTCTGCCTCTTCTGTTGTGGAAAATAAAATTAAATACAAGTCTTATTTACCTCTAGATTTATGGAGAGCGGGATAAATCAACATTGAAGTCAAAATAAATAGCTGGTAGAGTGACAGCAACCTGTTTGTACATGCTGGAAGGACTCATGTGAAATACATGCAGCACTGATCAATATTTAACATCTACTTTTCCAAAGTGCTCACACCATCTTTAAGAGGCACTACCAAGGAAATGTTTCGGTTTGACAGCCCTCTCTTCTTTAATTAACCGTAAGTTGGGAGCATTTTAAAAGAAACTATCTAGAATAGGAGTGTAGACTCACTGTGTAGGCATAAGGATTTTTAGATAATCAGACCCTAATTGAGCTAACTAAATTTAGTTTATGCTTAAGCCTCAATTACATGTTAGTGGTTAATTTAAATCCCATTGATTTCAATTGTACTTAAACACAACTAGCTTTAGCTAAGATGGAGACCTCAGTCTTTTGCCTTGAGTATTAACCTGTAACATTTACTGTTTTCCTCTATCCCAAATGTATTGTTGCATTTACTGTACCGTGATTAATACAGTGTTCATTCAAGATTTAGGATTAGATTCAAGTTGATCTGCTCAACCGTGAAAATACTTGCATTTGACTGATTGACGCGATTTTAAATTTACATCTTTGGAATAATTATTATACTCGGGCTCTGCAGTGTAGCTTTGGGCTAAATATTTAGAGGATATGTGGGACCACACCTGAAAAACAACAACGCAAGAGTAGCAGTGCTTTGATGAATCCCTAATTTATGTTGGATTTAACTTGGTCCAGTGACTACCTATAGAGAAACACTGCGTACAAATGATGGCCTTTGGAGCTGTTGCACAGGGTTTTCTGCACTGATGCAGTAGGAGAGCATATGCTATACAGAAGGAAATAGGAAGGCAATTTCGAAAAAATCATTTGAATCTAAAACGAATATAAAAGTAATCTGCAGTCCTATATACACTTAATCCAAAAGTAAGCCCCACTAAACACAGGGGGACCTATTTCTGAGTAACAATGAGTATGATTGAACTACAATATTTTCAATAAACTGTGGTGATTTGAGGAGAGTATCCACTGTAGGCCATTCTCCTCTACAGCCAGCAGGACTCTAAATGTTGTCCAACAGGAGAGGAGAAAGGAATCCAGAGAGCAATGACGTTGTCCTATCTCTGTGTCTGGCGGGGGGGGGGGGCGTTGCTAAAGGGCTAGCCAAAGGGTGAAGATAAGGATGTTTGTAGCCGACCCATCAAAGCATAAGACGGCATAACAATAACCAAAGGATGGGTATGTGATGCTGGCATACTCTTATGCATTGGGTTGTATCCAATGCTAGTCCTACTGAGAGCAGACCCATTGAAATGAATGAATATTGTCAGCTCAGTTCCATTGATTTAAATGGGTTTACTCTGAGTAGCACTTAATTACAAACCATGAGACTAAGGTTATGTGCACACCAGGGTGTTAATGTGCATGTCAGCCACACAGATCTGATTGTTTAGTGTGTGCTTCCAATTTAAATAGGTATTTAAGTTTCCTGTGCGCACACACGCACACACACAAACGCACACACCACTCCTTTCTCTTCTTCCCTGACTAAGGGTGAAATTCTCTGCTGCCTCCTTGCAGAGATGAATTCTGAGAGACAAAATGAAACAAAAGATTTCAAAGGAAATACTTCCAGAGAGGCTGAAGGTAAAAATGTCACCTTCAAAGCAGCAGAAAAAGAAAGGTCCATCTCTAAATCTAAGACCATAAGACACGTTGCATTTATTAATTAAGCTATAAGGATCGATACCTGAGACATTTCCTGTGGATTAATGACCAGCTGGGAGGAGCTGATGGCCTGAGGTGCAGCTGAGGGCCATTAACACCAATCAGTCATCAATTCCCAGGAAATACCTCGTGCCAAGGTCACTAAGTGACTAGATTTATTTTATGGGCAATGATAACAATAATAATATTTAGTTCGTCTCCTCTCGCTCGTTTCCTGAACCAAACGATTCTCATTTTTATGCAACAAAATGAGTTCAAAGTCGTACATATTCTAGAAATTCTATGAAAAAGAAACACACACACAGAGAGATGTTCTCTTACACACACTTGGTAAAAGTATATGGAGGGTTTTCTTTTGCTCCTTTGTGGTAAGAAATTGTTAATAACTGCAGGACTCCATAGTGATGCAAAAATTGCTCCTTTGCAAAACACCTCATGGGCATGCTAATTTACTCAAAGCTGGCAGGGTTGATTTCGAAGGACAAATGTTATGGCCCTGCTGCCTCAGCAAGTAAATGGGGTTACAGTTACCACCATGTGAGCTAGTGTATCATAGTGGCTGAGGCTACAGTCCTTTGCACACTTTCATGGGAGTAAGCCTAAATGAGCACAATAAGACTTACCTCTAACTAGGGCTTTTTTCAGGGGGAACTCACCAGAACTCAGTTCTGGCACCTCTCAGGTGGACACCTTTGCCGTTCTAAGATAGGGTTACCAGATGTCTCCGGATTTACAAATCTGTCCCCGGACAAATTCTGTCCCCAGATTTGCAAATCTGTCCCCGGGAAACATAGCAGTGGCAGCCTCAGCAGCTCAGAGCCAGCCTGGTAGCGCAGTTGGCTCTGGCTGGCTTCAGGAGCTGCTTGCTGCCGCCGCCACTGCCGAAGGGGAACCAGGGACGTCCGGCGGTTCAGATCTCCTGCCCTGTTCCCCCTTTGTTCTGACAGATCGGGGGAGGCTCGGGAGTCATGGGCGGGCAGGCACTGCCCAGGAGGGGCGCCAGGCGCATGGTTTCTCTGCCAGGCAAGGTGCAATGCCCTTCTTTTGCACCCTGTGAAACATAAATGTGCAGGTTTTTTTTTAAAAAAAAACCTGGGCAACAGCCGCCCGCCTGTGACTCCCAAGCCTCCCCCGATCAGTCAAAACAGAGGAGGAAGTTGGGCAGGAGATTGGGGGAGGCTCAGGAGTCAAGGGCGTGCGGCACGCCGTTGCCCAGTTTTTAAAAAACTGCGCATTTATGTTTCACAGGGTGCGAAAGAAGGGCTTTGCACCTTTATACAATATGCATGTGTGCTTGGGCCCAGGGTCTTTTGCCTCACCATCCCCACTACTGACTCCCTGTTGCTACTCAGCTTTGGGGATGGGGTTGTCTCCAGATTCATTGAAAAAAATCTGGTAACCATATCTAAGAGAAAGAGAGAGGATTTCATGGTGAGTTCCAGCACCTCTTTTTCTAGAAAAATAGCACTGCCTCCAAGTCAATATGCATAGGATATTTCCTCCTCTGCTCATGGCTGTGGATGCATGACTTGACTGTTTCCAGGCACTGTGGTCATCTGCAAGGGATTCTCACGTGGCAGGCTTGATGTTGCCAGCCTTCATGTCATGCTTGCAGACATCTTTGTAACAAAGAGTCGGTCTGCCAACGGGCCTGGTGCCTGAGTGGAATAAGAATGCGATAAGCAAACATTTAAAATAATTATTTAGTATTTGTTAAGAGCAAAAAGCATTATCAAACGGCATCCGGCCTATAGAAGAATGAATGTTTTGGACTCTGATTTGGCCTCCAAATTAGATGTAAAAGGCGGCATGGCTTCTGAAACATTAAAAGTTGTGTAGAAGATTGAATGGCATGCAAGCTGTATTTATTTATTTTATAAATTTAATAAACAAATGTTACTTAATAAACAATATTTTATTTGATAATAATATTTTATTTAATAATTATAACTATTTTGTTTAATAAATAAATAAATAAAATTTTAAAAGCTGTACCTGATGAAATTCTGTTATGCAACTATTAGAAGTGCAGGAAACTTGTTTTCCTTATAACTTAAGCTTCATAGAAGCCCAATGCGGTGTTTCACAGCTCCCGATCTCAATTAATGCAAATAATTACGACATGTGAGTCTTTCTCCATTCGTGTCTGGAAAAACTTCTTTTCCAAGGAGAAATTCCTTAAGGAAAGATGGTGAGCTTTTTAAAAAAAAACACAACACCTCATCTGGCCCACTGAAACTTGTCTTTGCTAACCCTATTAGTCCTAGAATTAAATCTATTACTCAATGGAGGAATCAATAAAGCTAGCTTTAGACCCCTCCACTCTTTTCCAGCCAACTGTTGGGCGTGTGAGTTGCGCCGGATGGAAACTGAGCATTAACATTTATGGTTCAGTGACATCCAGTGTTTTCTGGTGTTAAGTGCTCATGTAAAATGCATAAAGCTTAACACTGGGGTAAAAGGTGCTTTCTACAGGAGGTTGTGGTCAACTACCAGCATTTCACGGCCTAGCCAGTGCTGTCCACCTAATGAAGACTAATGTGGAATAGCTCCTGTCTCGTCCGCATAGTGTATTAAAGGGCTGACTACTCCGTTTACTTAAGCAAACAGGGAACTGTTACAAAGCCCTGAGGACCAATTATAAAAAACCCCCTCTCCAGCATTAGATGAAGTGTTAACCACAGTGTCCGGGACAAATTCCAACTCGAGTAATGACATTCTATCTAAACTCCCTCTGCCTTCTTTTACCCTTTCGAAGGAATCAGGCTTGTGGTTAAAAACACCAAACAGTTGTGAAAAGAAATCTGGGGTCTATTCCTAACATGGCCGCTCACTTCTTATTTGACCTTGTAGACAAGTCACAAGCCGTGTCTGTTGGAGGCAGTTCTCGCAAAATGAAAATATGAAGTGAAATGGTGTGTGATTTCCATTTGAAGTACTGCACAGTGTTTACATGATTTTCCCCAAGTTATCCTCAGGTATAAATTGTAGCACCCTCCATTTTGTACTTTCCCAGAGTACTTTGGGGGACACTGTGTGGGTGGGTGTAGGGTCTTCTTCTTCAAGCTGGGTTAAAACAAGAAGACACTCCACTCTCTGTGCTGCATGGTGATGGTGGAGGTGGTGGTTGTTGTTATTGTTATTATTATTATTAAAATTTGTATACTGCCCTAAACCTGCAGGTCACGGGCGGTTTACAAGGTAATAAGTGGGCAAACGGGGATTTGAATCCACATCTCCACAGTTTGACACTATGGGTGGAAATCAACATCACGCTATTATGATCAGCATAAGTATATCTGAATGAGCATTACGGAGCTCCATGGTGCAGCCTCCAGACTCAGGGAATGCTCAGCAGGACTCAGCAAAAGTGCATACCAATTCTATTATCAACTCTCTCAGGACAACGGCAAGAATCCACCAACAGCATATGAGTCAATATGGCTAACCTGATTCAAAAACACCCACCCACCCCACTCACACATGAAAACAAAGTTCAACACAGCCAATCACAAACAAGCAACCGCACCCTAGGCCAACCCCAATTTCTCTCACCACCAAAGGAACACAAGCGAATAGCAAAGAGAACCTGCACAAACAACGCTGACACAAAAACCCACACATTCATTAAGCAAAATAGAAATATTGCCTCCCGACCCCACCCCCACCCACCATGGCCCCCTCTACCTCTTCTCCCCTTTTTTCTTCTTAATGTAACCCTAATGTCTCAACAAATGAAACTGACCTATGGAAAATGTAACTTGAAAAAAGAGACATTGCGCGTACCTTTGTAAACCAAGAAAACTTTAATAATTTTTTTTTTAAAAAAACCCTAAAAAACTAAAAAACAAAACTCTCTCAGGATGTTGCTGGCCACTCTCTGGGCTACCATGCATAATGCCAATGGATACAATCATGGTGAATACAGTATAGCTTTATTGCATCTCCACAGTGCTTGGCATTTTCTATAATGGCCAGTGGATTACTTCAGAACAAACTGAATTCAGAAATCCATCTGTATTTGGTGCATTGTGCTTTATGGGGCATTGTCTGTACGCTGCGCTGCAAGCCGCTTGTGTACTGAAATGAGCTGATACCCACTCAGCACATGTCAGATGCTGCACAACTCTGCTCAACTCAGTACAGGTTTGTTTTTGTGAATGGGAACCTCATTTTATACTTGGAAACACTTGCATGTAAGCTAAGAAGTTGTTTCTTGCCATAATATTGTGGTATCCAGCCACACCAACTTGTGCTTCTTCCTGATGTGTGACTGTAGCATGAACGTGCATAGATGGCAGAATGTGTTCGAAAGAGTGGCAGGTACTGTATGTAGTTGCTTAGAGCACATTAGTTAGTTCCGAGTCCTATTCGTCCTCCTTATTGACACCGTTAACCAAGGAATAATACAGCAATTGGGGTTGTGATTTTTAATTGCAGTTAAGTTCAATTGCCTTACTTTTAAGCAATCAGTTTTGACTGACTGAAGCATTACAGTCATTCGATACCATTTTATAGCATTCCATTTTTGCCCCTGCATTCTTCTGAGGAAATTGGGCATGCAGCAATGGGATCCCTTGCCCTAGCCTCTCTCAGTGAAGGACTCAATTCTATTTGCCTGGTTTTTCTTCATTCCTTTCTGGCTTGTTTCGCAGCCCGCGTCACCCCCCCCGTTTTGCCATTTGCCGTGCACACAATGGACACAATGGCTTTGCTTAGCCAGGAGGGGGGGCAGAAGGACTGCAAAGAGGCGCCAGCTGTGACCTGAGCCCAGGAGACATCGTATTTCAGCCTTGTGACACATTTCACCCTCTCGTGACCTGGTGCCTGCGCTGCACAAGCTGTGTCTGAAATGGCAGAATTGTCATTTGTCAGTCAGATGGAGATGGAGGGGGAGGGAAGGAAAGGAAAGGAAATGGGGGGGGTCACACAGAGGAACTACTGGGGCACCATTGCAAGGAAGGTGTCTACTTCAGCCTCTACACCTTGGTGGAATAAAGAAGAATGAAAATGGGCAGGGCAGAAAGGGAATTTTGAGTCTGTTCATATGTTTTAGCAAACCCTAACTCAGCTTCTCTCCTCCCACAGCCCCCCAAACAGACATTTGTTCTTTTAAAAAGTATGTCATCTGGCATCATCCTTACAATTGTCTGGGAGATATCTAAAAGCTTAGAATCATCCGATGCACTGAGCATACGGTTTTTGATTACTATATGGAAGCTACTAACTAAAAGTGTAAAAGTCCCACTGATGCGTTTATCACTTGTTAAGGGTATTAGAGCCTCCTGGTTTCTGGCCTTATCTATGTATTGCCTCTGGCTTCTCTTTTTTTCATATCACCTGTGGAGGGGCTGAGTGCTTGGCTGTGAATCCGAATCACAGTTGGTTTTCCCAACTGACTATTCTCCCCCTCCCTAAGCCTTCTTTTGGCTTTTCCTTCAGGCCAGATCCCACCTGTGATCCACGTGTAGCTTTCTCAACTACCTCTCTCTCCAGGCAGAGTGAGCCCAGCAATCCTCATCATTCTCTACCAGAGAATCGCATCCTGCTTCTTAAACTCCTCACCATTGCTTTGACCTCTTTGCCCAGAAGGGTTTTAGGGTCTTTAATTGCTGCATGGAAAGCACAAATTCAGCAAGTGATGCTTTTCCAGGCACACCAATATACCCACTAAATGTCTGCTAGTCATGCAGCCATAAAAAACACAGAGCTCTGCAAGAATATAAAGGTTGCTATGAAATCAAAGCATATGTTCCCCTACCTTTACTTCTTAGCAACCAAATAGAAGAGCTGATGTATTCTCCTTAAGACCCGACATGGACAGCTTCTCACTCCAGTTTTCAAGTATTAGGTAAGCATATCTGCCATATACCTGAAAAACATGGCCTGATCCACATAGAAGGTACAGTGTGCGTGGGTTTCTGCATGGAACAGGAAGCATGTGTAGGCTTCTGCAACTAGATGAGCTCACCTTCTCTCTATCTAGGAGGGTCAACAAATTCAAATTTAATTTAATTTCCTGCTGTAGAGGAACGGCAGGACTGTGCATTGTGAGGAGCACCAGTATAGTGGGGACATTGGCCTTTCAGATAGACCCCCGCCAGCTGCCACTGCATGTACACACAGCGTGTCTTTCATCGAAATAGGCTTTAATTCCAGTTAAAGACCTGTCATAGACCTGCCATAGCCAATGCAGGACAAGCCTGTCAAACAAAGCAGGGTTGTTACCCATCCCTGCTTTTTGGGGTGCTTCCAGGTGTGCTTTAAAAAAAATTGATTCAGCATTCATTTGTTTGCTGGGAGGTTAGATGACATTGCTTCAAAGCAGGTGTTCTCTCTTAGGTTCCATTGCATTTTTGCATCATGTTCCTTATTGAAAAATGTCTATTTTCTGGGGCGAAGTAGATTTGTTGCACAAGACCTTCTAGTCAAGGACTGTGAGCAACATCATGGGAGGAGCGTTTCCAGATACCCCAGCCTTTAGAAGCCTTATAAGCTGCTGCAGGAGGAACTGCATGGGGGAAGCATTTCTAGGACCAAGGTGAAACTCTCAAGCTCCCGGGTTATTTCTAATGTTGTTGATGTAATGTTGTTATATACAGCACAGAGAGGTTGGTTTTTTTGTATGCTATATTTGCTGTTGTCATTTTACTATTACTGCTCTTGTGATGGTTGATTTTGAGATGTTTTGCCGTTTGTTATAAGCTGCTTCGACCATGATTTTTTCGGGAGAAGTATCACAGAACTGTAGAGTTGGAAGGGACCCTGAGAATCATCTAGTTCAACCACCTGCAATGCAGGAATCTCAATTAAAGAATACATGGAAGACGACCATCCAACCTCTGCTTTAAAACCTGGAAGGAAGGAGAGTCCATCACCTCCCTAGGGAGTCCGTTCCACTGTCAAACAGCTTTTACTGTCAGAAATTTATTCCTGATGTTCTTGTAACTTGAATTCATTGGTTCAGGTTCTAGCCTCCGGAGCGGGAGAAAACAAGTTTGCTTCATCTTCCATGTGACAGCCCTTTAGATATTTGAAGATGGCTATCATATCTTCTCTCAGTATCCTCTCTACCAGGCTAAAAACATACCCAACTCCCTCAGTGAGTCAACTACCAATGTGTCACCTGTATTTGCCTGTACTTGATTGAATTCCACCCCAAAATAGTGAGAGTCTGGAAGTACCTCTAGTTACAGATTTCTGATTCACCTGCACAGGAGAGCTCAAGCAGGGAGTGTTTACCAGCAGAATTTGCTCATGTCACTTATGAACCAGTAAAATGTGTCATTCTCATCACAACCTTGAGTGATGAAATAAGACACATTTTAAGAAGTTTGCCCATCCACAGTATAAGCTAATTGTCAATGTTGTCACTGGCAGCAAAGACAGAGATGACACCACTGATACAGTGGTGATAAGCCAGTGTCTCTGGGGTCCCTGTTCAGACAAATTCACTTCCTTAACAGTATGGAAATCAAATACTCATTTTTGTTGTTTCGGTGCATGCCATATACTTTTGACTGACTGCTGAAAAAATTACACCTTTCATATCTTTCCTGTATGACTAAAAAAAGAAGAAGCAGCTTTTTAAGCATGTTTGACTAACTTATTAATAGTCCCATTCAGTTAAAAACATAATGGAAATGACACATCTAATTCTATGAATTTAAAGCTAAACACAATCTTGTGTGTCAAAGAACTCAAGTCAGTATCGTTTCTTTGACAGCGAAATCTGAAACATGTTTACTCAGAAGTCAATCTAAATTCAGTGGGACTTACTCTCCAGCAGATGTATTTAGAATGGCAGTCTGAGTCATTTGAGAATAACTACTGCTATCTCACATATTATGTAGTGCAAAAACACAACATTTGATGGACAAGTTTCTATTTCTTACAACAAAATCCTATAGTGTACCTAAATGCTTACCACTGCTTGTGCCAACACAAGCTAAATACTATCTACCCATAACTATTATTAAATCAACACAGAAGCAAAGCTAGAAGAATTATATGACATTCCCACAACAAGAGTCCCAAACAACTGCTTAATGCCTCCATGAAGCATAACATTATACTGTACCAAAAAAATACCTCCAGTGCTTAAGCAAGGGAAGAACTGAGAAGGATGGCTCTGAGATTGCATCTCCTGTCTCCTAAAACTTTAGCAAGCAGCAACCACAGGGGATAGGGGATTTCAGTGATAACGACAATGTTCTTTTCCCTGTTAAATGTAGATGCATACATGTCATAGAATAATAGAATTGTAGAGTTGGAAGGGATCCTGAGGGTCATCTAGTCCAACCCCTTGCAATGCAGGAATCTCAACTAAAGCATCCATGGCAGGTGGCCACCCAACCTCTGCTTAAAAACCTCCAAGGAAGGAGAGTCCACAGCCTCCCAAGGGAGTCCATTCCAATGTCTAACAGCTCTTCCCGTCAGAAAGTTTTTCCAGATGTTTAGTCGGAATCTCCTTTCTTGTAACTTGAAGCCATTGGTTCGAGTCCTACCCTGTGGAGCAGGAGAAAACAACCTTGCGCCACCTTCCATATGACAGCCCTTCAGATGTTTGATAATGATTTTTATTAGTCTTCCATTACAACAATCCAATCCAATAACAACCTCATTATAACAATGCCAAATTATAATACAATTAATAATACCAATCATTGAGATGCCAAATTATACAATTTAGTAGGGACACTTGAGTAGGGATTTAGTTAACAGGCTACAATCATTAAGTGACTGTTTTGCACTAGCGCAAGCAGAGTGAGATACCATCCTGTCCTGTTCAAGCAGTCTTGCCAGAGGATAGAGTCAGGTTGTACGATTCAAGTTCTCCATGTGAACAGAGAAATAAAGAGGAGCAATTGATTATCTTGATTCTTATCATATTATTCCCCAAAGATTCAGGACTGTCTATTTGGAAAGAATCAAGGTGACATAGCTAAAGCGTTACATTTTTCTATATACATCGGAACCTCTCCCTATTCTCCCACCTTCAGATACTACTAATTCAGTTTTGAGTTCACCCATCTCTCTTGTGACTCCACATCAGTGTAACCTTATGGAAATGATATCCTCTTTTATCTGCTGTCTGATTACTCAAATGTTTTTTGTGCTCCTGAGGCTATTTAGATAAATTGAATTGCACAGTATATGAAGACATTTTTACATATTACGGAAGCATTTTAAATGCCACAAGAAATGATGGGAGTAGTGTGCTATATTTCTGAGCACTGCGTAGATTGGTCATGATTTTTAACATGGAACAGCTTTCAGTAGCTTATTTGACTGTAAATTCTTTACAGGCTAAAACATAGCCACAAATACAAACATTATGTACACATATGAACATAAATCTGCATGGTACTGAGGCAGACCATTGTTCCTCCTTTTAAGAGAAGATGCCAGAGACTGGTGCTGGGAACTTGTGTATGCAGAGCATGTAGCTACCACCAAGCTATGACCCCTCCCTACGCTGGAAGCAAAGCTTTGTAGATGTATTCATTTTTCAGTTCTGTGCTGAGAAAAGTAGAACATCATGGGGTATTTCCCCCTCAAAGAGCCTTCTATGACTAACAACACAAACCCAATGCAATTTTCCATTATGTGTATTAATTAGATCAGGCTAAGGTTTCCGGTTTCCTCGGTCTACAGATCAATATCCTCCCAGCTCTGAAATAGATCAAATTTAGGCCTTTTGTTATAAAGTGAAGTTGAAGCTCTCTTTTTTTGGTTCCTTATTGTACTGCAGATTCTGCCCTCTGACCTTGAATGGTGGGCAGTGGAGTCTGGCCACAGTTCAGCAATAATAATAATAATAATAATAATAATAAATTTTATTTATATCCCGCCCTCCCCAGCTGAAGCTGGGCTCAGGGCGGCTAACAACAATAAAACAATACAAAAGTACAGCATAAACAACACTCTAAAATCATTCATTATAAAATTAATTAATTCAAGCCACTGGCAACCATTGGGCCAAGGGAGGGAGTCAGGCTGTGCCCTGGCCAAAGGCCTGGTGGAACAGCTCTGTCTTGCAGGCCCTGCGGAAAGATGTCAAGTCCCGCAGGGCCCTGGTCTCTTGTGACAGAGTGTTCCACCAGATCGGAGCCACAGCCGAAAAAGCCCTGGCTCTAGTTCAGGCCAGCCTAACTTCTCTGTGGCCTGGGACCCTCAAGATGTTTTTATTTGAAGACCGTAAGTTTCTCTGTGGGGCATACCAGGAGAGGCGGTCCCGTAGGTACGAGGGTCCTAGGCCGTATAGGGCTTTAAAGGTTAAAACCAGCACCTTAAACCTGATCCTGTACTCCACCGGGAGCCAGTGCAGCTGGTATAGCACCGGGTGTATGTGATCTCGCAGTGAAGACCTCGTAAGGAGTCTCGCTGCAGCATTCTGCACCCGCTGGAGCAAAACTTAAGTCATGACTAAATTCCATGCTATTGCTCTCAGTGGGGCTTAAATATGACAAGTCTCTTGCTGGACTGTGCCTAGGGCACCTGGGCACCTAGGGATGGGCAATCGGGATTCAGCTTCAGTGCATTGGTTCATATCCAACCCATCACTGCTTCTAAGTGAGTGCGAGTCCTGAGGTGCTCTCCTGATTCAGATGGAACAAAGATAGAGCTGGGCATCACCTGCATACTGATAACATCTCTCTCCAAATCTCCTGATGACAGCTCTCAGCAGCTTCAAACTGATCTTAAATGCCATGGGGGACAAGATGGAGCTCTGTGGGATGCCACAGGACAGTTCCCATGGTGCTGAGCAATGGCTTCCCCATAATTACTTTCTGGAAACAGTCAAGAATAACTGGCTGCAAGTGGAACCAGGCTTTTGTCACTAGCTGTGGTATCTGCTCATTCATGGGATTGTTTAGCCAACTCTTAGGACCCAGAAGGCACACATTTGGATGGATTGGCACAGCTAAACATTTTTTAAAAATCCAGTCTGACCAAAGGCAGATTAAGATTATTTGTAGCAAAGATACCTTGTTTGTTTAAAGTCTGTTAAAATATAAAATAAGAATCTTCTTTAAGACCAATGGCTTTCAAAGATCTCTCCATCTCTTCACTAAATGTCACAGAGCCGCATATCAATACGTAAGGTTGTCTTCTGCATGTGTTCACCATACTCTTAATCACGTCCTCGTTTATTCGACCAAGGTGCGTGTTTTTTTGAAAGCTCCAAGGCAGATTTTCGAGTGAATGCTCCTGAAGAGGCAAAAGTATAAGACACTTTAAAATCATCTCAGAGAAACATAGGGCCAATACTAAATTAGCCTTGAGCTATATTAATCCCATTTTTCTCTCCTGGATGGAAGGAGAAGAAGTGGGATGTAGAGACCTCTGGCTTTTGTCTGGCCGGGATGTAGCCTTCTGTACAAAGATAAGAGTCACATCCATTGTTCTGCCTGCTTTCGCTTCCGGATCCACTCAGCCCTGGCATGTGGCCCCTGGAACACTGTACATGAGGGGACGCGGCTCTTGGGCTGCGCTGCAAAAGGCTCTACATGCAAAAATGGGCTTTACTACCTAGCTATGGTCCTTTTCCCAGCTAGGAAGGCTAGACATGACAAGGTTTTCAGTGCAGGACTGAACCACTTGCAATACATATAGCATGAAGGTTCATGCATCAACTGAGGGGAAGGTTGTCACACTGTCCCATGGGAAGGAAAAATTGCCTATTAGAATATTACCTGGCTTAATACATAAAATGCCCTTATGTTCCAGAATCGAGATTGCTCTTGAAGAAGAGGCTTCATGTAGATATTTTCAAAGTTCCTGAAGCAGCCCACTAGAGTTACAAATGTTTCATCATCCTCATTCTCTGTTATGTACTGAAGAATAGGAAGCATTGGCGCTAGACCAGTACCAGAAGCAAGCATGAGAAGTTCTCCATACTGAAAATGAAGCAGAAGATGCCAAATACATCTGAGTCACTGGAAATGGAAAAACACTACAACAGAAACTTAATTTCAGCGCCAATTCATCATTTCATCCTATAAAAAAAGTGTGAACACTGCGTAACTCGGGGATTATCTTTTCTCCTTTGGTAATCATGTCCACTGTGATCAACTGAGAAAGCTTTACTTGGCAATAAGTCCCAATGAACTTTTTGAATAGACATGAGCTTGTTCCAGAAAGTGCATGTCATGCTAAATCATGGTCAGTATTGAAATTCAGATGAGAAGGAAGCTTCAAGAGGGAATGAAACAAACATGGTAGGAAGACAGTGCTCAGAAAGGACACAGACTTCACCGTTTATCTTTTCTGTCTCTTTTGGTTTGCAATAGTAACAGGACAATTCTAAGTATGTTGACTTGGGATGGAATTCTATTTTGTTCAATGGGGAGTGCGTCCTATTTAGGATTACAGCCTTAATTATCAAATATAAAAGAAAATTATACTATACTAAATCTGACTCGACTGCTATTCTTGATCATCTGCTATATTTTCTCCTCTTGTTCTTTTTAAAAGAAATTGCATCCTACACAGATCCATGTCAAAGCTCTGAAGCACTGTGGTGAAAATCTGAAGAACCCTACCCTGATCCTTAAACCCTAATGGTTTCCCCCTCATTTCCTGAAACCAAAAATAGGAACACAACTATTTGGTATTTGACTACTTGTAATAATGGCCCTACATCTGATTGTATCTCATTGGTATTGTATTGTCCATTTTATTTTATATTACATTTTTAGATATTATGCTGTTAACTCCCCTGTGATTGCTATGTAGTGAAGGGGTTGAGAGGGGGGTTGTGTGTGTGTAAGTATATATATGGCTTTACTTGATTGGCTGAATAAGGAAAACCTCCAAATGGTCCTCTCCAACAAACCGAATCTCCTTCTTTCCAGGATTTTACATATTGTGACATGAGTCCATCTTCATAGCACTTGTAAAGAAAACACAAAACAAACAAACAAAAACATTTTTGAGAGGAAACCTCACGTTTATATTCTACAAATAAAATTTCATAAACTAGAACAGAAAAAACATTTTTAAAATCGCTTAAAATATATATTAAAGGTCTAGCACAAAGAGATTTAAATTAATCTGGGACATGAGTTACGAATCTAGCATTATTTGTTAATTCGCTCAAGTGTATGCAAAATAAAGATTGTCTATTGCTTGTATTGTGATTGTGCTGACTAAGCTGGGTGGCTGACTAGGCTGGGTGGCCACTCAGGTATTTTAAAACCTGCTCTGACTGCAAATAGCCTTTGCACCCGATACTGTCTAACAGATACACAAAATAGCACCTAACACATGCAATCATTTATTCATTGTGAAACTCTGTGCATTCATAGGAAAAAGGGAGCTTTCTGAGTAGTGAAATTCAAATGCACAATGCCTCTTTGGTCATTTGTTCCAGGACTTGTATATTCTGCCTTTTTAATGCTTCCTTCATCTATGATTTTGGAGTAAAAGTAGTTCAAGCTAAGACAATGTATCACACAAAAATCTGATCACAGCACCAGACCTTATACTTTCTCTATAATAATGAGTGTAAAAAGCATCTGCATCTAAGAAAGAACCAAGTTGGCTCAGTCAGTAGAGCATGAGACTCTTAATCTCAGGGTCAGGGGTTCAAGCCCCACACTGGACAAAAGATTCTTGCGTTGAAGGGGGTTGGACTAGATGATCCTTGTTGTCCCTTCCAGCTCTACAATTAATTCTATGATTCTAAGAAGAGAGATAACTATGCTTAAGGTGGCCAGCTTTACACAGACTCTGCTCCTATGCCTCTGGCATGACACACAGAAAAAAAATTCCCAGAGGGAGAGTCTATTGCAGCAAAAGCAACACATTGTGTTGCAGCACCTTAAAGACTTAAGAATTTATTATGGCATAAGATTTAATGGATTAAAGTCAACTTCATCCACTGCAGTGGACTCTAGTCCATGAACGCTTATGCCACAATATATGCATTAGCCTTCAAGGCATAGCTGCCAACGTTTCCCTTTTTTAAAGGGAAATTCCCTTATTCCGAATAGGATTCCTCGCAAGAAAAGGGAGAAGTTGACAGCTATGCTTCAAGCTGCTACAGGTGGTCTTTGCTGGTTTTACAACTGCCATTTAGCAGATGGAGCTTTTCTTATCACATATCTTCATCTCAGGAGACATTGCTGATAAATGTCTGCATGCCAGGCTGCTGTTAAAACTTTAGGAGTTGTGGCAGGGTGGAGTTGCTGGTATACCTCTAGCCATACTGAGAAGAAGGCAGAAGAGGATGTTAAATTCAAGGTGTGAAGAGAGAGAAGACTTCAGTTACCACGTTTCCCATTTGGTGAGAGATTGGTTGCAGGAGACAGAATGTATTTAGAATCGAATAGGTTCCTTCCTCGTTCTAATGGGGAAATGACCAAACTGGTTTGTAATGAATTCTTGTAAATAGAAGAGCAGGAGAAACTCCTGAAGAGAAAACCTCTATGCCAGGTTTTACACCAAAAAACACCATAACATTATAGAATCACTCAAAGGGAGGGTTAAGCGCAGAAAATCGCCACTCACTTGCACTTAACTGTAGTATCACAAATGCAGCGCCATAATCATGGGACACAGGGGTGTCTGAACAGCACTTGGATTGCATAGTAATAATAATAATATAGTACTTCCAAAAATTGCCTGAATAGTGAGAAATACACTACAATCTACAAAGCCAAGTTATACAAATGGGTGCTTTACGATGGGTGTTCCATCTCTTTTGTTACTGCCAGAGAATAACTATGGTTCCTTTTGGGATGAAAGGTTCTATATAAAGGGAAGGTGTTATTACAATCATTACTACTATTATTGAAATGCAAAACTTGTGTGTAATAAGCAAGTATATATAAAATTTCACAGTCAGCCTATAAAGGTAACCTATTAATGCAGCTCAAATGTAGCATTTCCCCCTCCAATTGCCACAATAATGGTGAAATGATCCACCCACAAGTGTCTTATAAAAGCTATACACACCTCAAAAGGAGTATAATTCATGCTCAAACTATCACGCAATCAATGATAAAACCCTGAAAAGCACACATTCCTGGAGGGTGAGCAGAGGGCAAAATGATGGGTCCCTGTGACCTGCCTGGAAGATCTAGTGCTTGAGGTTTGAGATTTACAGTGAAATCTATCTTCCCCTGAGAAGGTATAAAGACAGATTAAAAAGATAGACATGATTTTGATATTCCTAGGCTCATAATTATTTATGTTTGCACTGATCCTTGTTAGGCTAAGCCAACATTCCTTCTGAACATAAGGACTCAAAGGCTGCAATCAATAAATCTCTTAATCCCATAGAGAAATCATTGAATTTACTCAGGAGAATTGCCTTATGCAGTGATTGACACTGATCCTAAAAACATTACAGCTGTCTTACAGCATGGAATGGCAGGTACTGTAGTTACTACAGTTTCCTGCTGTGGTCATTCTGGCTACACTGTCTGTAACATACCATAGCAATGTAACAGATGACTACTAATATAGGCACAAAGATGGATCCTATATAGATGGCTCCATATTGTCCAAAATGACAGATGAGTCATCCTCAACCCTTTTACTCCCCCACCTCATCATCACAAAACCCTTCACAATGACAAATTGCTGCAGCCCAACATACACCAAGTAGATGCCCTTCTCTAAGAACAACTTGGCTTAACCATGAAGTAAAGCCTGTTGAGCTGTCAACTCGATTGACTTGGGTGCAGTCTATACATACGGCAGAATGACGGGGTAAAATGGACAGAAACAATTCAGATGGGAGGTAGGATGGGAACACATTTTAAGATTCTCCCTTGTGTTGAAAGCTCACTGCAGGTAGAAAACTATGGATTAGGGAAAGTTGTACTTATTTATAGGGGGAGGGGAACCTTTGCGTTCTGCTTTCCCCTTTGGAAATGGAGTTGCTCCAAGATGTTAACAAGGTGTAAACAGCCATAAAAATAATAACAACAGTAAAATAACATGTCATTAAAACAAATACCAAAGCCAACACAGCGTCATGAAACAGGGAGGCACGGAGAGCCAGAGCTAACAATAAATAAACTAAATTAAGCAACAGCAGAACCAAAGCCTTGTGGTGCTGTTGTTTCTCTAAAAAAAGGCATAAGATGCCAGCAGAACACAAACAGAGAGGAAGATAACCTAATCTCTTGAGGCAGGGAGTTCCATATGTGGCACACTGCCACAGGAAAAGCCCTCTTGCATGTGCCTCAAAAGGCAGTGCTACATGTAGTACATGTCATTTTTTTACTTGCAGGAAGTTTCTGAAATGGTACTACCCAGAATTCCGTCACCCCAGTCTACCACCTCATCTCGCTGCATGAGTAGCCCTGTCTTTACTTCAGAGCGAGGGGAGGGGGGCAGAATTCCACATATTAGGACTAACAAGCCAAATCTTTGACTGCAGGCCTCTAGTTATTAAAGTACAAAGCTAAGCACTCAGCTGGCCTAGAAGATGACATGATTCCTACGTCAAGCTGTTAATCTATAGAACAAAGGCCGCTATTTACCTTTATTAAAACTTCAAAGTACCCTTCAGCATTCACAGGAGTAATTGGAGTATAGGCTCTCTGAACCTCCAAACCATTCACTAGTCCTCTGAGGAAGGAAAAGAGAGAGAGAGAAAGAAAGATAGAGGAAGGGAACCCTGATCTGAATCCCTTACAATTCCTGTCAGCAAAGTACTGCTCTCTCAGCAAAGGCTGCTGCCTGAAAAGCACTGCAGGTATCCTTCCTCCTTCCCCATGGGCTGTCCTTTGCCAAGCCAGACAATAGATCATTCCCTCCCATTTTGCAGTGAAATCACAGAGATTCAAGGCATTGAAATAACCTCAGATTTCTCTGTCACACACCTCCCTTAACAATCCTTCCCTTTCCTGGGGCCAGATGAGCTACGTGGCCAGCCTAGCTATTTTGTGCAATATAGCTATGTTGCTCACAAAGTAAGGGAATTATAGAACTATACTAAGGGGGAGATTATAAATGGTCTTGGACAGATAGTGAATACATGGAAATAATATTAACAAACAACATCCCGTACTCATAAAATTTTGAATTTGGGAATGCTCCTAACTAAATGTACAGAAAGAATAACTGAAACAATTGTGCAAAATCAGACCTATCTCACAAAAGTTACACAGAGGTCAATGATACTACTCCTAGGCTTAATCCATTGTATCCCTACATGTGTTGGAAGGAGCCCGGAATGAACCATGCTCCTGCCGTGGTGCTGGCAACTTCACTCAGTTTATAGAAACTGACTTAATCACAGTCATCTTAAAAGTCCAAAAATGACGTGGGAAGTAATGTACCTCTTGGCTTCCACTGCCAATAAATTGCACATCAACAACAGACAACTTTTCAACTCAGAATAGTCAATTCTTTTATCCTTAATGAAGTTTTGTGAGGCATCTAGCTGTTACAGTGACGTGGAGGATATATAGTGAGCTCTATAAGTTGCCAACAGCAGCTTTATTAATCTGTTTTCAGTGGGTGTCAGGCCTTTCAGATAGATGCTCAGTGTGATATTATGGTCCTCCCACAAAGGGGATGGGGGAAGTCCAGGAGATTCTTTGGAATCTTGTTTTTATGTTGTTTGTTGGATACGTGATTGTAAAATTTTAATCTGAAAAGCCAAATAAACAATTTTTTAAAAAGAAAGATATTATGGTCAGGGTGTTGGTGTTGGACCACAGAATCTAGAGACTGCACCATCACTCAGTTATAAGGTTCACTTGGGCAACTTTGATCAGTCAGTCTAACTTATTTCACAGAGTTACTGGGACGGCAAAATGTTCCCACATACCTTAGAGCAGGCAGAGCCAAACTCAGCCCTCCGGATGTTTTGGGACTACAACTCCCACCATCCCTAGCTAACAGGACCAGTGGTCAGGGATGATGGGAATTGTAGTCCCAAAACATCAGGAGAGCCGAGTTTGGCCATGCCTGTCTTAGAGGAAGGGTGGGATACAAAGGTAACTCATAACATAAATAATATGAAAGGTAGCTCTGTACTGGGCATAACTTCCTCAGGGGGAAAAGTTAATATACTGTCCCTATGTGTTGGTACGTGACGATCATTCCAATACACATTTGCTTTTCACCTTTTCCCTTCCTGTAAATTGGCTTTCTTACCCACACTTAATTTTTCTGCCTCCAATACAACTAAAATGGAAGGAAAACAAGTGTAGGGTAGCATATACCATAAAATTAACAAGGTTAATAAGCTCAGTGAGCTCACAGGTTCTTTCAACAGAGCCAATCTGGGAGCACAGAAATTATGATTTACTTGGCATGAAATCTTTGTAGCTCAACAACAACAAAAAGCAAGTTAAATCACATACTGAGGCCTGTTTAACTAGAGACTTAGTACAGTACCTTAGCACAATATGTTGTCCCAAACTCAACCCTAGGCTGCTATTTCCAGGCAATTCAAATTTATACTGGTAGGTGTCCTCTGTCAGCTGATCCACAGAGCTTATGATGAAAGCTGTAAACGTTTCTGGAGTTAGTTCTGAATTACTACACTGCAAAAGCAACAATAAATAATTACAAGGTTAAGCAATGCCACCCTCTTTTCTTTTTTTAAAAAAATGTGAGTGAATTCTGCCATGGTGAAACATGTTACTGCAAAACACACACACACCCTGCCACACACACAAATTTTAAAGACTGAATACATCTGGTCTCAATAAAGTGTTAATTCAGTAAGTAATTATTTGTGAAGTCCCATTTTAATCTGCTTGCCTTTTTTACAATTATGACCATAACAATATGCTGATAATGATTTTGGAAGGTGAGAAACTAAAGGTATGTCCACACAGAAATAGTAATAGCACTCCCAAAAGATGATGGAAGGCCATCTAGGAGGTAATTTTCTACCTATCTCAAGGAACGAATGGGCATTCCTCCTTAGTTTGCAGTCTCTCTCAAAAGCAATTTCTTATTTTTCTCCAGACCTCCCACTAGGGCTGCCGTCTTTCTTCCTTTGCAAAACTCCAGCGTTTTTAACAGCTCCATGTCTGCAAGAATTACATGAGCGAAGCTTCTCACAGTACAAAGATCCAGTGAAGAGAATAGCTTATTCGGGCCTCCAGGCAATCTTTAGAAGCAAATTTTGCATTACCAATTTGTTCAAGACATGTTTTATCTTTTTCAGGGCACGTGAGCCATTCATTGTGTGGCCCCTGAATTTGATTGAAGTCTCAAGATTTCAGATTTGGAACAAGGAATAATAAAGAACAGCACCTCTGAGCATGTGCCTCAGCCTTAGCCCTGGCACATCAAAATGGCTTCCAGCCCAATGGAAAGGGCTTCCAAGCAGGCTTGAACCCCAATAGCTATCATTTCAAATAAAAAAAGCATTTCTCTTTGTTTCTTCATTTCCTTGTTCTCATTTTCCCAGCATGCATTTCACAACCCTATGCGTTTTTAGTCTGAAGTAGGACCCATTGCGTTCAGTGGGGCTTAGTCTCAATGGGATCGGCACCTCAGCTCCTAGCATCCTTTCTCAGGTATTACTCCAATAAGCAACATAATATTTTAAAGGGATTTGTGCTTGCCCTCAGTTGTTGGGTGCTTGAGGAGCGTTAACAGAATTGGAGAAAGCCCAGATGGCACAATGGGATAAAACTGAATTATGAGTAAGTTGTGATGTTCATCAATATGAGAGATGCTAGAAAGGAATGTATTCTCCTGCATGGATTACTATATATTTTCTTGCATTTAAAATGTAATGATAATTAAGCTTACATATTTTACTCCTTTTTATAGGAGCAAAAATACTTGCAAGATTTATTGGGAAGACAATATGGCAGCAAACTATAATTACAAATATTAAAGTGGGAAATTTGATAAGTGTTATAAAACACTTTTTCTAATAATTCTGCATTCAAGAGACTGGCAGGAGAGAAACAAGTCAAAGACATAAACTTCTTGAAACATAGTCTTATTAAACTTCTAATTAGATATAAAAAGGACAAAATACTGTTTTGGAAAGTAACTGCAAAGTAACCATGTCTTAACCATGTCTCCTCAGAAATAAGGCCTACTTAATTCAGTGGGGCTTACTCCCAGGTGTGTGGGGTTAGGATTGCAGCCTAAACAGATATACCTGAACGTACAGTAGGATCTATTTACAAGGGGGTGGGGATAGGACCCAGATGAAATATTAACATAATTTTAAGATTTCTACTTGCTGTTTCTTCCTTGTCAGGAGGCTTCTGTCTTTTTTTGCCTTGGCCTTTTCCCACTGCTCCAGCTCGTCCTGATACGTGTCATAGACACAAGGTTTGCAGCCACTACCACAGCACTGGGATGGCAATGGCTCTTTGGGCTTGAGAGACAGCCAGTCATCTTCACTATCATCCATTATCTAGAAAATATAACACTCAGTTTCAAATTGTTGGATGGAAATGATCTGACCCTACCACAACCAACATGTATTTTAGCACATTATAACTGAATTCCTTGCTTGGAAGCACTTCATTTTTTATTGATAATGTTAATATTACTTGTAAACCTCTTAAGAAATTTTGTTACGACCAAGTAGTAAATAAATCTTGTTAAATATAACATCTATATTTGTTTTTAATCTATTTTTGGAATATTGTTATTTTTAAGCTTTTGTATGTTGCTACAGTATTTGTTATTTTGCTTCAGGATTTTTTAATGGGAAATGATATACACATGTAATCAACTGTAACCTTCTACAGCATCATACTTTGCTTTGGATTGATGGTGCAGGTCCTACCCCTCAGAAACAGGTTAAACAGGTCATTTTTCCTCCTTCCAACTCTCTACAGAAGCAAAGGCATCAAAGAGAATGTAAAATATGTTGTCCCAACAGGGAAAATGTTGAGGCTGTGGATCCTGTCCCCAGTATGTTTTAGGAGCTAAACCTCTGTAAACCTGATCAGAGTTCAGTATGCCATCCTTTCATATAATGTCGTTGTTTTAGGAAAAACCATCTTGCTGGACTCTTCTGAAGTTACATAATCAGGGGAGGCTGACAGTTTTACATGTACACATTTACATTAAAAAATCCAATCTGGATGCATTCACCAACTAGCTAAGAGCCATATGGGGGTTGTGCCTACAGATGTCTATGCACCTTGCCTTACATCAAAATGAGTACAGTAATGGCCACCACCTTTACAAACAGGTTTAGGCAAACTTATGCGGGATGAGACTACTGATTGCCACTAATCATGATACCTCCAGTATCACAGGCTGCATATCTCTGTATAGCACTTGCTGGGAAACATGAGCAAGGAGTATTGTGGCACTCGTGTCCTTTCCAAAGACATTTGGCTGGCCACTGTGCGAACAGGATGCTGACCTTCATTTCATCCAGTACAGCTCTTCTTTATGTTCTTAAGATCAAAATGTACAGGCCAGGAGGATTCTGGGAGTTGTATTAAGCACCATTAACAATATATGCCAACTTCCCATATTTTCCAGGTACGGTCTTGATAAATTACACCCCTGATCAATTACAGTCCATATTAACATTATCAGCTTTTTAAACAAAAAGGCAGGAAATGGATAGAATCAATTAATATTTTCATTAGCACATATACACAAGGTAAGTCGTTCTTGAGATTTCTAGTCAGAATGTTAATGTGAGGGAGGGACAAGAGCTGTTTGCAAATGATCCCAAGTTCAGTCATTGGCATTTACAGGTAAGCTGAGAAAGTCCCTTGTTTGGAACACTGGAGAGATGCTCAGTGCAAAAGATATTGAACTAGATGGACCAATGGTTCTGACTTGTAAGGCTCTGACTTGTAAGGACTCTATGTCCCGTTTTCCACTAAGCAATGCTGGGAGGGTTATTATTTGACCAGTCCCATTAATGCTACAAACATCGATGGCAGTGGCACATCAAGAACAGGAAGTTGTGTGGTTCTGACTATAGCTTAAATTCGGGTCCACACTCCTGCCTACTTTCCTGTGTTGTGCTGCTGCCTCTGCCCTTGTTTGGTAGGTCAGAGGCAAAACTACCTAAAGGTGTGTGGCATGGGCTGGCTTTGTACAGTGGTGCCTCGCAAGACGAAATTAATTCGTTCCGCAAGTCTCTTCGTCTTGCGAGTTTTTCGTCTTGCGATGCACGGTTTCCCATAGGAATGCATTGAAAATCAATTAATGCGTTCCTAGGGAAACCGCCTTCAGACCAGGTCCGGGGACAGTCTGTCCCCGGACCTCTTCTGAAGGCTGGGGGGCAAGGGCTTTTCTTCCCACCCCCAGCATTTTATAAAACCCCGGGACAGCGGAGGACTTCTCCGCTGTCCGGGCGATCTTAAAATGCTGGCGGGCGGCATTTAAAATCACCCCGGGACAGCGGAGGACTTCTCCGCTGTCCGGGGCAATTTAAAGCCCCTGGGAAGGCAGGCAGGGGGACAAAGACTTTGCCCCCGCCAGCCTTCAGAAGAGGTCCTGGACCTCTTCTGAAGGCGGGCGGGGGCGAAAGTCCTTGCTCCCCGCCTTCAAAAGCCCTCCGGGACAGGCAGGCAGGGGGAGCAAAGACTTCGCCCCCGCCCGCCTTCAGAAGGTCTTCCCTCCCCCGCCCGGCTCGGAGCACCGTTCCGAGCCGGGCGGCGGCGGGAGGTGTTCCCTCCCCCCCGCCCGGCGTCGGAGCACCGTTACGAAGCCGGGGGGCGGCGGAGGTCTCCCTCCCCCCGCCCGGCCCGGAGCACCGTTCCGAAGCCGGGCAGAGGCGGGAGGTCTTCCCTCCCCACCGCCCGGCTTCGGAGCACCGTTCCGAAGCCGGGCAGAGGCGGGAGGTCTTCCCTCCCCCCCCCGCCCGGCTTCGGAGCACCGTTCCGATGCCGGGCAGAGGCGGGGAGGTCTTCCCTCCCACCGCCCGGCCCGGAGCACCGTTCCGAAGCCGGGCAGAGGCGGAGGTCTTCCCTCCCCCCGCCCGGCTCGGAGCACCGTTCCGAGCCGGGCGGCGGCGGCAGGTGTTCCCTCCCCCGCCCGGCCCGGAGCACCGTTCCGAGCCGGGCGGCGGGGAGGTCTTCCTCCCCACCGCCCGGCCCGGAGCACCGTTCCGAAGCCGGGCAGAGGCGGGAGGTCTTCCCTCCCCCGCCCGGCTCGGAGCACCGTTCCGAGCCGGGCGGCGGCGGGAGGTCTCTCCTCCCCGCCCGGCCGGAGCACCGTTCCGAAGCCGGGCGGCGGCGGCAGGTGTTCCCTCCCCCGCCCGGCCGGAGGAGCCTTCCGAGCCCGGCGGCGGCGGGAGGAGGTGTCCCCGCCCGCCGCCAGGCTTCGGAGGAGGTCCGAGGACAGTGGGGAAGACGCGCTGCGCTCCCGCTGTCCCTGAGATTTCCTATGGGCTGTCGTCTTGCGAAGCAAGCCCATAGGGAAATTCGTTTTGCGAAGCGCCTCCAAAACGGAAAACCCTTTCGTCTAGCGGGTTTTCCGTCTTGCGAGGCGTTCGTCTTGCGGGGTACCACTGTATAAGGTAATGTGACCAGGAAGGGACACCCAGGTTCAAATCCCTGCTCTATTCACAAATCTCACTGGGTGATCTTGGCCCCATCACCCTCCCTGCCACCTACCTTACAGGGCTGCTGTGAGGAGACAGTGGCTGTTGTGAGCATATTATATATGCTGCCCTAGAAGAGGGACAGGGTATAAATGAAATAAATAACGAGAAAGATACGATGCCCCGTAGTGTACATGTCTGTAGGCCTGTCACTGCCTCTCAGCCTAATTTACCTTAGAGGTTCTAGTTACAGGTAGGTAGCCGTGTTGGTCTACTGTAGTCGAAACAAAATAAAAAAATTCCTTCCAGTAGCACCTTAGAGACCAACTAAGTTTGTTATTAGTATGAGCTTTTGTGTGCATGCACACTTCTGAAGAACTTCGTTGGTCTCTAAGGTGCTACTGGAAGGATTTTTTTTATTTTGTTACCTTGGGTTATTGTGGGGATTAAATGAGTAGAACTGTGTATGCCGCCTTCAGATACTTTGGGGGAGGGGGAATATAAATGCAATAAATGATGACATGAGGGCAGGAGAAACTAATCGAATTATTTGGACTTTGGCTTGTGACCAAAATCATTGGCAGCCCATGAACAAGGAACCTCTCTCTCTCTTCAGGCTCAGCGCCCCTCGATCTCCCCCATATGGAAGCTGCTCTACACCAAGCCGGGCCCTGGGGGGCCACCAAGCTCAGCCCCTGCTGCCACCCTCCAGCGCTTGCAGCAGCGATGCCCTACCTGGAGACCGGAAGGAGTGAAACCAAGACCTTTCGCATGCAAAACGTGAGAACTGCCGCGGGGACAGTCAAAGGTGCTTTAATCGCAGCAGAGCAAGGTGGTCGTTGTAGTTGTTACGGGGGTTAAATGAGGACGCGGGAGAACCATGCACACCGCCCGGAGCTGGGGGGCTCCAAGTGCAACAAGCGCCGTGCAATGCCAATGCCCCTCCGTTGCGAAAGCGGCGCGTCCCCTGGAGAAAAGGGCAGGATTAGTCGCCACGTTGCAAGGCGTGACGCTGTTCTTCTGCCCTTGAGGGAACTGGAGGCGCTTCCACCGGCTGCATCATGGGCAGGGAGAGCCACCGCCGGTCCCCTCAACGGCGAACCCTCAACCCGCTTCCTTCCCACGCCGGGCCCAGACAAGCGCCGAGTTTGCGCAGTGGGGAAGCGGCCCGCTGTCAATCACAACATAGCCCCGCCCTGTACCCGGCATGCGCTTCGGAGGCGGAAAGAAAATGGCTGCCGCCGCCAGCGGGCGGTGAGGTGTCTGTGGGGGGACTCGGCGACGTGGAGCGGAGGCAGCGATGCTGGCCGTACGGCTGCCCGCCCAGCGGGCGCAGTGCTGGGCGCTCTGCGGGCAGCGCCGCGCCAAATTCACCTACGGGCCGAAGCGTCCTCGGGAGCCGCTGCCCCGCACCCCGTGGACGGTGCGCGGGCCGCCGCCGGGCGCGCCGTTGCCTTGGTACTTACGCAAAGTGCCTCCGGTGCGGGAGCAGCTTCCCGAGCTGGACGTGGTGACGTACGAGGGCAAGCTGCACCGCGTGCCTTGGCTGGCCAAGCCTCGTCACCCCAAGTGGGAGCGCGGGTGGCACGACCCCTGGCACGACGGCGGCCCCCGCCTGGAGGAGATGCCCACTTACAAGCAGCGGCCCTGCTACGTCTTCCACCAGCGGACTCGCGTGCTGGAAGGTGAGGGCTGCCTGCGGGGCCCGCGCTGACCGAGGCTGGTGGGCGGGGAAGGCCGGCCAGGCTCGGGTGCTTCGTGTCAGGATGGCTTGGGCTCGGAGGGAGTCCTCGAGTGCAGGCGTCCTGAATAGGGGAGGGAGGGGGCGGTGAAAGGAAGAGGTTGGTGCCTGCGAAGTGACAAGCTGAGCTTGGGTTATGCAGATCAGGCATTATTAATGGCATGGACACCCCAGTCCTGCAGCTTAGAAAAGGCTCTCCGAGTGGCTGACGAAAAAGACAGTCTCAGATTAAAAACAGGCATGCAGCAACAGCACGTGAGGGGAAAGGGAGCTTGTGTACAAGTTTTTGAAGGTCCTGTTCTTAATGGCACAGTTCTATAGCTCTCCCGTTATGGAGATTTTGGCTTCCTAGGAGAGCAGCTGTCTCCTCGCTGATGTGGCACTGCTAGCAGTCTTGCTCTTGCTAAAGAGCAGGCCTTTCCCAGAAGCACTCCACATCGGAGCAGAGCAGGTGACAGTGGCCAGCCTAGGAGGCTAGCACAGTCACATGGTTCTTCTCTCAGGCAGCTGGCCCAGTGTAAAATTATTTAATAAATTTGTTCCTTGCTTTATCTTGCCCAGCATCGTAATCGTTATTTGCAAAGAAAAGCCCAGTATTGGAAAGTATAAATACTGTTAAAGATGGTAGTTATAAGAAAGCGGGAACTGCAAATTAATGGACACAAACTTGTTGGGCCACATTGTGCCAACTTATCTATACTTGTCCAGGTTTTGTTAAGCAATTAACTGCAATGCATGCAGCATTTATAAGGTGGTCTAGGTTTTCTGCTCCATTTTGTCTCTAGAATAGCTCCCCCCCCCCCGCTCCAAATCTTAAAAAGAATGGTGGAAAAGTCCTTGTTCTTGTGTAAGAGTGATTGAAGTGCAAGGTGCAGTACTAAAGATGCTCACTGGTAATATATTATTTTACTTGAAGGTGTAAAGCAAGCATTGTGGCTAACCAAGACAAAGCTGACACAAGGTTTACCTCCGCGAATACTTAGCATAATCAATGACCCAGCTAATCAATGTGAAAACCAGGATGAAAGAGTCCAGAATGCCATTTATCATGCACGCCTATGGGGTAGCAGTGAGGAGGATATACCTAGAGAAACCTATTGGTAAGTCTTTGGCTCAAGTTTCCTTTTTTGTTGTTCCATTGTTTGGGATCATTTCTGAAATTGTCATAACAGCCTATATATTTTATTCTTTCAGTAAGGCAGTTAGCAAACAGTGTGGTGACAAATACAGCAGAACTAATAGCCTGGATCAGTTTATGCCTCCTTGCAGAGCAGTGATTCATGCAGAGATACAGGCAGTTAGTTTTTCATACACCCTAAAAAGTCAACTTTTGGGGCTGTAAGAATCAAATGTGCTGTCCAGTTTTAATTCAGAAAAAGCATGCTTTCACTATCAAGTGTTTGGGGAACTGTCCTGAGATGTTCCATGTAGACTGATTCTGTACTCTTGGCCTTTGTATGTGTTTAAATTAAAAACTAGGAAGTTTACTTTTTTATTACTGCACCTCAGATGTGTGTGAGGTGTTCTACAGAGTACATAAGGACAGGTTTCTGCCCTATTTAGCTTACAGTCAAAAATCTGACATGGGGAAGCAACAGAGGAAGGGGAGACAGGAATGGATGATGATTTTGGTTGCATGCAGTTGGGTTTGTTACAGTTAAGCATTGAGGGGGTTGTGCCAAAGGCTTCATAGAAAATCTGTGTATTAAGGAGGGATTTGAAGAATAATTACTTCTGCACCTTTGTTCTGAATGAGAACAGCTTATGGATAAGGTTGTGTATGTTCTTTGATTCTGTATAAGTGCAGAATTCACTTTAGAATCTTGACATGTATTTAAAATTAGTTTCTAGTGACTGGCTAAGAAAGATTGAGGAATGACTGCTAAAACATTCAGAATCTATAGGGCAGTAGTGTAGGTTATTAACCATACTTAAGGACATAAGAAGATCACACCCAAAACCCAACTAGTCCAATGTCCTGCTATTTACTCTGGCCAATCAGATGCCTCTGGGAAGCTCACAAACTCAGCATAAAGGGAATGCTACTCCCTCAGCAACTAGCTTTGGAGGTACATTGGCTATGAATCAGGAGGTTTTCTTAAGCCAGTGGTTGGCTTAAGACTGAGTTTAGCCTCTCCATTTACTTGTCCTATTGGTCAGTAAAGATGTGACTGTGCCAAAAAAGGGGGTTGCAGGCTCTACTGATTTTCATCATTGGCAGCTCCTGCAAAGCCTGTGTGGCTCTTTTCAAGTTTCAGCAAGCAGCTGATCTTAGGTGCTTGCAGAGGCCCATTTAAAGACCACTGGTTCTGTGCAAGCACATCTGATCACCAGTGCATGCAGAGAGCATGGTGGATCATTGGGGCTTCAAAGTGCTGCCACTGCTCCTGCCTGTCAAATTTGGTGATTGGAGGGGTGGGGGAGATAGGGATCTAGCCTTCTTGCCTTGCCTTGCCAATAGCTGCTGATAGATCTAACCTAGCCTTCATTAATTTGGCTAGTGGTCTTAATGGCAATGGATTCCATAAATAAATTACCGCCTGTAAGAAGAATTACTGTTTTGAACCTACTGCTGATAAATATTTAATAATAAAAATTAACTCTTTCCACCTGCATTCGCACCTCCAGTCATAGCCCATGACTAGAAGTAGAATAAATTATTCAAAAGGAGACTTGCCATAGAATTTGGGTTACCTTTTGCACAGAACTATTTTAATGTAGCTCTGCTTATGCCTTTGCACAATATTGTTTCCAGATGATTGCCGGTACACTGATTGGCTTAATTATTGATTCCTGGCATTCTTAATAATGAATACCTGGTGTACTATCCTATGTATAATTAACTGTAACTATAATTTGAAGTTGTGTTAAGGCATTTGGCTGAACACATGAATGGTCTTCAGTGTATTTGCCTGCATAGCACTCCCCCTAGTCCCTGACCATTAACGTGTTCAAGTACAGGGAATTTCCACTCACGTGCAAGTGAGGGCGAGTAGGAGCCTGCTGCAGACCTTACAGCTCAACGTGGGTGGTTGGGAACAGTGTTAGAAACTCAGATACATAAGCTAGGCACCAAATGACTCCTTAAACCAGCGTTCCGTTTGCCAAAACGGAATGTCTAGTTGCCATTTGGGGGCCAGATGACTCAAAAGTTGTATTTTTCAATACAACTTTTTGGTTTCTGAAATTCATTCTGATTGTGCAGATAAAATATAATGGGTAGAATTCTACAGGATATGTTGCTAGTGTGTGAAAACAGTCCAGATCCAAGGATCCCCAGGCATCCACCGCCAGATGAGGGAGATGTCTGGGCACCAGGATGGCACCTGACATCTTCACTTAGTCACAAGTGGCCAATAGTCAGGTGCAAAATACACATAGCAAATTCTGAACACTGGTTGGAAACATAGTGTAAAGTGTAACACACATTTGAGCTTGAACATGCCTTTAGCCATTGCAAATGCTATAATACAGTGGTACCTCGCAAGACAAATGCCTCTCAAGACGAAAAAGTTTTTCGTTTTTTGAGTTGCTTCGCGAGACGAATTTCCCTATGGGCTTGCTTCGCAAGACGGAAACATCTTGCAAGTTTCCTTTTTCTTAAAACCGTTACAGTAATACAGGGTGCATTGCTTGAAGAGGTGCAGTTGCGACTTGACTTCGGGGAGCAACTCATAGCACGCGGTGTGGTAGCCTTTTTTGAGGTTTTTGAAGATTTTTTTGAAAAAATTGAAACCGTGCTTCGCAAGACGAAAAAACTCACGGAATGAATTAATTTCGTCTTGCGAGGCACCACTGTATTTACAAACTAATGTCCATGAAAATTCTGCTATGTAATAATTTGTGATTTGGGCACTGTCAGTAAATTAGGTTTTTTTTGTTTTGTTCTGAAGCCCTGTACTTTTAGAAGACTTGCTTCACTTATGCAGGACGATGACAGCCAAATTCCCCTTATTGGGTAAAAGAATGTTTGCTCAAGACTACAGAGTGGCAGCTGCATGGGAACGAGGTATGTCTCTTTATCCAAGTAAAATTGTCTAAAAGAGCACTTCTCCCTGTACTGTCCACCATATTGCCTTAAGGTCAGCAGGAGAAGCCCTGCTTATGGCCACACCCCTGTGAGATGCTGGGAGGGTGGTGGGACAGGGCAGTGGTGGCTCCTCCGTGGGGAAATATGGTCAGCCCTCACCATTAAGAAATAAATGCATATGATCTGTTTGCTCTGAAGCTTATGGAATTTTATTGGTGATTTTTATTTATTTATTATTTGGATTCTGTTTGCAGTTTTTATGTATCCATCCTTTTTTGTAAGCCATCTTGGGATCCAGATTGGAGGAAATGTGTAGGATTCTAACAAACAAGTCAAAATAAGTATTTTGTTTATAAGGAAGATTCTGTAAAAAGATTATAAGGTTCACAGCTTAGCATCAGAAAAAGTGCCCTTGAGGTAAAATCACAAGATCCTCTATGTCATGAACCTTTTTCTGTAGGTTAATAAAAAGGGAGTAAGTAGAAAGATAGAGAAAATCCCATAGAGCTAATTCCCATCATCCCCCACTGTTGGCCAGTCTGGTTGGGAACTGATCGGAGTCCTGACAACATCTGGCAGGTCACAAGTTTCCTACCCCTACTATAGAGCCAGTGTTGTACAAGTAACATTATTTGTTAGAGCTGTGCTGCTGTAACGAAACGGCTTTTATAGCTCTCCTGAAATTAGAGGGGACTGTTCTTTACTGTAAACTTGCAAAATGTGCACATTTGATTATAAATGCTGCATCATTAACAGGACATTTCTGTAAAATACGTATTGGTAGTTTATGTTCTCAAAGCACTTGGGACACGTGTGCCTGAAAATAATAGAGCTTGATTGAAAAATATGATCTTAATTTTGGCCATGAACCAATTGATTTCCTTAGCTTAATCTGCTGACCATCTACTCAGTCCCTGCAGTGACTGATTCCACTTGCTCTCAGTCTTGAAGGGCAGAAACCCTTTATAGAAAATATACCATGTTTCATTGACATCCACACTACCCTAGGTTCCCTTCCTAGCCAAGGGCGTACCATTACATTTTCTGGAAATTGATGGTTCCAAGAATACAACAGTAAGCTCCCCTAAGTAAGTATATGGGAAGTATCCACAATCACTCAATGAGGACTTGTACATTTAGCTATGCATATTCATGGGAAGTGGTGAAGGTCTTCTTTTGCTCAACATGGGAGGGCGCATGAATAGGAGAGTGCTAGCACCTGTTGTCCAAACAGAAAAGAAGATTGCCCCTTGTGCTAGTGGATTACAAGAGCATTTTTGGAATGGTATTTATATGGGTCAGCTGATAGCTTCAGCATAGTTCTAGTGAGGAAGGATCTATTTACAGTCCACTGTTTTCCTTTACAGAATCTGTTCTACTTCAGGTTCGTGGTATCCACGGGAAGATTTTGAATGCAACGAACCTTCTACGGCCTATAGCCTCCAAAGATGAGATATTAGCCACTGAAAACCACACTTTAGAAACCTTCTACCCTGTTTTGCCTACAATTGACCTTCAAGAAGTTAATGCATATGACATAAAAAATGATACAGGTAAATTTCCTAGAGTTTGGAGGATTAAGAAAAAAAAATCATTTTCACAGAAGTTAATTTGTTATGGATGAGATTGTATCAGATGGCATATGTGAGAATAGGGGGTTGTAGTCAATACACTAAAATGTCAGGTTTCTTAATTGCACTTTAGAAATTGTCTTCTTCTTGAGCAATGAGTTGTGAAATAGTTCTAACTATCACCTGATTTGTGCTTTAGGTTTCCGAGAAGGGTACCCATATCCTTATCCTCACACTGTGTACATTGCTCAGTATGACAGCGTACGTAAAATGAGGCCACCACAGCTTCAGGCGAAAATGATAATGTTTGCTTTTGGGAATGCTCTGGCCAAAGCAAAGGAGCTATATGGGGTGAGTATTAAGATTTTTGTAGAAAAACTATGGCATATGCTGTCCAAATTAGGAGATGGCAGTTAGTTGCTTCTATTCATCCAATCATTCCATTAATGGTCACCACGCTAGCTGCTGTTCCTAACTTAGAGGCAAAGGTTTTCTGAAGCTCCTTCTGTGCTTTGCTCTCTAACCTTCCATGGCCAAGTCCACATGGGAGCTTGGTGTGTTTCTGAGTTGGTGTTTTGGCAGTGCTAGGACACTGTGGTATTGTGATCCATAAGTTGCATTAAAACCCCCCCTAAAAAGCTGGCACTTTCCATTTCTGCTGTGCACAGGGAGTGTGGGATTGTTGGGGACTGACTATGATATAGGAAAACAAATTCTTGTTGCTAAATTGGATGGTCCTTGTCATCCAGGAGTCTAGCTGAAAAGCCTTGGTTGAATTCTAGGTCAGTTGTGGGCGTCATGGTACTCTATTCAACATGAGTTTCTCATATAAAATACTGAATAAATAATAGTCTGGTAAATGTCTGGTACCTGAACAGAAGAGGAAAAAAGCCCAATGGGATTGAAGCAGCTTTTGTAGCTGATAGTTGGAATTTGAACTTATGGGCATGGAGAGCTGTCACAGATTGTCCTCAAGTCCTGCAGCTTTTGTTGAGGTTTGGCTTGGCCTCTGGCAAACTCTCCAAGTAGGTGCCACTTCTTTCCCCAAACTAAAATCAGACATAATTGTAGTTCTCTGTCCTGCCATCCTGTCTTATCAACTCAAAATGTTTTCCTGGCCAGATGTTTGCGCTGCTGTCTAGCATCTTTCTACCATCCATTGTGACCCTTTCCTGCGCTACCTTCTATCCCCAGTTATCCACATGTGGACAGACAACTTTACATGTTTTCAAGTGCATTCGGGTGGCAAAGCTTAAGAGTAAATCAGGGATGGGGAATCTGTGGCCCTTCAAGGGTGGTTGGACTCCACTGATAAGGATGATGGGAATTGCAGTGCAACTGCACCTGGAGGGCCACAAGTTAACCACCTCTGATACAGCCACACACCATTCACGGTTTCATCCAGTTATAAAATAGGCAGTATTCTTCTTTTTAATACTGTACAGCATTTCTCTTGACCAACAGAGCTTATCCTATGGCTTCTAATTTCACACTTCCCTCTCATGCCGATTTCCAGGATGAGCCCAGGGTCCTAGAGAACCCCATTGTTGTGCAGACTGTGGCTACAGATGGCCAATGCTTCCATTTCCTGGTGTTCCAGTTGAATACAACAGATCTAGACTCTAGCAATGGTGTCAAAAACCTGGCCTGGATGGATGCAGATCATCTTCTGTATGAGGATTTCAGGAGTCGTCCAGTAATCAAGAAGAAAGTTGTCCGGGTATGTTGATGAAGGTAGAATGACTTGCTGCCACAGGAACTCTGTCTAGCTTTATAGTTTAGACAGAAAAGCTTGGAGACTAAAAGAACCTGAACCGTTAGAGGCAACATATTAATTCTCTGAAACTAGAATAGGGGGCATCATGAACATCATTAAGTTAGACTCTCAGTAGCACTGAGCTGCATCATGCCCAGCACCCATGTGATTACTTAAGAGTGCATTACAAGCAGAAATGACCAGTGTGCACGTAAAAGTACACGTAACATCATAACAGGCATGCACAGATGCCTTAACAATAATGCCATACTCAAGTGCATGTTGGCTGATTAGAGCCTGGTTCTGACAACATCTCTTCAGGATATCCAAAAATTAAAAAAAAACAAAAAAAACCTTAAGTTGTTTAAATCCTTTTTATATCCTCTTCAAGAAATTGCTTACTTTCCTTTGTTTCAGGGAAGGGACAGGATGAGAATAAACTTAGGATGGTGTTTGAGCACAGTGAAATGTATTGCTGTATTAATGTGTATGATAAGACACTGAAAATCCAAATTTTCCCCCCTACAGATTCCAGCTGGAATACATGGCTATCAACCAGACACATTCAAGAAGTTCCTGGCATTGTACTTGCATGGTGTCGCGTGAGCAGAGCTCTGCCTTTGTTTCCACCTGTAATGCATATGCTTACTGTGCAGTTAAGGGTTAGAGACTATTTAATTTTTTTTAAAAAAATAAAGTTTCTTTATATATAAAAGTCACATGTAAATTATATTGTTTCAATCTGCTGCCAGAACATTTAACACCTTAATATTGACGTTCATTTAAGTGCCAGTGTTCTACTTCTACAAGAATGAATGGAAAGCAAAACCTAGTTCTGCACTTAAGGCTAACTATACTTGGGCCATAATCCTGTCTTTCATCCTCATAGCAGCTCACCCCCCCAAACCCCCCCCAACTTAGGTTGAGTGCCAATATTAATAGAAGTTCTGGGGTGGCAGCAATCAAGTAATGCATTTTTACGAAACATCTTCAGTTGCATTTGTTCAGTCATTAGGCAGTAGGTAACATTCTAGGGCTTTCAACAGCCAAGTTGAAAGTTGTTATTCCAAACAAGTACTGTATATAGTGTCTTAGTTGCAGAGGAAGAATTCTAAACAATGAGAGGACTAGTGGAGATTTAAGAAGATCAAATCTCTCAAATGTTTTGAAGCTTCATTTAGACCATAATGATACACACAGTTAGAATGTATACCAATAGTAGTATGATGTGTATTATTATGTCTATAAAGAGGTCTGTGTCGTTGATACATTCAGGAAGTTGGGGGGAAAAAACAAGCTTCCTTTAGAAAAGGAATCTAACTTGCTCAAATCTAACTTGACAATAAATTAAATGAAACAAAGTTTTTTTAAAAAAATCTCTAAAATTCATCAGCAGGAAACTGAACAAAGCTATTTGGGTTGCTAGAAAACAAATGGGTGAAGAGTGATTAAAGCAGAGAAATTGAATAAATTCACTGCATATAGTCAACAGTGGAAGATGTAGGACAGAGACTTGTGCCTGAACTTCAGGGGGGAGTGTAAAGAACTCAAGAGTGGCCAAGAAATGAAGTGCTTGGGAAAGGGGTAGTTGTTGTGTACTGTACTTCCCACCTTCCCTAACCATTAGCCACTCTGGCTAGGGCTGATAGAAATGGTAGTCCGCAACATCTGGAGAGCGCCATGTTGACTCTCAATGTTCTTGTAAAGTTAGATGGCATTAGCTATTTCCTACTCTAGTTTTAAAAAGGGAGCAGGATCATGCAAATTCGAAGTTAGTTAGCTTATCATCTGGGCCAGGTCAACTGGTAGAGAGCATTATTAAAATATTTAAGAATCAACGTGGTTTCTGCCAAGGATAGTTGTTCAATAGATTCCTGAGCAAACTTAACCGCTATGGGATAAAAGGACAAGTCCTCATGGATGGGTAACTGGTTGATAACAGCAACAACAACATTATTTATACCCCTCCGATCGGGTTGGGTTTCCCCAGGACACTGAGAGCAAGAACAAGTGAATGGTCCTCATGTTGGAGGGAAGAAAGAAGTAGAGCTCTCCATATCTGCAATGATATGCAGTTACCAGCTGAATTATATTTTTGAGCTTAACAAAGTAGAACCACAGTGCTGCTAAAGATGAAACATGTTCCCAACAAATGATTGGATCTAGCATTTGGGGTCCTTTGATGAAAAAAATATGATGTAAGATTTGTGCTTGGTGGGGAGAAAGTGGATAGTTTCCTGCTTATTGGGATTCAGCAAAGAGACCCATTAGCAGTTGGTCCAGGACAGACAAAAGAAAGTTCTTCTCATAAAGAATAACTTTTGGAATTCGTTGACAAGATGCAACAAGCACTAACTTAGATGGCTTTAAAAGATTAGACAGACCACTGTAGAATAACTCTGAACAATTACTAGTGATGATGGCTATAGGCAATCTCTAGGTCAGAGCTTTCCAAACTTTTATTGTTGGTGACATACATTTTAGACATGCATCATTTTGTGACTTTGGTAATTCAGTTTTGCTGGCAAACCGGAGGTTAAACTAACCCCTTTCCAGCCCCATAGGGAGCGCAGGGAGCATTCACACGACACACCTACACACTGCAGCTGACACACTAACGTGTTGTGAGACAGAGTTTGAAAAGCTCTGCTCTAGGTTCAAATGCCTCCAAGGACCAGTTGCTAGAGAGTAACAACAGCAGAGAGGACTGCTTTCATATGCTTAAGGTCTAGCCAGAGGCTTTTGGTTGGTCACTGGGAAAGGGGGGACCAATCAGCTCCTGAGAAGTTCTTATGGGGGTAAGAGGAAACAAGAAGATGTAGAGGCTTGCCATGTTATTGTGCTGCATCTGCTGGCACATTCCCCATCTTTTCTGTAGAAGAATGTAAATCTTTTGAAAAGATAATGGCATGTACCCAAAAGGGACAGAGCTCCCTAAGCAAGAGAGGTTGAACCACCCTACTGCATAGCTGCAGTTTGCTTCTGATCAAGCAAGAAGCAGCAAAACTTTGACAAAGCAATTCTGCTTACAGGAAAGCTAGTTGTAGAAAAAAATATTTCCAGCTGAAACATTGTGAGTTTCTTAATTAATTGTGCTTGTCCAAGAAACAGAAAATTCTTTTCGGCTTGGTTGAATTCTATTATTTGCATAGAACTGAGGAGAAAATCTATTTTACAACCTCATCTTTATGTAGCTAATAATATACTAGCTGCAGGAGGCTTTCCAACATGTTACTGTCAGGTCTTGCTAGGGATGTCAACAGCAATTGCCTGTGTGATGCTGGATACATCATCTTAACACGCCACAGGCCCTCAAAACTGGCATCTCGTTGCCACTTCAGGACTGGATGGATTTTGACAGATGTAGAACTGCCTTGTGATGCAGGGGAGCTATCCGATACCAGAGATTTTCAGCTAGCACGATGGTAGCACTCGGCAGCTCCTCAGCCACAGCGAGCAAGCCATCAGACAATGGCTACACAAGGCCTAGTGCTATACAGGGAGACCTGGCTGAGCGGTTTGTGTCTCTTAGATATGAAAAGAAAACACATCAACAAAACCACCAGGAACAATCTGTATTCTCAACACGCCTTTCCACCCTCTTGTTTCCCTCTGTTATGAGCACAGACAAATGCTCTCTCCTCCTACAGTTTCTATACTACGGTGACAATTCTAAGGCTAGGCCCCAGGGACCTGCCAGAGTGTTTGTGATAGGCTTTTGAAGTTGCTCCCACTCGTTGATCTCTTTGTCTGAACTGTTTCAACAGGTATGCATGGCTCAGATAAAACACAGTGCATGATGAAGCCTGTATGCTGTTCAAGGGGAGAATTGTTTCTTAAAACAGCATGTTCCCTTGATGTGAAGCTAGTATGAAATCAAACTCTGCAGGCTGTGCTAATAGCTCTACCAGGGGTTTGCATGTGCCCACAAACAACTCAATCTTAGACTTCAGTTGCACACATTCTTCCTGTACTCCCTAACAGGGAAAAAGGAAAATGGGAAATGAACGCGTTGCACAATTGGTGTTTCGTTTTTATCTCATCTAAGGCCAGCTTGGGACAGGCTCCTGCCACCTACCATTTGTAGTCCAGCGCTAGACTGAGGACAATGATCCCCCTGGGTGTTCTGAAATAGAATTAGCATAACCAAATAATAAACATTCATGATGTATAATTCCCACCACCACCACCCACACATCAGAATAGCTACCTTAACTTGCAGCCAGTGTTATGACCAAGTAATATTTGTTATTCTGTATGCTCTAGAACCATAAACCAGCAGGTGTTTATACTATAAACTTCTAATGCTTTAGCTAAAGTACTCTAAAACCCAGCAAACACCTTCACTCCAAAAACGGATCTAAACAAAATTCCCAGTTTCACAGCAAAACATTACAATAAAAAATTCTGCAATTTATATCGTAGGAAGGAATGTAAAGTCAGATTTCTGATGACGCTTTTTTTTTTAAAAAAAAAGTTCGAAGTGTATAGCTTTTACTACGGTGGGGTAGAGGTGGGGAATTGGGATAACTTTAAATCCATTCTCTTTGTTTGTTAATGACTTAAACAACCTCGTCCCAAACTATTACAGAAGGAAGCAAGGAGAGCAACAGCTACAAGAGCGCTGGCAAGATGCAGGATTGGCCATAGGGACCCTGCTGAACAGCTGGCCGGTGGCAATTCCAACAGCTGCACGCTGGCTGGTACAAAGGAGATGCTGCGTACAAATGAAAGTGCAAGAGAGCAGCAGAACCAATGAGTGGCTCCCCTAGGGCCACTGAACCGGTGGTCTTGGATTAAGAGATTAAGAGAAAGGAATCGGAGAGCTGCCTTGGGGGTTCACTGAAAACACCTGCAAGTGCATTTAGCCTTCGCAAGTAGTCCAAGGGTGGAGGCAGGGCTTAGGGCCTGTCAGCAGCTTGAAGAATAAAAAGCAGCTGTGGGGAGCAGCACATCACATCTCTTGGGCCGTTTCTATAGTCTCTGCGGGTGCCCAGTCTTAAGCAAACCATTGCTTAAGGCTGGACAAACAGTGTCAAAGTGCAAGTCAGCAAAGCATGTGATCCTATGGTTAATAATCCTAATGAATATTAAGTTGTAACTCCCCACAATGCTTCCACCGTAGGGGAGAAGAACATTTGTGGCTACCCAGCCAGATGGTTGGGGTATAAATAATAAATTCTACTACTACTACTGCCAGAAGACCCCAACCATTTAAAGTCACCTGACTCTCTTAACTGGGGACTTTGAAGAAACAGTTGGATTAATACATTTCATTTCTGCTGTGGGGGGATGACAGATCTTCAGTAATGAGATAATTGGAAGGCTGTCTTCTGTAACAGATCAACAGATATTTGATGGATTGCCCTGCTCATAAAAATATACCACTTCCAGTTACCAGAACAAATACGAAGTCCAAATCCTGATATTTAATCTTAAATTTAGACAAGCTGCTATTATGTTATTTGGAGGAAAAGAGGAGTATAACAAGCAAATGGTTTAATACCTATAGCCATCAGTGGAATTTGCTGTGATGGATGTGTGTGTGTCTATATAAAACCAAGTCTACCATGTTTAAATGGATCCTAGTTCTATGGCTTCCACAAAGTGTAAGTAGGCAAACATGCCCCAGGGATAGCCTTAGGCAAGCTGATCGTTTGGTGGAGGACAATATCTAGAGAGAAATAGGGAGAAATGCATTAGCTACCAAATCTAGGGTCTCAGGCAGTTCTCCCCCTCTACCTGGGAGGTGAAGACAGAACATACCTGCCCCTCAAGATTCTGCTGGGCTCCAAACTTTTATCAGCCATGCAATGGGCTTTTGGTTTGACCAATGCCAGCATCAATAATAAGGGGCAGCGGAGACAGGCATTGGGCTGGAGCAGGAGAAGAACTCTCCCTTCTGTGAGGAGAAAGGGCCAGAAGAGGTTCTTAAAAGAAATAAGAAAGTGGAACAAAAGATTAATATTTAATCAAAATAAACTGAAAATATGTTATTGGGGAAATTGTTATAGGTAGAAAGTAGTGAATGTATAAGTAACAGGGAGGAGGGATGAAAGAAACCCTGGCAGCTGAGGGGGGTGGATAAGGTACAAAGCTGAGCATGAAGGGAAGATGGAGGGTAGGGGATGAGAGATGGGTAAAAATTCATTGAAATGCATGTGGGGATGAGATGGACACATGCCTTTTAGAACCTCTGGATCAGCAGATTGACTAAAATAGAGAGGCCGTTAATAGCTCCAGAGCAAGACAGAGCTGTGGAACTCCTTGCCACAAGGAAAACAGTGGTAAAGAATGCAGTGGCAAAGTATCCAATGCTAGATTAGCTCTTAGCTGAAAATGATGTCAGTAATTGCTGGCTGATTATATCAAAAGTCCCCTGTCTCCATTTCATGACTGGCACTGCCCTTGCACCACCATTTTGAGAGTGGGGGGCCGTGGTCATTTTCAAACACCTCAAGTGGGCTGTGGGGGAAGGAAGTTTGAAAACCCCTGGGTTATGCCACAGATGTACAAAGTGGCTTCATGCATGTGGCATGCCTAGATAACACACGTCGGTGATTATCAAGTTTTATCACTATGAAGCATAGGATGCAGAAGTGGGCATTGTATTTAGCATTCAGAAAATGTCAGTCTTTTGATACTTTTCGCTCATGTAGTTAAAAAAATAGACTTGATAGTCCTCAGGCAATGCCTGTTTAAATCTTACAAGCAGAGAAGCGCAGCAGGCTGCCATCACAATGTAGTATTCGCTTGCGCAGTAGAACTTCCCCCATCCCTTTCTCCACATGCCTCAGAACAGATATAGGGAGGATGTGGGGAGAGTGGGGGGGGGGGGACTTCTGTTGCACAAGCAAGCAAGGTAGTCAGATACTGCCCAGAGCTTGAAATGCTTTGTCCCTCTCTGATCCCTAATAGGATCAGAATAAATTATGTATGAATAAATTTTGTGAAACACAGCTTAGTGCAATATTTTGGTACATTTTAAAAGGCCATACAGCTTGTGAGCAAAATACTTGAAATGCTGGCCCCAACAGAAGCTGTAACTCTATTGCACGAGTATTCATCAACTGCCTTGCTCCCTGTCCCTGGGATGAATCGGGATTTAAGTGTTGCTGAGTCCAAGTGCCGTGTTGTTTAGATGTGAAAAGGTAATATATGGAGGGCTGGATTCAGTGGGTCTCACTAGCGCAAGCCCATGCAAGGTCTACTGCTAGTACAACGGGGCTGCTCCCCCATGTTGTTGTTTAGTCATTTAGTCGTGCGTACTCTTCGTGACCCCCATGGACCAGAGCACGCCAGGACCATATGCCCCCCAAATTCCCTGGAGGTTTTTTTCTGCGAGAATCACCAGAACAGCATGCAGGAGATTGTTCTACCAGGCAAGCAAAAATGCTTTGAGCTGAGCTGACAAGAGCAATTAGCACCATTTTGAATTCCTCCCAGTATTGCTCTCTGTGTAAAAAAAATACTTGGGAGAAGTCAGACCATTCTGGGAGTCCTTAAGCTAGAGAACCAGGAGGGAGGAAGCAGAGTGTTGCGGGCCTTTTCTGCTTTTAATCAGATGGCTGCACTTAGGCTGGAAAAGCCAGACAAATATAGGATGGTGGACACCTCGCTTACTAGCAGTACATGTGAAAAGGATCTAGGGGTCTTGGTAGACCACAAGCTTAACATGAGTCAACAGTGTGATGCAGCAGCAAAAAAAGCTAATGCTATTCTAGGCTGCATCAACAGAAGTATAGTGTCCACATCAAGGGAAGCAATAGTCCCACTCTATTCTGCCTTGGTCAGACCCCACCTGGAATACTGTGTCCAATTCTGGGCACCACAATTTAAGAAGTATGTTGACAAGCTGAAACATGTGCAGAGGAGGGCAACCAAGATGATCAAGGGTCTGGAAACCAAGCCTTATGAGGAGCGCTTGAAGGAGCTAGGTATGTTTATTCTGGAAAAGAGGAGACAGAGAGGAGATATGAAAGCCATCTTCAAATATTTTAAGGGCTGTCACATGGAAGGGGGAGCAAGCTTGTTTTCTCCTGCTCTGGAGGGTAGGACTCAAACCAATGGCTTCAAGTTACAAGCAAGGAGATCCCGACTAAACATCCGGAAAAACTTTCTGATGTAAGAGCTGTTTGGCAGTGGAAAAGACTCGCACGAGAGGTGGTGGACTGTCCTTCCTTGCAGGTTTTTAAGCAGAGGTTGGATGGCCACCTGTCATGGATGCTTTAGCTGAGATTCCTGCATTGTAGGGAGGTGGACTAGATGACCCTTGGGGTCCCTTCCAACTTTTAAGATTCTATGACTAGCAGCTGCTGCTTAAGATGAATTCTAGTGCTGCAAGACATTGCCCAGGTTTTTGTTACATGTACTGGGCAGTTTTCCACACTGCCGGTTGCGTGACTGAGCTCCGAACTGCAAGTGGAAAGACCAACACTGCTTTCAAAACAAGATTACAAAAGTGCACAGAGTTTTGTACAACCACACCACTACGTTGCTTGAACGGTGGGTGCTGTGTTTACTTATCCAACTAATCCTGATGTGGACCATCCATAGTCAGCGTTCTCAGATGGCCAGCAGCTGTTGGATATGCTCATACTATAACGGCACAAGGACTCCCTTCTCACACAATGAGATGAGTTGCAAAGACCACTGCTGCAAAAATTACTCTTCATCTCCGTAATGTTTCTCCACACCAGAGAGAAGCGAGCTGAGAATTAACTGCTGTGGGAGCAACCCACTATAGAGGTGGATCTGCTCCTCAGCATCAGCTTGTAGGCACAGCAGCCTCTGGCCTTTCTTCACATCCTTTTGAGTGGTTATGCCTGGCTGGAAGGTGTCCTTGAACTCTGATCTCCTGCTCACTTTGATGGACGACAGAGAATTGTGTGTGAGCATGTGTAGAAACTAGCCCAGTATAAAAAGGTTCACACCCACTGCTCCACCTACTTTTTCCAGTGGCTCCACCCACCATTACCACGTGGCCCTTTGGAAGGCGACCCAGAAGAGGATGCAGCCCTTGGGGTCCCCCCACCCCCGTGGCACCACATATGGCTAGAGGGACCTCTTCGCAATCTTCCCTGCAAAGGCCTGGGAGCGACTAAACAGCCAGTCACCTATGCAAAAAATAGCTTCAACTGACCAGGTAGTGGAGCTCTTGTGAACTGGAAGAATTTTTTCTTCTTCTGTCAGCTTTTCAATGCACAGCGGTACCTCGGGTTAAGTACTTAATTTGTTCCTGAGGTCCATTCTTAACCTGAAACTGTTCTTAACCTGAAGCACCACTTTAGCTAATGGGGCCTCCTGCTGCCGCCGTGCCGCCAGAGCACGATTTCTGTTCTCATCCTGAAGCAAAGTTCTTAACCTGAAACACTATTTCTGGGTTAGCGGAGTCTGTAACCTGAAGCGTATGTAACCTGAAGCGTATGTAACCCAAGGTACCACTGTACTACAAAATAACTACCAACATAATTAGGTATGGCTAGGCAGGCCTGGAACCTTCCCTGCATATATTTGCAACTTGTATAGCTGAAACAATATCCCGCACAGAGATTCCTGGGCCAGGATGCGCAGAACTATACCACAGGCAATCCCAAAGAGCTGGTATATTTTCCTTCGTTTCAAAAGCAGCTTAATGAAACTCTCTTTCAGGAATGGCTTGCCATTTAGAAAGGAGCTGTGTCGTTGGAGAAGTCCAAAGCTCCCAGAGGTGAGCAAAAGTAGGTCACAACACCCTTAGATAGCAACTTCCACAAGTATGACGATGCCACCCTGAAGGCAGTAATCCAGGCTTCCTCCACTGACAATCACATGGGTACAGCCATACCTCACAGATCACAACAGCGCAAGCCTTTTCGGGCGAACGGTGTCAAACTCAACACCACTGCAGGTTCATTTTTTGCTTCTTGTGAGCAGCTAGCAGGAAGGACCACTGAGGACTTCTGCTGTTTAAAAAACACATGGTAGTTTTTCTGGAGGTCTGCTTATAACCCTTATTTCTAGGAGCTTTAGAACTGCTGCCACCATCTTGAATGGCCTTTTTTTCTGCCTAAAGCAAAGGACAAGATGGCACACATAAACAAGCACTCTACTCCACGTTCACAAGCAGCTCATTATCTCGCTATCTCAACACTGCCAATGGGACAGTGTCCTTCTTTCAAGGGCAGGAGTTTGGGTTACTTCCAACAGAAGGAAACAGCTTAGAGAGCTGCTGCCCCCAAAGATCTGCCACCTGAGGCAGCTGTCTCACTCTGTCTAATAGTAGGGCTGGATTTGCTGTTCCTCCATTGTCTGATATACTGTTCTCGAGCTACTTTTCCTATGCATTTTCAACATTGACTGAACAGGATAATAATGCCTTAAAAATGAATGTGGCGGCAGGAGCCTGGAATCCAACACACTTATAACCTTTGTGACAAGCAGTTAGCTGTGTCTTCAGAATAACGAACGCAGCCGATGACCACAGACTACACCCCAAGCCATCTCTTCTGGAACCACTGCAGGCATGAGAGTCAGAAGACAGCTGCTACGACAGTAACAAACAGCAAGGGACTGAAATCAAATGTTTATATTTATTACAGCATGGGGGGCAAGGGAGAGGAGAGGGTCTTGATTCATCTTTTAAAAACCACCCCGAACCAATGAAGACAATAATTTAGCTATCACTTTAATACAATGAAACCTGTCAGTTATCCTTTAAAAAAAATAGAAAGGGTGCTGCAATAGCAATGGGACAAATTGGTTTGCCGGTTTATCCCCCCCGCCACCCCGCTTTTAAATATTTTCTTGACTGAGAGACCAACCATTTGTCAACCCCACCCCCCCATCATATTTCTACAGAGAAAACACAATTAAAATGCCTAAGAAGAAGGCAAACATTAAAAAAAGTCATTGTACTACTAAAAAAGTTTGTCAATTCACATAGTTTTTGTTTTCAGTCAGAATAATAAAAAGCCAATGTTTCCCCCCAAAAAAACCAAACAAAAAAAAAACATTTCGTTAAGGGGTGCGGAAAAAAGACATCCCTTTAATAAAACATTATCAACAAATATCGTACACAAACTACAATGTATAATAATTACTTTTCTTTTCCCTCGCTTAATTTTAGAACCAGACTACAAGGTAAGAAAAAACACTGAAACAAGATACAATGTTCTCAAGAATCCGCACAAAGGTAGGTAAATCCAGGGGAAGATAATATTTTACATAATATGAAATACATAGATCAGAAGTGAAGTTTTTTCTTCTTTTTATATAAAACAAAGACCAGCTACAAGGGAGTGTAATGTACAGAGATCCCAAGACTTGCGAGTTTCACTATACATTGTATGCTTTTCTGTAGTCACCTCTACCATGAGAAGGTAAGGGTTTTTTTTTTTTTTAATTTTGCTTTTAATTACAGAGTAAGAGAGAGAGAGAGAGCCTACAGAATAGCAAGTATACATTTTAACAACAATAATTACTTAAAAATATCTCCATCCAGTTTCAGAGCATATACAGTGAAACCCTAATAAGATCACATCATTTCATTAAAACAAAAAACAAATGTTAAGAAGTTTGCGCTCACAGTTTTCGTGTCCCAGGTCAAGTTTTTAACCCCTTTCCCTTTCAATTCTGGTGGACCAACACCTCCCCAACATAAAAAATAAAATACCACGTACCCTAACCCCACCTACCCACCCACCCCCGGAATTTTTGACACTTCAAAAGTTTTGCAAAAGGGGAGTTAATAACATTTCTTTGTAATTTGGGGAGAAGGACAAGGGAGGGAGGGGGCTAATACAGTGCATGCCACAGTCACAGATACCAAGATCACAATTAAAAGTTTTGGAGGATGTGATCCTACAAGGGGGCCAAGCTGCATTATGCAACTGAGAATGAGGCAGAAGAAATCTGTTCCACTTGGATCTTCCTTGCTGGAGAATGTTTTGTGCTGCAAAACATCAAATGTGGGGGGGAACAAAAACCAACCAAAACAAAAAGAAGTTGGGGGGGGGGGAGAGGGAGGAAGTGGTCTTCCGAACAAAACCCACCAATTTATATATAAAAAAAAACAAACTCTCCAGTTTTATTAATTATTTTAAAATGGCTACAGAGACAACATGAGATTTCATATCTAGACTAGCTTCCTTGCGTAGCACAGCACAAACATACAACAGGTTTAAAAGAATAATCAAGCAAAGGAGGTTGGAAATCGGGTGCTAGAGGCTTTTGTTTTGTTTCCAAAAAAAAAAAAATTCAACAAAAAAGTGTCATGTACATAGAATAAACCCTTCTTCTGCAGAAGGATCTGGTCATGTCTTGAAATATTTTAAAGATTTGTCCTTCATTGTTTTATGGAATAAAAAGTTCAGCCTTTTTATTGCATGAAACTAAAAATCAGGGGTGGGTCTCCCCCCGGCTCTCTGCATGTCTCCCTGCCAAACACACCTAGATTCTCTTCTTGCATAATTTCTTGAGATCCTCCAAATGGCAGCCGACTTTTTCTTTATCCTGGAGAAGAGGATGCGGGGTGAGGGAGGAGGGAAATCACACACTCATCGTCATGCTGGGAGAATACTGGGCGGTTGGGAGGGAAATGGGGAGGGGGCGGAGAAAGAGAGAAATCACAGCGTTAGAGTGAGGCAAGAACAAGACCAAAATGCTAAATGTTGCGGAAGCTGAGGAAATGAGATATGAAAGAGATGTGGGCTTATGAAAACTATAAAGCAACGTAATTGGCTTCAATAAATCAGGAGGGCTAGAATGTGCTAAAGATTAATTTATCAGGACGTAATCACTCCCATTTCCCCAAACCACAGTTTGCCAAACTGGGGGGTAAAGGAGAGTTTAATAATAATAAAAAAAGCCTAAACAGTATGTGGCAGAACACAATTTAAAAAAAAATTCCAAATGTATATAATGATAAATACAGCGCCAGTTTACAGTCTTTTATAGGAAACATACTGTGTTTCATTTCAAGGCACCACTGCATGTAATGAAGTACCACTGGTAGAACTAACTCATCTGGAGGGAAACACTGCTGCTGCCGCTCTGCCTATGAGTCTTGGGGAGGACCGCTCCCCCTTGAAGCCCATTTTCCACCTTGGGCATGGGGGCGGGCCCCATACTCGCCTCCGCAGCTTATGGGGCTCCAGGGAGGCCTCGGGTGTGTGGGGTGGGGTGAGTGTTTAGTTGGGTGTGGGAATTTGTTTAATTTAATTATGTTGTGTTTGTAACTTTGTTTTTTGTTTTTATAGTTTTATTGTTCTGTTAGTTTGTTTTTTGTATAGGTTTTAATTTGATTTTAAGGGGAGGGGTCAGGGCTGCCTGGGAGTGGGTCCCAGCAAACAAAATGGCTGGGGCAGGTTCCACAGGGGGGGATGCACTCGGACAACCGATCTCAGTGATCACGGGTAGGAGGAGGAGTTACGCTAAGACCAGACCATGTCATTACCGAGGAAGCAGGCTTAGTCGTTGTTTGAGGACTATCCCTGCCTCCAGGTCTGGTCCTGACCGGAAGGATACTGGAATCAACAAGGGAAACCCACATGACCTGAAAGTGTTGCTGTGCAATGCCAGGTCAATGATGAATAAAACCTCTGCCATCCACGACCTGATTGTGGATGGAGGATTTGACCTGGCATGTGTGACAGAGACCTGGTTGGATGAAGCAGATGGGCCCGTCCTTGCCGCTGCTTGTCCACCAGGTTTCTCTTACGCACAGCAACCCAGGCCTTGTGGGCGGGGAGGGGGGGTTGCAGTGATTTTTAGGAAGTCATTAGTTTGCACCAGGCGTCCTATTGGAAAGACCCAGTTCTCTGAGTGCATGTTCTGGAAGTTGGGCAATAGGGGCAGTACAGGATTCCTATTGGTGTACCGACCTCCCCGCTGCACCAAGGATTCCCTGCCCGAGCTGCTTCAGGTCGTGGCGGATGTCCTCCTGGAGACACCTAGTTTGGTTGTCCTAGGGGACTTTAACATCCATGCCGACACGACCTTACAAGGGGCCGCTCGGGACTTCGTGGAAAGCATGGCCTCCATGGGGCTGTCCCTGAATAAGTCTGGCCCAACTCATAGCCACGGGCATGCCTTAGACCTGGTGTTCACCTCTATGGATGTTGGTGATCTGACATTAAGTAAAAGCGAAACCAAAGAAGTGCCATGGTCAGATCACTTCCTGGTGCAACTGGACTTCTCCGTGACCCTTCCCCTCTGCAGGGAGGCGGGACCGATTCAGATGGTCCGCCCCCGCCACTTAATGGATCCAAATGGTTTCCAGAGAGTGGTAGGGGATGTTTTATCCCATGTTGATGGCCTTTCAGCTGATTCCCTGGTGGCCCGCTGGAATGTGGAGTTAACCAGGGCTATTGACTGTTTGGCTCCAAAGCGCCCTCTCCGATTGCATGGAGTCCGGACAGCCCCGTGGTTTTCCACGGATCTGAGGGCAATGAAACAATCGTTGAGACGGCTAGAGCGCCGGTGGCGGATAACCCATTCTGAATCTGACCGGACACGGGTTAGAGCTCAATGTCGAGCCTACCAAGTGGCGATAGCGACGGCGAAGAAGACTTTCTTCACCGCCTCTATTGCATCTGCGGAAAACAGCAGCAGGAGACTCTTTCAGGTGGTTCGCAATTTAGCGGAACCACCTGCTCCATCAGGGCCCAGTAGCGGCCACATGATCTCCTGCAATGACTTTGCAAAGTTTTTGCAGATAAAGTCGCTCAGATTCGAGAAGAGGTAGACTCCACCGTGGGAGCAGGGCCGGGGCGGGAGAGTGCTAGAGTCCTGTCTAGTCAAGTTGTGTGGGATCAATTCCAATCTGTTACCCCCGAGGATGTGGACAGGCTGCTTGGACGAGTGAAACCAACCACTTGCCTCCTTGATCCTTGCCCATCCTGGCTTATAAAAGCTAGCCGGGAAGGACTGGGCGATGGGCTTCGTGGGGTGGTGAATGCTTCCCTCCGTGAGGGGCCTTCCCAGACCCGCTGAAAGAGGCGGTTATTAAACCGCTTCTTAAAAAACCATCTTTAGATGCGGCCACGATAGCCAACTATCGCCCAGTCTCAAATCTTCCATTCTTGGGCAAGGTGATTGAGCGAGTGGTTGCTGAACAACTCCAGGCACGCCTGGAAGAAGCGGACCATTTGGATCCCTTCCAGTCGGGATTCAGGCCTCATCATGGGACTGAAACTGCCTTGGTCGCACTGGTTGATGATCTCCGGCGGGCTAGGGACAAAGGTGAGAGCTGTTTCCTAGTTCTGCTGGATCTCTCAGCGGCGTTTGATACCATCGACCATAACATCCTTCTGGACCGTCTTGAGGGGCTGGGAGCTGGGGGCACTGTTATACAGTGGTTCCGCTCCTTCCTCCTGGGCCGTGTTCAGAAAGTGGTGGTGGGGATGAGTGTTCAGACCCCTGGGCCCTCACTTGTGGGGTGCCTCAGGGTTCTGTCCTCTCCCCCATGCTTTTCAACATCTACATGAAGCCGCTGGGAGAGATCATCAGGGGATTTGGGCTGGGTGTTCATCAGTATGCAGATGATACCCAGCTCTACCTCTCTTTCAAATCAGAACCAGTGAAGGCAGTGAAGGTCCTGTGTGAGTGCCTGGAGGCGGTTGGAGGTTGGATGGCGGCTAACAGATTGAGGTTGAATCCTGACAAGACAGAAGTACTGTTTTTGGGGACAGGAGGCGGGCAGGTGTGGAGGATTCCCTGGTCCTGAATGGGGTAACTGTGCCCCTGAAGGACCAGGTGCGCAGCCTGGGAGTCATTTTGGACTCACAGCTGTCCATGGAGGCACAGGTCAAATCTGTGTCCAGGGCAGCTGTTTACCAGCTCCATCTGGTACGCAGGCTGAGACCCTATCTGCCTGCGGACTGCCTCGCCAGAGTGGTGCATGCTCTGGTTATCTCCCGCTTGGATTACTGCAATGCGCTCTACGTGGGGCTACCTTTGAAGGTGACCCGGAAACTACAACTAATCCAGAACGCGGCAGCTAGACTGGTGACTGGGAGCGGCCGCAGAGACCACATAACACCGGTCTTGAAAGACCTACATTGGCTCCCAGTACGTTTCCGAGCACAATTCAAAGTGTTGGTGCTGACCTTTAAAGCCCTAAACGGCCTTGGTCCAGTATATCTGAAGGAGCGTCTCCACCCCCATCGTTCTACCCGGACACTGAGGTCCAGCACTGAGGGCCTTCTGGCGGTTCCCTCACTGCGAGAAGCCAAGTTACAGGGAACCAGGCAGAGGGCCTTCTCGGTAGTGGCGCCTTCCCTGTGGAACACCCTCCCACCAGATGTCAAAGAGAACAACAACTACCAGGCTTTTAGAAGACATCTGAAGGCAGCCCTGTTTCGGGAAGCTTTTAATGTTTGATGTATTATAGTATTTTAATATTCTTTTGGAAGCCGCCCAGAGTGGCCGGGGAAGCCCAGCCAGATGGGCGGGGTATAAATAATAAATTATTATTATTATTATTATTAGGACCTCATGTATGGACGTATTCAACTAAAGGAGGCAGGCAGCTTTCCTAGCCCTTCCCCTTTGCTCATCAAATTTTGACTGGGAATTCTGAAGGGCAGGGCAGGGCTCAATCTTTGGCATATGCTACTATGCAAAACATAGATATACATGGCTGGTGCAATAACCATCATCTGAGACTACTGATGGGTAGAACTCTGTCCCCACAGGACCCCTCACAGGAGGAAAGGAGGGAAGCCATTGCAGATTCTTCCTCTCCCCCTCCCACTCTGGAAAGTTTCTCCAAAGCGCCAGAAGACACTCCAGAACAAGGGGGAGGGCAGGATGAGGCCTTCCTCTAGTGAGCAGGGGGAATCCTTCTATTTAGATGCTTCACATTCACCGAAATCACTGTTATGGAAACAGCATGAAATGGACATGTAGACTGCCAGATGTGATCTCACTCACTCACATATACAGTTCTTGGAAGCCATACATATTAATTTGCTGCTTGCCTGCTGACTGTAATCATGTTTCGAAGTGGTAACTACATTGCTGGGTGGTCCAACTTAATAACCCATGGCTTGCTGATCAAACCAGGATGACCCTCACAAATGAGTCAAGTAACCATGGCTGGTGCTGTCCAATGTTGGCTTCATTTTCTGACTGCTCCTGCCTCTTGTTTTGTAGGCATAGCTTCATAAGCCAGCTTAAAGCCATGGTTTCACAGTCTGGTTTGTTGGCCACGGGCAAACCATAATTAGTTGGCTGGAGTGGGTGGTTCAGAGATGCAAGCAAAGCACAGCAGTGAAGCTAAGCAAATCATGGCTTAGCAAGACAAGCGAACCATGGTTTCTTTTCTCTATTTTAATTGCCTCGGTTTGGAACCATTTATACCTTTTGTCTTTGAAAGGTATGTCACATCTCAATATGCCGTACTGTGTACCTTTCCCAAGTTTTGTCAGCTCCAAAGCTGCCATTTCTCTATGTCTAGTTCCCTTCCCCCACCCTTTTATGATCACATAGCACCCCCTCCCTCTCCCCTCTCTGCACATATCAATGATTCCTTCCCAGAAATAGCTTGAAAGAGCCTAACAGGCTCTGTGATTCAAACCCCAGTTAGCATGAAGAGTTGGTGTAAGGATGACTCACATTGTCATTCTGGAAGGAATGGAGGAAGTTGCCTCCCAGTTCACCATCATCTCGTGGAGTGCCGGGAGGATTGCTAATGCCACTTATGTTGTTTGGAGAATTCTGCAGGGTTTTTTTTTGTTTTAAAAAGAAACAACAGACCACACAGAGATACACATGCAAGAAGTGAGTGTGTGCCTTTTTGAGTATGCTGCGTACTAGCAACTGCAACAAAAACATATTGTTCTACAATGGAAAAAAGATCACACGGATAGCTAAATATATATGAGAAAATGACTTGTGTTTGATGACTCCCTCACAGGGCTAAGAGCAAAAGGGGGGGGGGGGGGGAGAAGAGGGAGAAAATGTCCTTGCACTGGTGAGCAGAGGGCAGAAAAGAAGGGTAGAGCTTCAGTACTCCTTCCCTGGCCCTACCCCCAGGGTTCCATATTAACCCCCCAACATAGTTGTTATTTTGTCCATGAAAGCAAGAACAAAAGAACACGGCCCAGTCTAAGAATGCAGACTTACTTTTGGAAGTCCATCTATGTCTCCTGACCCTTGTGAAAGAAGAACAAAAGAAAGAAAAGAACGGTAGGCTGTTAGTGGGGGATAGCTGATTTCCTTGCTCTTGATCAGGGCCCCCCCCCCATCAGCTCTCCCCACTCCCCCACCCCCGTTCCGCACCAAAGTGTCCGGTTCCTGAACCATCATCCAGAAATAAGACGCGGCTGCAAAAAGCTCCGCCTTGGCCTTCCCGGAAGCAGCTGGCAGTACATTAGTGAGCTGCAGGTCACAGCTGGGCTAATGCAAACCTCTTAACATTTGCCTCCAGAAAGGGACATGCTGGGGTTGCCTCAGCTGCCATTCCTTTGCATGCAGAACTCCCGGGAGCAGAGCCCCGGCTCACCTTCCTGCACGGCACTAGAGTAATGGCCTAATCGAGTTGCTACGGCCTCGGCTCCCTCCCGCGAGCTTCGTGACACTGATCAAGATGGAGTATAGCACCTCTACTTCAGCAAGATGTATAAGGCAAACATAGGAGGTTAATGGGTCTTTCTGCTGCTTTAATTAAAACACTCGTGCCACGGTTAGGTTGATGCTGCCGCTTCGCCTTTATCCATCAACAGGAGCCTGGCAAAGCCTGTGACCAGCAGTCCCTGCTCCCTGGCTACTTTCCTATCCTGAGTGTGTCAGGAATGGCCAAGTCCTCACAAGACTGGGCTTTGTAGATTACCGGCACTGAGCAAGTCCCCAAAGCTCTGGAAACAAACAGGATCCGCACCACAAAAACAAATGCTGAAAGCACACATCAGCCAACAGGCAGAGTCTTAGGAGCTCTGAGGTCAGAAAGCATCTGCTACAGAATTTTGCAGAGTAACAGGACAAAGGCCCCAGGTGTGGAGTCTAGCTAGGACTAGGGTCACCCCACCACCTTTGCAAGGGGTCCTTGCAAGGACCGATACCTGTACTAATCCCGGATTCAAACATTTCCCCCCTAGAGTGCAGTGCTGGGTGACTGCTATTTTAATTTCAACCATACACCCGAAATAACCCTACACCAGGGTCACTGCAAAAAGCAACAATCAAAGCAATTTGTGGTTCGCTGCATGTCCTCCCAGGGTTCTGTACCAAGGGTACTCTAATTCTGGACCCAAATAGATTATAACATATCTTAAACAACTATTCCACTGCCTGGTGTTGATCCCCCAATCAAAAATTCTGCATTCCCACATTAACATAAAGCAATGTTTTCAGCCAGGAACAAGTACATGAAAAATGTTAAAACATGTTTGTGATTGCACATCCTATACAGTTAAAATGACAAAGTGTGCAACTAGAACTCATTTTATCACTGCTGGTTCTGGGATGTCCCGTGAGATGATAGTCCAAAAACGCTGAATATTGCTGAAGTCTTACCTAATGAGCCATTCATGTGATGCGGCTCCATCCCACCCATGCCTCCCATTGGGCCATCTGAGCCAGGTCCCATGGGGAACTGAGAAAGAAAGAAAGAAAGAAAGAGCTGTCAGTTACCACACATCACTCATATTATAAAATATCCAACATACAATATATTAGCTTGTATGTCTATTGGTAGCTAGATGCTTCAGAACACCAATGGCAGCAATGCTCTGCAAACTGAGGTTTCTGAATTCTGTTTAAAACACAAAATAATGAAAAGTTCTTTAGGAAACAACAGTTTGCACTGAAAACCCACCATCGCCCACTGGGTATGTGTCTTCCAAATTGAGGAGGTTTGATACACACCCTGTCTCTTCGAAGAAGCCATTGATCTATTGCATCTTGTACCACTCCTGTGGGCAGACTCAGTCCTGACAAGGAAGTTGCAGAGAACTCTGCTCTTCTCTTTTGGATCAAAGTGGACAGCCAAATGGAGCAGCTGCTGTCCAGCTTAACACATGGTTGTCTGGGCATCTGATACTGTTGGATGGCCTACGCCCGGCCATGCCACAACTACAGTACTTTTCATCTGTACAGAAATTTTGCTACCACCCTCTACTTCAGCACCATGTGTGGGCAGTCTGGAACCCTTCGACCACAAACTACTACTATATGCAGGGTCCATATAAAAGCCATCTCCAACTTGCCATGTGCAAACCAAGGGAGGAATTCAACAGAGCATTAAGCAAATTTTTGTGCTTGCGTGATGAAATGAATGCTCTGCCTTCTCTTCCCCCTGCAGGTGCTTGTGGGTGTTTTCCTGATCCCAACAGAGCCAGTTTTGTGGGCACAGGAGGAGGAGAGGGAGGAAAGCTAGCGGAAGTCCATACATGGGCTTCTGCTGGTGGGGCTCATTTGCTGAATCCTGCCCTTAAGTGACAGAAGTAGTGCAAGAGGTGGAAGTTCTAATAACATGACTAATCCAGGCCTCTGAAATCTCATCTGCCAAAATGTTTCAGTTGCCAGTCAAGATTTCTTTAGGCTCCATGTCATCTAATTGTACCCCTGCCTTTCATTCAAGTTACATAGGGAAGCACACGCTGGATTCCTTGACAGTTTTCTATCCAAATACTGGCTAGGACCAGATTTCTTTAGCTTTAATGGATTAAGCCACAACACCTGTATTTAGACCCCAGTTGTTTTTTATTCTTGCAACCATCAGTTTGCTTCTCCTAACATCCCATGAATTAAAACCCTGAGATTTAAGTGTTTGCTCCTCCTCTGCCTCCTCTCTATTCTGTATTCCATCCTCTTTGGACAACGTTTTCTGAGAAATGGACAGGACACACTTTAAGCAATCATCCAGCTACTGGAGTTTAGACTAGTTCAGTCTGAAAAACTAGGTCTGAACATAGAAGTATTCAGGAAAGAGCTGCCCTTCCCCAATAAGAGCTGCTTATCTGAAATATTGGGCTGGCATTGTCCTGAAGACAAAAATCTGGCAGGTAATCTTAACAGAATCTCTTGGAGATCAGCTTGAGTAAAAGGTGAAGAAAGGCCCGGGTGTCAGCTGTGTCTCCTTTAAATGCAACCCCGCTAACCAGCAATGTGCATGACAATCTTGACCAGAGCTGCGTGAACGCCGCTGTTTTAATAAGCGTAAAAAATTAACAAAGTCGCTGAAGAGTTAATCACTTTTTGATGGTTTGTTTTATTTCTGTTTTGTAACAAATGGCTGAAATCAATTAAACTGCTTTACCCTCAACTGATGAAGTTAATTATGATTTGTTATGGTATCTGATATGTAAATTATTAGAAAGCAGACTTACATTCGACCGACTGCCTCCAGGCGGTACGGGATTAATCATTGTGTAGATGTTGTCACTTGAATTTGTCGAATCTGTAGAACAGTGAAACCCACTAAGTCAGGGTGATTAATTCATTTCTTAATTAAAACAAACTCATGCCACTTGAACTCATTCTTTTGTATTTTATCACCTAAAATTCTCTCTAAGTACCACCATTTTCTGGCTAATTTGTATTTAATGAAGATTCACAAAGTTTTTAATCACAGAAATTCAACTGTGAAAAGAATTCTGCTACTAACCGAGAATATTGGGGCTTTCTTGCCAGGAGAGGTGTAGAAAGATAATTTGCTGCCATGTGTCGCATAACACCTCAAAATTAGCTGATGCAATTATCTTACTACAACATCATATTTCATCTTTAAAAAAATAACAAAATACATGGATGACATTTAGTCACAATATATTTTTTTTTTAAAAAAAAACAGAAAACCCAATATTTTTCTTAATAATGAAAGCACTACAAGACAAGTGTTTAATTGAGGGGCAGAATACAAACAAAAATACACAAATTACAAGCAGGCAATGGTGACAGGAGAGAGAGAGAGAGAGAGAGAGAGAGAGAGAGAGAGAGAGGAGTGGTGCCTACATTAACATATGGATTGTTTTATTATGACCTAGTCTGAAATGTAGGTCAGAGTTCTCATATAAATGCAAGAGCAGGAAGGCAGTGGTAATACTACACTGAAGCTCCACCCCTGCAGCTGTGGTACACGAGAGTTACACGCGGCATGGCTTACCTCCCCAGAGCCACCACTCCCCCTGCTTTTATTCTTGCCACCGACACATGCAATGTATAGTAAATCACCCTTGCAGGCCTATCAGGAATATTCACCGGACCCAACACTGACACACACTCTCTCTTCCTCCCCTCCCACTTTACTACGATGGAAATACATGGAGGGGGGAGGGAATTTTACTCAGCCTCCTGGGGAGTGAGCACCGTTTTACAAAGTGGAATTCACTCCCAGTAGAAATATGGCAACACGACAACACTGACCTGGACAACAAAAAGAGATTTGTGTAGGCCTTCCTGGTGCTAATATTGGGCAACCCAAGAACAGAACAGCCCTAAAGAAGTTGGGGTTTTTTTTAAAGGTGGGTGGGACTGGCTTAAAAACAACAACAATAACCCTCTTTAAACTTCTTTTGGATATCTGGAGAATGTTCCTAGTTAACTTCTACAAATCCACCCCTCCCACAAATGATTTTTCCTTATCTACCAACATAAAAATAGGTTTTTAAAAAATTACCGGCACCTCTCCCAACGTGTCAAATTTCACATGGATAATTCATCAAGGGACGCAGCGACCTCTTTCACATGGCTTACTGGGAGCTCAAGGCCAAAGTACGGTGCGTGCTGCCTTCCACCCCTCAGGAAAGGCTTTTGGTGCAGCCAAATCTCCCACTAACCCCATTTCTCATACGCCTCTTGCGGGGCTCCCTCATGTTTTAAGCCCTGGCAGAATAAAAGCCATCAGCACATGGCTGGCAGCAAGGGCAGGGAAAGAGGAACAGAAGACAAAACCTCTCCCTTTGAAAAGAGTCAGGTTGCTTTACAGCAGCTGCGCCCAATCAATAGCCAAACAGTGCATCGGTGGCATGCAGATTGTTGCTGTTGCGACCTTAAATAAAATCCAGCAGCAAAGGAAACCTGCTAAGCTAACCCAACCATTACCGGGCTCTCAATTCTCTTTTTAAAAAAATAAAAAATGGGAAATTAGTGCTGCTTTCTTTCACCCTTACCTGCGGGGCTAGGCATGATAGGTGTTCCAGGAGGACCTCCGCCACCAGGGGGCCCCTGTTGACAAGATTAAATACACATCAGGAACCACTGTGATAACACAGCCTGCAATAGGTCAGCCAGATCCTGCTGCTGTCAGCAACAATGTCTCACCTTGGTATTCAGCCAAGCATTAATCTCCCGCTAAAACCTTTGATGCACTCTTGTAGCCAAAGTGCAATTTCTTTGTTTAAGCCTCGGGAAAAATGAAGGTTTTACTGAGGAGCGGGGGGGCACATCTGTGCAAGGACCACATACCAAGTCTATCTGCCAGGGTAGTTAACAGGGGGTATTCTTTCTATAACCTTCACATCTGCAGAAGGTGCAAACAGAAACGGGCAACTCAGAACGCTGCAACGTACTTCTTGGATGTGCCAATGGGACGATCTCATTCCAGAACAACTAGAGGAGTGTGCATTCAAAGTTCTCCACCGACACACAAATTGTAATCACCGTGCGAAATGCGTTCTCGAGACCCCTTAAACACAGTTACACCACCAGTGCACCACCACCACCATTCGCACAGCTGGGGTCGCTAAGGGATTTCTTTCCCTACTTTTGAGGCATGTTCAAGACTGGGGGGGGCGGGGCGGCTTTTAACATGCTTTATTCACATTGTCTTGAGGAACAGAAAGGAGCTTCCTCAGAAACCATGCAGCTTGGACTTTTTAGAATTCTTGGCCTCACTGCAGAAGCGAATACACAAGGTACGGAACCAAGTCCCTGCAGGCACTTGTATCCTGAGCTAGGATTCCTATTTGTGTGCACGCAAACACCAAAATATTGAATTGTATGCTGGACCGGCATGTCATGACCCATAAAGAAATATAAACCTACCACGTATGTACCAGGCGATGAAGAAGAGTATGGAATCTGCAAGAAGATCAGAGCATAGGCATTACTTGATGAAATATACCAACTGTACAGGGAAATGAATCCTACAGGTGATGACTGTAGGCCAAGAGTCCATACAAATAAATTTATTATTATTATTGAATTTATATACCGCCCTATACCTGGATGTCTCAACAACTGTTACCTGTGTTCAGGAGATGGATGCAACACATACAACCCAGATGACATCATTTCAGTCTTATTGTTTTTTTAAAATGTTCAGAGAACCCAAGATAGGAGCAGAGGGACACTGGAGCACATCCCACCATCCCACTGGGAAGGCATAGCTGTCAACTTTTCCCATTTCTTGTGAGGAATCCTATTCGGAATAAGGGAATTTCCCTTTAAAAAAGGGAAACGTTGACAGCTATACTGGGAAGGGGAATCAACACATTTCAACAGAGATTCAGGAACCCTCTTAAAAGATTGCACACAAGGGAGGGCAGTGGGAACAAGCACACGAGATCTGTCCCCTGGCCACCATTGGATGGCAAATGTCTGAAGCCGGGAGATTCCTGTACTTGTGGCAGTTCCCCAACCATTTTAGAAGCCTGATATTCTGGGGTTGGAAAACACGCAAGAGTCTCTACCGGCACACGCAGGTCCCGCTAACTGAACACTTGTTATGCAAAAATTTGCTTAGTTGTGCCCAAACTTTGGTATACAAACGGCTGATTCAGATATCTGAACAGCTGGACTTGTGAGAATGGTGTTGCTTAATCGGGAGCTTTATTTTCAACGGTGAGCCTGAAATTTTCCTACTGTGTATTTGAGCCCACAAGCAAAGCCTCTTCCTCAGTCGTTGAGATGGGGGCCAAGTCGCTGTCCCTGAGCGGCAAAGAACATGTCAGAGCCAAGCCCACAGAGTGCCAGCCAGGTTGGCAGCTGGGACAATGAGGGAGACACCAAGGATGAAGAAAAGGAGGAGGAGGAGCTTGGCTTCCTCCAGGACTGAGCGAGTGAGTTTCGTCACTGCAGTAGCTGGTGGAGGAAGAAGAGGATTTGGTGCCGATGCTGGCCTCAGCTTCATCATAGGCTTCACTCTTTGCCTAGGCCTCAGTGCCAGAGGAGGGCGAATAAAGGAGGATAAAGAGGTGGGGGCTGCACCAGCGGAGGAAGCTCCTCAGCTCAGTCCCACGTGCCTTCCCTTGGCTGTCCTCATGGGCTCATGAAGTGACATTGTTGACCAACTAACTCACTGGTTAGATTCAGGCAAGGGGAGTGGAACTGGTTCAAAAACGGGCAGAAAAGGGGTAGGCTAGTAGCACTTATCAGAGATGGAGGAAGAACTGGGGGAGGGTGACGGGGTGGAGAGACCATGCTGGTGTAGATATATAGTAGGAAAATGTGGTGTTTCTCCTGTTGCCTTGTTTTATCAGGGAACGTAGTGGGATTTCCCAATAGAAAACAAAGGAAATGATTGACTCGTTAGGCGAATGCTCGCCTAACGAGCCATTTCTCAGCAACACATTATGCTTGGAAAGCAGGACCTATGTGTACAGGAGACTCCTTGATTCAGACTTTCTCCCTCCAACTCATGAAAGGAGACTGGAATGGTGGCTGCAGTGTGGGCCTAGTTAGTTTGGTTGTCCCCACTCACCCTGACAGTAGAATGCCAGAAGATGGCAAATGAGAGGAATTCAAGTACTACAGGAAAACTAAATTATGAGGGCCAAGTTTACAAGAACAAAGGCATTCAAATAAATGGACACTTACTGAATTAGCGCTGTTGGGATTGGGCCATGGTCTACCAGCTCCTGGACCCCTGGAGTTTGAGAGAAAACAAGCTTTCAGCATGTACAGGGTGACAACGTGAAGCCAAAATGATTTCCACATCTAGAATTGTAAGAACGTCAACGGAAAGCCAGCAGCATGGCAGTTGCCTTACATGTTAATCCCAGGCATGCCGGGCCCTAGAGAGTTGGGTGGAGGTCTCATTCCGCCGCCATAGTTCTGCAATGATAACCAAGGATCAGTCTACCATAACGAGAAGGGAAACCGGAGAAGAAAAGAGAAAGGAAAAAAACAAACAAAAACGAGAGGGTTAGTTTGTGAAAATGAACTTTAATTAAAAAAAAAAAAGATGATGATAATGAACATATAGGCAAAATTGGCTACTTTGAAAAAGTAAAAATTGGACGGCGGCATCTCTCAATTTGCTCTTTGACCAGGCAAAGGATTTTTTTTTTTAAAGGGGGAGTGGGGAAGAAAATCTTAGAAGCCACCCAAATTCCCATCTCATGGTAGGAGTGTACCAGGAATGCCCAGTGGGCTAAGGCTTCTAGCACTGGCCAATGCAGGTCATCAAGGAAGCCGTAGCTGCACCTAAAGGGTATGTAAGATGGTTATCTTGAAAGGTAATAAAGAAAAAGAGAGGCTTGTCACAGGAAGCCAAACGGGAGAGGTAGACATGAAAGAATTAAGATTCCTTGCTTAGTGTTGTGGTGGGAGAATTGCATGAAAAGAAGCAGGAGAAAATGTGGGGTGGGGTGGGCAGAAGAGAGAAATGTTCTGCTTTAAGGAAGACAAGGCAATGAGCACGTGAGCGGGTGTTCAGAAAGGGGAATAGTGACAGCACAAAGGTTTGCAACAGCTTCTAAGTAAAGAGCATTCAGTTACAAAACAGCAAAGCTGGCCAGTCACAAAACTGCACAAATCTTTATTGGTGTTCATGTACAAGAAAGAGAAGACAATTCTTAGGCCAGAAAATGTCATTTCTCTCCCATTAAACACGGCTGGCAAACACTTTCGGTTTCCCCAACACAGACCAAAGTTAGAGCACAAATTCACTTCTGTGCACCATAGAGATACTACAGAACTGTACTAGGTCCCACTTGTTTCGCAAAGGAGATCTAAAAGATGAAATCTGACAGAAAGGGCGCCAATCTGTCACAGCTGCAAGGCCCACGGAAAGCTAACGATTAAGGGCTGGGGATGAAAAGGCAGCTTATTGTGGAAGTCTACATGTGAGCACTTGCTGAAACACCTGAAGAAGCTGCTTCCTCCCCACCTCTCTGAAGTCGTAAATCTAGATCTAAAGTCGGCGGCTATGGATTCCGATTTTCTTGGTTCCTGAAAGACAGCTGACACTTGGCTGGCTGATTGGCTCCCCTCCAAACATGGCTGCCCTGCAGGGCCTGATGGAGACTGCACAAAGCAGAGAGGTGGTTCAAAGCGGGTTCCTCTTTGAAAAGAGTTTAAAGCAAAATTGCAACTGGCTTACATACTGTTGATAAGTGACGCTTTTACCCTCTCGGAAGAGCTGCTCGCTGCACACGAGGCAGAGCTCTGCTGTGATTTTGTTGCAAGGGTTTCTCAGGAACCCTCAACTCTTGAACGGAACACTTTGGCCTTCCATTTCTCCTGACAGAGGGCAGCCACAGCTGGCAACAGATCTGCTGATCATTAGCCGATCAGTACAGTCCATACTCCTGGCAAGCAAACAGACTGCTTGGCTGAATGCTAGGCAACCTGGGTAGTCACAATCTCCATTTAAAAAAAAAAGCAAATCAAAGAGCTTCACCTGCCTTGCTAACTTCAGCTGACTACAGAGGACAAGTGGGATGGCTCCTTCCTCACACTTTCATTAATGACATGTTTAAACTCTTATTGGCTAGGAACAGGGACCAATGCTATTTTGGAATGAGAAGCAAGCACCAAAGGGACAAAAAAGGACTCCCCCCCCCCCCCCACAACTCTGCACCCATAGCAAGGTAAACAAGAGCTAGACACAGGGAATGCTCATCTACACACATTTCATGCATGGCTTTAGAAAGACACCATGCACCTACACTTAACAACAGCTGCAAATTCAACCACGGCAGATGCCTACGTAACTACAACGCCAATGGAATGAAATCACTCTTAAGTACGCCACTTGGTGGGGATGGCAAGCACATGGCTTGTCCAAGTTGTACAGCACATCCAAAAGTTTTGAAGCAGTCTTTGTTTGGCTGACACAACTATAACAGATGCAAGCTGTTATAATAACACATCAGGGACTATTAAGAGCTTTGTACCCATCACTAACAGTGCCAGACCATTAAAATAGATAACAAAGCGATTGGAATCTAAGCTTGCCGGAATGATTATGATGCAAGCAACTTTCTTTCTTTTTTCTCTTGCTTTCCTGGAGGTGTGTGGCTTCAACTGGCGTTCTAATGGACAAGTTCATACTTTGCACCAGTATCAAGAAGTTCAGTTACCGTATTTTTCGCTCTACAAGACGCACCCGACCATAAGATGCGCCTAGTTTTTAGAGAAGGCTTCAGGGATAGCCGCGCAGCCTGCATTCGCTCCATAAGACGCACACACATTCCCCCTTACTTTTTAGGAGGGAAAAAGTGCGTCTTATAGAGCGAAAAATATGGTATTTATCTTCCTCTTTTGCACTCTGCTTCAGATGCTATGCTGCACAGCCTTTCCAAACCCGGGGGTCTCCAGACTACAACTTTTGCCTTTCCTGATCATTGGTCATGCTGGCTGGGGTGAATGGACAACAACTTGAAGGTCCTGGGTAGACGAAGGCTGATGTATTATGATAAACAGGATTGATTTGTATAAATTAGATGCAGAAGATTGAAACGTGGGCTCATACTGCACCTATTCCAATTGTTTTCTTTGCAACGATGCTGTCACAGAGTTATCAAGACCTTTCGAGTAAAGTTGTTCCTAATAGCAGGCAACTATTATTCTGCCCACTTTCTCCAGGTCTAAGCCCTCCTTCTGCACTTGCCTATGCCTCCTGCTCAGCTATTGCCAGTCCTAGCCTGAAAACAGATGGTCTGACTTAAAGCCTTCTCCTTACACTTGCTGACCCTGAGGTTAATCTGGTAATAGCAGCAGAACCTTAAGTGCTGGGCTGACTTATCACAGGTGGCTACCTAGGAATGGTGTTTGTAAGGGTCAACACTTTTGCTGCAGCTGCAGATCCAAAGAACTTCACAGGGTATTACTGGATGAAAGCGATTTGCAAGGAAACCCAAGGAAACGTTTTATGCACGTCCCCCCCTTTTAAAGTGGTAGTTCAACACTTTAAATGATTACGATTTCACAGTTGCTGAAATTGACAAACCTGATAGTATTAGTAAAAATGACAGGGGAGATGGAAGGGAAAGAAGCAAGCCGCTTTTCTGACGTGTACTAGGCCCTGTTAATACATCCCTTGGTATGCTGACATTTTCTTAGTATCAGTTTTAAGTGAGGGACTCATGGTGTGCTGGGGTTCTGGTGTTAAATCTGTAGCCGGTTTTCTATGCTGTTCCTTCAAACACTGAACCATAATCATGGCTTGGAAGGCTGTCTGAACTGAGCCACTGCACAGATGGCTAATACCAAAAGAAGTTTCAGAAAGTGCAAGGGACCTCACTAAAATGTGGCTACTGGTTATGGTTCCCCTACAACTGTTTTCTGAAGTGCACATGTGGCAAGCTGGTCATCTCTAGTATCAAACCATGTGATACAGGTGCCTCAATCTATTGGATTGGACACTACAGAAAAGCCTCATTGTGTAGCTGAGTATTACTAATGACCAGGCTTTCCATATGGTTACATGAGCAATACTTTAAGAGACCACGAGTTAAATGATCATCTATCCCAAGTCAAGGAAAATCTGGCCTGAATGTCCCTAAAGTTTAATATGAGAAAGCAAAGAGAGGTATCTGAGCTTGTCAGGTTTCAGGAAGAAGCATGCTAAGAGAACAAGGAGAGAGCAGGATTGCAAAGGAAGGTCCACAGGGAAGCGGCAAGCCTGTGAAAGAAGAGATGCACATTCCTCAGTACCATCCGTCAACACTTATTTATAACAAGTAAATATACATCATGCACCTCAATAACCTGATCCAACCATGGCACAAAAAGTGGACCAACCGAGAGACTGGAGAGAGGACCTTGTATCTCTCTCTCTTCACCATCTGACTCCATCTGTCCCCTTGGAAGCTTCTCACACTGATCCGTTGGCTCAGAGAGTCCCAACAGAACCCACAAAACAGACGTATTGCAACAGAATTAGGTATCTAGGAGCAATGGCTTTCTAGGCAGCCTACGAAGTTGTCCAGATCCTTAAGGGTTAAACCTTGAGGTACGGATTCAACTAACTGAATTGTTCCTTCCGTCCTCACAAGGTGCTTGATCCAGAAGAGGAAGTGGGGAAGGAGCTTTTTGCTGTGTTCTCTCCCTCCCCACAACCCTTTCCCCCTGTCCCAGAGAGCCTCCAACCCTCCAGAGCCGATTTTAGGGAGATGCAAGGGGCTGCAGAAGGAAGGGGTGAGTAGGTGAATGCCACCTCCCACAACATCCACTGGTGGGAGCTTTCCCTGAGTGGAGTTCTGCTGAGGGGATGCTACCACCAGAGGTAGCAATGCTGGGATCCAAGACTGAACCAGAACTATATAAAAGCAGATACGCGCCATGATTGGCCCATGGCATGCATCTGAGAAGTAACCTGTCAGCCCTCCTCTTCCCTCCATCATTCCTCCTGCAGTATGTAGTAAATGCGAAGTATGGACATCAAATAAACTTTGCTGGGCAGCAAAAAAGAAAAGAAAAAGCAAGCACCTTTTGGGTCGACCTGCATAGTCGATAGGGTGTCTGCTGGTGCTATAAAGCGCAGAATAGACTGCAGCAATTTTTTTTATTCCAAAAAACAATTAAGTGAAATAAATTCAGCATTGTACCCGCAAAACCCCCACCCCACCTAAGGGTTAGCATCTCAAGTTGTAAGATTCTTTCCTGACCAGAGTCCAATTAAACCAGAGTTTGCCCATTTGGATGAAAAGAGCAAAGATGGAAGGTGGGAGCAGGTGAGCACATGAAGTACGTGATATGAGGATGTTCACTTCTGAAGCCATAACTAGATGTTGGAAGGTGGGATTCCCCCCCACCCCCCATCCAGACACATGTAAACACACTAATGTAAAATGCATTATCGCTAATGGTGAGGAAGAAAAGGTTTGGGAGGAATGGAAGTGCTCCTAGCTCTTCAAGCTCCCAGAGGCTGCTTTTATGATGTTTTGCTCGCTAACTTCGTAGCAAAGCTATTGCTTGGCACTGGACAGGGTAGGAAATGCTCTGCCCAGGTTTTACCTGTGGACCTGGACCCATGGGCCCCATTCCTCGTGGAGGATTCATCCTTTGCATCGGCCCTCCCATGTTGGGATGCCCTAGTGAGGGAAGAGAGACAGGAAGATGTTACTTTATTACTGGAGAGTAATGCACTTGGTGAAAGCATAGGCCAAGGGGAAAGAACACCTGCAGACAAGCCGAATCACATTTACCTTGTTGTCGTGTGGGGTCCATTGAGTTGGGCAGCAAGGGCTGTGTACCAGGAACACCCCCTGGAGGCTATGGGGGAAAGGAAACAAATTTGAGGAAATCAAATACTTGGGAGATGCACAGTACAATTATCAATATTGCTTTGCTACATTCGCTGCTGCAATTAGAAAAACCAGTCATGGGCTGAAGGCCCTTTTGGCTCAGCTGCTTTTATATCTATACTCAAAAGCATTAGACTTCAAGGAAATGGGTCAATTTACTGATGAGGGTGAGGGCAGAATAGCCCCCTTATGCTATAAGCCCTGCGTTTGTCTCATATTGCCATTGTGTGGGCACTGCAGAGGAAACCTGGTTGATTCGAGGATAGGCTTAATCTTCCCTAGAAATCCTCCTTCAAAAAGGAACAGGAAAACTTTCCCCCCATTCCAGTTATTCTTGGCCGACTTTCCCCTAAGCCAACAGCGAAAGGTAGGTATGGCAGAGGGAGTGGCATGAAAAAAAGCAGCATTTTTAAAAGTACCATTTATTTGTATGAGAAAAATGTAACATATGGGACATCATTTTCACAATACACATGTAGGTGGAGAATGGCCTCAGTTTCATTCCCTGAATGGGTAAGTGATATCTCTTATTTATCCCAGTTCATCTATCATCAGTTCCTAGAGTGTCACGTGTGCATAGTTGAATGCTACAACCCCCTTGTCTACTAGCCCATTGAAAAAAGGGGATTTCTAGGGGAGAATTAGAAGGAAGGATTAAACAGTCCTTTCCTTCCAGTTGTTGATGGTCTTCTAGAAATGCCTTTCACCTTTGCGTTACCTTGGCCAAATGGGTTTACTGACACAATTTGTAATTTTGTCCACTCCTGGCCTTCTTCAGAAAACAAGCCTCTTTTTCTAGAGTTCATGGGCGCTTTCAAAAATCATGCTTCTCATGCCATAAAGCCAGAGTAAAATAGCTCCAGGTGTTTGGGTGGGCTAATTGACTGTGGCAACTCTTTTGATGCTAAGTATTCTTCTAGGTTTGGTCCTTAAGTTCACCTGTGTTTATCTAGCTCGTGGGTGTTTTGTAAACACCCTCCCTCCAGTTACCTGCTACATATAAGCATCCTTCATAAGCACCTATATATTCCACAAGCATATTGAAAATGCATAATTAAAAAGCCCCTTAATGGATGGGGACCAAGGTATCTTATGGAGCACTTCCACCCACACCACCCAGCCTGGGCTCTTGGATTGTCTCAGGGGGCTCCTTCTTGTTCACAGTGTGGGGATACAGGGTAGGGCCTTATCAGTAATGGCACCATCACTTAGAAGCCATGCCATTCAGGACCTTCTTTGACATAAACAACTGCCCTCCCAGGTTTTTGAAGAGCTTGGTTGAATCTGCTCTGGAGTTTTAGTACAGTATAGCCTGCATTACTGCAGGTTTTAATGTGTGAACTGCTTTGTTTTATCACTAGGTTTATATTTATTTTCACTGTAAACTGCTTTGGGACCACTTTGGAATTGAAAAGTTGTATTTAATTTTTTATAAATAAACATATATAGCTGGAGTTTACCTGCACTGGTGGGGTAAGTTTTGATCAGGGTAGAATCTGCATGCATTTTTAAAATGTTGTGAAAATGTTGCTTTAAAATGTTGTGGAAAAAAATCCTTTTGAAAAATACATTGAATTTGCTATAGCTCACAGTTGCCATCTAGTGTCTAGTGTATTGCACTTCACAACACATTTGCAGCTGCACAGCTGAGTCCACGGTTTACAAACTCACGGGGTGTCACTTTTTTGGGGGGGTGCGAAATAAGAAATAAGACCCGAGTTAGAAAGATCATGAACTTCCATCTTTGCTGCTACCTTTTGGTTTGGGGTACTTTTACTCCAGTCTCAGCTACACTAAACGTCTAGGTACCTGACTCCGCCCCCCCCCCCATTCGACAACAACGATTTCCTCATTGGAGAAAAACATAAAAGCTTTAAAATGAGCCAGGAAGTTTCTTAAATATACCATTTCTCTCTTGCCTAAATGGCTAGATCTGCTTTCCTAAACATCAGTCATTGCTATGCCTTCATTCATTGGCTAAAGATACAGAAAGAGGAACAGGCTCATTATTTTGTTTTAACAAAACAAATGAGCAGAGTAGCACCTGAATATTCTGCCTCATATTTCAGGTTCAACAAGGGCTGAAGACTTACTTCCCCTCCACTTCTTTTTGTAATGAAAACTTGGAATCCAGGAAAGATGGCTTATCAGGTGGGTGAGGGGGGTGATATTCTCCTTATCTTCCCTGCAGATGCCCACATGCACATATCCCATTCCTCATGAATCTATCATATATCTTCATTTTTTAAAAAAACAGTCATCCATATGCAGCCTGAGTCTCACAGTGAAGGTCCTTGAATGAAATGCTACTGATGCCAGTGCAATTTTAAGGTATACATTTGGGAAATGCACTGCGTTAAAGAAAGTTATCTGTTTGCCAACACAGATGACATTTCATCAACAAGGGTGATAGCGTTTCCCCTTCCTTCCTTACTTAACAGAAGTGAACAGATTGTGATGATGCCATTTGTATTTAAAATACGTCAACGCGTTTTGTAGAAATGGTAAGATTCCTTTTTTCTTGGGCAACAAATCCTTTCAACTTCATAATGTGCCTTCCATATTTTGATAAAGCTGGAGAGAAAAGACAGATATCGTCTCTCTCTGTCTAGCTATAAGCAAGTTTGCGATTTGGACATTTTCTTTAAAAAATGTTTTTTTAAAAATAGTCCAGATCCCTCTTAACATCACTACTTAATAGAAGTTGTTGGCTGTAACTTAGACAGAGAACTGGTATTCCAAAATGAATATATTGATACAAAACTTAGAAATATGTGATGCATAAAAGGTGCCGTGAAACTCCTGCATAGCTTTATGGGTCCCTTAAGGAGCTATGCACAGTTCAAACAAAATGGACAGAGGACCTCTGCAACTGAGGATAGGTGAGATCCAACATAGCCAAGAACATGGTAACTCTCTGATCCAGTTTTGGCAAGTCCACTTACAAAGCCGTAAGTGAGTGTGATGGCACTGGATGTACATTTTTTAAAAAACAACAACACGTAAACCACAATTATATATATAATTTTTTTAAATCCTGCACAGAGTTATAAAAAGGAATTTAAATTGCATGCAAGATTCCTTAATATTGTTGTTGTTATTGTTTTGGAAATGTGCAGGTGGTTAGTGTACATGGAGGACAAAGCTTTCAAGGGCTACCTAGTCGTGATGGCTTTATGCTACCTCCAGGAACAGAGGCACAATACCTCTGAATTCTAGTTGCTGGGAAACCGCAGCAGGAGGGAGAGTTTCTGCCCTCATGTCCTCCTTGTGGGTTTCCCCAAGAGGCATCTCTAGTTGGCTGCTGTGGGAAACAGGATGCTGAAACTAGATAAGCCTTTGGTCTAATCCAACAGAGTTCTTGTTATGTTCTAGCCTCCTGCAGCAATTTCAAAGAGGAATTTAATGTGATCATTGGTCAAGAAAGGCCAGAAAAGCATGACACTCAATAGGATGGCAGATTTTTTTTGGAGAGTCGGTAAATCTTCTGTGCACATCTTACAATCTGGTTTGCATGAACTCCACTTACAAACGACAAGCTGGCTACAGACAGGACATCCTTCTGCCCTCAAGCTCCCACTATTTACTACATATATGCATTTATTATCTTGTGGCAAAAGATCACCTGAGAGCTTTACAATTCCCCCTTTAAGAAACGGGGTGTGTGTGTCTGTGTGTGGTAACTCATTGCAACCCCAGTGTTAAAAAGTACATGAATGAAAGAATAAACATCTTAAGCCTCAATCGTGTTTTAGCTGCGAATACTGAAGAAATACAATACCTGATTTCCCATTCTGATTGGGGGCCGGGGACCTCCTGCGTATCTTGGTGACATAAAAGGCTGTAAGCATATAAAATTAGTTCAGTGGCAATGAACGCTCAAAAGTGGAAGTAAACATTATAACCACTTCCTTCACAACTGCTCTTTAAAATACCAAAATTGATTGTATTTCCCTTATTCTACACACGTACACACAAACTCCCCAAACCGAGCATTTGATTAGCACAACATTTCTGAGGTGAATTCCAGGCCAAATGAATGAAAGATTTAATATACTGCATTCCATTCAACTTGTAATTAAACTTGACACATATACACACAGAAGGATTTTTTTAATAAAACAAAAAACAAAACCCTGCTGATAAGAAATATTTAGACTCTTAAGTCTTTGACATTTGTTGTGCTTTACTGTATTTATTTGTTTAAGGTTAGGATGGTTTAATAATTTTTGACAAGAATTAAAATTAGCACAAATGAAAGTACCAAGCGAATATTAAGATACTTTTTAAACAGACTGGTAAATGAAAGTGCGGTTTGGGGAAGAGAAGAGTTTAAAACATTTCAATGACAAGTAGTGAAAACAAGCACTTAAACCGTACAATGATTGTCTTAATGCTGTTCGGGGTTGGGGGGGTGGAGGATTAGAAAAAATGATATTTGTATGTAAATTAGCATGTCTGAAAATCGAAAGCTACTTTGTAATCTGATGTCAATGGAACAAATGCAGCCAAGAGGAACAGACTTCCTAGCGGAGGTGAGATGAGGTGGAATGAAAACAATTTTGGGGTCCCGGGATCTTGAGTGGATGTAAATTCACAACGTTCCGCAAACTACCCTGGAGCTGCTCGCTGGTTAAGTTAGCGGAAGGGTGTGGCTCCCACATGCTTTGAGAGTTCACACAGAACACACATATCACAGCAGTGCCCTGCGATGTCTTTACCTGACTGTGGGGTCCCATCATGCTGTTGGGGTTGTGAGGTGGAGGCTGTGCGTGTGGCGAGGGCTGAGAGCCAGGCGGTCCCTGTGAGGTTAGATAGCAGAAGGTGGTTATAGGTCAGGCACATGAATGTGCAGGAAAAGAGCTGGCTTAACAGGAGAAGCTGGCGAATCTTCACAGGGAATGAATATTTTGTTTCTGAACATCGCAAACTTCCAAAAGAAAAAGAAATAGAAATTGGGGGGCGGGGGGGGGGGGGAGAATGCGGGCAAAGAACCAATAACTGTCAAAGCACATCAAATGAGCTGTTAATTTTGAGTGAGCGAAACAGCTTGTGCCCTCTGACATTTGTGATGGGATCGCTAGTGAGTCCAACGCTGGAATTGCTGCTCGGTGCTGGAATTTTACTGCTGTGCGGACAGACTAAAATAGGTGCAATGTGTGGCGGCACATAACCTGCGAGCAAACATTTTCATTGCCGAACCTTAATAAATGCAAACTGTGATCTCAATTAACACAAAAAAGTCTCCAAAATATCTGGAGTGGGGGTGGGAAAAAACCTGCCTCGTCTAGTCTCACACTGGAAATTGCACACATGGCACCGCAGAAACGCAACATGTCCGCCAACTGTGCCCTGGCATCTGCCCGCGTTCAGGCACGCTTTATTCAAATTATGTAATTCAGCAGATTTGGGTAAACAAAAAAACAAAACAAAACAAAATGCAAATCTGCGTTGGCTGTATGGATCATGATATGGGTCTGGGCAATACAACTTATGCAAGCTGAACAAAAAGCCCCCCCAGGTGTACTGCACTGTACGGTTTCAGTCTTCCACAAGCCTGCACTATTAAATGCATCTGGATAAGTGCTTGAAGAACACATACAAAACTAGCTCACCCACAATATATTCCTATTAGATTAGCAATAGTACTTTTCTGTGTTTTCATTTGCCACTTGGGTTAAGAATTTAGAACAAGAGAAAGTTAACAAGAAGGTTTATGATGATGATAATAATAAAAATAAAAATGCTTAATAACATGCTTAATAACTTTACCTAGACTTCCAACTCTAGGAAGTTTGTAGCAGCAGCAATAACTTATCATTTCTACACACAAGACTATAGTGTCACATTTTTGAGACCAGAACTGTGGTCCTTCACCAAGATTAACTATCTATTGAGGCAACAATTAATCTTGCATGCAGATATGATTTTCCTTGGGGGGGGGGTCTTATATGCGCCTGAGAAGAAAAAGATTCATTTGTATAGTTTCAACCCTGCAATGCAGGGCTGTAGGATTAAACATCATTTTAATTCCCTCCATTCCTGGAATCCCGGAAAACAAGAAGTTTATTTCAAAAAAAGTGTGTTCTTGAACATGAATAACCAAATTCGCACTATGATGTACACATGTTCCCTGTGTAATTTTTTCTCTCTCAAACAAACACAAAATTGTAATTGGTCTGGAAAGCAAACAAGACTTGTAAGTACATTATGAGAATCAGCTACACACTTCAGGAAAAGCAGAGGAACAGATGTTCTATACCTGCCATGTTAGTAATTTCAACAAGTGTTCGCCTTCTAGCTGCTGCCAGCAATGGCACGGTTTGTTACCATGAGCAATTTTCTTAATTAACAGACATTAATTAGCCATTTAGCAATTTTGCAAGCATTTGTTTAGCAGCTTTCCTAAACATGAATACCACTGTGATAATGGTACTGATTAGAGGATCCCCTAATTAACAGTACAGGGAAGGAAAATTGAAATCACATAAATTTAAAAGGGGAGGGGAAGTTAATGAAGGCAGGACATATTTGCACCTGCAAATCTTTTGTACCAGGGAAACTTGAGTGCAATGTAAATAAAAGAGGGGGAGAAATTGTTAAAGAGTTAACACGGAAAGATGCAAACAGAGCTCTAAACAGAAGCAGACACTCTGCTGATCCTCCAGGTTATGTTTACGGGATCGTAGAAACTGATTTTCCTTTGCATTAATAAGATCCATTGTACATAGGGTGCTAATATTTGCTCATTAACTCCTTTAACTGAGAATTAAGGGTTGCTTCTCACAGGTTATTTTTTTCTCTAGTACTGATATCTATAAACAAAATACATGAATATAGTGTTCGGTATGATGTTTCAAATGTAGCTTTCCCCCCATTTCAAATACTTAAAAGCACAGAATTAGACCCCCGCTATCAAGTACAGTGGTACCTTGGGTTAAGTACTTAATTTGTTCCGGAGGTCTGTACTAAACCTGAAACTGTTCTTAACCTGAAGCACCACTTTAGCTAATGGGGGCCTCCTGCTACTGCTGCGCCGCCGGAGCACGATTTCTGTTCTCATCCTGAAGCAAAGTTCTTAACTCGAGGTACTATTTCTGGGGTAGTGGAGTAACCTGAAGCGTATGTAACCCGAGGTACATATTTTGAAATGCATGGGAAGCGTTTGTACCTAACAAAAATCAACTTTTAAGACGCAATCACTGTGCAGCAAGGAGAATTTGTTCTCAGCACTAGCTTATCATGTGCTTTGACCCCTTCACAAAACCACATAAAGTCCTTGTGCCTCTTTTAGGTTCCAGAAAATCAAAAACAACTTTTTCAATTACACACAATTAAAGGAAGGAGTTGTCAGGAGCATACTGCAAGTAATACAATTATTTTAAAGTCAACTGAAAATGGTCTCTAGGATGGTAAACACATAAAGATTGCACAATTTAAATTGGAACAGAAAAAGTCGGCTGCTATGTGGATGCCTTTGAGATGCTTTGATCAGAGCACTCTGTAACCTCTGTCTGTAAATGTGCTACCTTCATGTAAACACTTTATCTTCTCTAGACCAAAGAAACTCCCACTTTAAATGAAACTTCTACTGAGTAATTCTCTGTGTGAGGTGAAGCCCAACCCAACCCAACGAAATGGCAATGGGTAGGCAACTGTTGCTGCTATCAATGGTAGCTTGCTTTCAGCCATTGAGACTGCCTAAGCCCTCTCTGATCGCCTCTAAGCAGTAGCTGCATATGAGTCCTAGAGCTTAACATTTCCACTCTGTCTGGAAGAACAATGTCAAGGTCTTCATGACTGCAGAATCCTAATGAAGCTTGGGTATGACTTTCATGGTAGAGGAGGATGGGAAGCATCTTTTAGACCAGGAAAAGTCAGCACTGGGCTTATACGCAACTGCAACGTAACAGAACGTAGCCTAGAACCTGGGTTGGATTCATTCAAATGCATAACAATTGCTCCTTGTCCCAGATATATTAACATGGACCTCTGAAATGCCTTGCTTCATGACTCCCACATTTCTATCAAACATGTCAATGGTAAGCTCAAAAAGAAACTCTTATTTTAGGTCTATTAACATCATATTTGAAGTAGCTTTGACCAAGAAGCCATGTAGCTAATATGATCTACCTAAGTCTCCATGGAACAAAGGAATTACCCCCATTTTATCAATCTAATTTATTTTATAGAATAGTTTATATGCAAGTTTATTTTATTCACATCTTTTTCATTTTATTCACAGCAACCTTTTTCAGCCATGGGCCGGTCCACCGTCCCTCAGACCATGTAGTGGGCCGGACTTTTTTTTGGGGGGGGGAGAATGGATTCCTATGCCCCACAAATAACCCAGAGATGCATTTTAAATAAAAGCACACATTCTACTCATGTAAAAACAAGCTGATTCCTGGACCATCCGTGGGCCGGATTGAGAAGGCGATTGGGCCGCATCCGGCCCATGGGCCTTAGGTTGCCTACCCCTGTCTTAATCCCACCTTTCTTACACTGAGCTCAGGGCAAAGTACATTCAGAGGAGAGGAGTCTGGTGCAAAGCTCACTGCAAAATGAATCTCTTTGGTTGAAGTCCAATACTATCCATTACCCCATGCTAGTTTCCCCTATAAGAAGTGTGAGAACATGGAATATTTTCTACTAAAGACATAACCTAAAAGATTATAGTCCTTTGCTTCACCCATGTCACCTAAAGAGATAACTTCTTTTTCTGACACACTGTAGTTTGCAAGCAGAAATAATCTGCTGTTAATTGAAAAGGGTAGTGAAAAGAAAACGACAAAACCATTATCTTTCCCAACTGTATCATTAGCCAAGTACTAAAGGAAATCCAGCAGTTCCAAATAAGAACCGTTTTTGGAAAGCTCAGAGCGACTACCCAACTATTCAACTACTTCACATACATTCATTAATGGCAACAATCAAGTAAATTGGTTTTTAAGATAAAATGTTCATAGGACTGGGGGGCAGGGAAACACCTCAAGGAAGTTAAGAATACTTAATGCTGTTCCCACTACTTCATTGCAACTACAGAACAGCAAGTAGTGACCTACAGGATTTACATTCTCATAGGTATTCACCAAACACAGGAATAAAAGTTCCATAGGAAATTTACGCCAATAATCCCTTTCAAAATCTTCACCTCTGATCTTACAGAGCCAGCACTTGCCATACTGCTATAATGTAGAAGCTTCTTAGCCTTCAGTTATCAACCTCTCCTTACTTGAACTTATGAGCAAATTATTTTGTGGTTCTCCTATATTGAAATAATTAAAGGCTAAAACATAAATCTAAAATAACCTTGCCTAAATCAGGAATCCTGCCTCTCCACATAATAAATGTTGAGAGATGAACCTCAGGATTTTAAGAAGCCAGTGCCAACCTTCATCAATTAAGTAGACATCACAGATTTACCATTGCTGAAGTGCCCACTAGTCTCCGTTAATGAACATGGCCAATACAAAATGAAGTATTTATTTCCTTATATTTATCCTGCCTTTCTTCCATCATGGAACGACATATTGATTCTATAGAGTAGTAACACAGATGTGTTATTTCTGCATTAATGCCTGCAGACATAATGAAAAACCTTTCTTGACCAGGAGTAAGTCACAGGATTATGCACTTTTTAAATCCTTGTTAAGAGGACAGCCCCAATCACCATGTAATATTGATACCAAAGTAATGCTTAAAACTATGATCAAGGTGGGTAGGACAAATTTGTTTTAGACAGGAGGGAGGGTAAGGCAAGGGACAAAGTGATTTCATGGCCTGTTCTCTATTTCTTTACCACAGTTTAAGAGAGCCATTTATAGCTGAACCACCCCTAGGTGTCCCATTACTTGATGTCTATGCTACTAATAAGCATCCACATTGAGAGGTTTCTTTTGCAATTGCAGAAGTATGTATGGGAACCAAACTCCATTTGTAGCAAAATGTCATTTAGAAAATGGATGAGAAGTTGCACTTTGCCAGTTTGGCCACTGTACATTTTTATGCACCGGTATTTCCAAATTAGCTAAAGAAAAGGACGATTATAACAGAAATCGCAAACATTTTGGGCTTGGAGGCACAATTGGAAATCTAATAAAACATCCATTTTACAGAAGACACTGGTGCTGCTCAGAACTCCCTCCACAAGCAACATGCAGAGAAACCCTATAACCTCCCCACAAAAAAACCCCAAGCCCCAGACCCTTCTTTAAAAGCTGCTAACTAACCAAACCAAACGCAATTTCTTTAAATTTTTGGGGTGTTTGGTGGCCTTGGAGGGGATTTGAGAATAACACCGTGTCCACAAGTGCAACCTGGGGACCCCAGAAGAATACCATGGATAAACAGAGCAAGCCTAATAAAAATTCTGCAAAAGAGGGAAAAACCCTGGCAAAACCACTGTCTTTCTTTATGTCAGTAAGCTACAGAACGGTTAAGGCAGACCCACATGTCTTAAAAAGAAAAAAGCAACCAGACACCACTGTAAGATCAGCTGGTTGAAAAATTGCAGGAGATCTGGAGCTTGGATAAGATGTGTGGTTTTTAAACACAATCAATTACTTGGAAATGGTACAAATAACCAATGGATGAAATCTGCAGAATACTTTTTTAAATATTCAAAATATTGAATCTCATAGCAGATTGTGAAGCATATTAGGGAGGATCCCATAACACTGGGAACAGGCAATGGAACGGTACTTGAACGTCAAAGTTGGCAAGTATTATGTGACTTTTTCTGGAGGGCAGTGGGGAGGAGGATAATCTCATTCATTAGAGACAAGGGAAAGGAGTCTAATGTAGATAGGGACTTTTCCCACACAGCCACTCACTATTTCACACTATTTGGCATTAGCCTCAAGGACAGTGGCAAGCCTCTGCCAATTATCACATGCATAGGAGTAGTGAATGGCAGAGCACCTTAACAGGTCGGTCAAGAAGTCCACGTTATGCCCAATTTCTTAAAATTGTCAAGTGAAAAGATCCAAAACAGAACCCAAGCTTCCTTCCTCAGTTAAGAACCCCCTTTGTGCACCAACTGCACAATATAAAACAACTGATCTTTATCTAAACTTAGAACTGTTTTTCCACAGGATGCAAGGATGACCACTAGCAAAAATGCTTTTTAAAGCGTTCCTCACAGAGGTCAGTTTTACTAGCCCTAGATAGACTGGGCTTCCTCATGAACAGGTTTTAGGGGCTGGGGACAAAAAAGCTCACCATCAAGCTCTGCCTGTGCATTTTCAAAGGCACCTGCCTAACCACAACTGCAAGGATGGGGAACCTGTGGCCCATTATGTTGTTGGACTACTGGCTCAGACTGGAACACAACTTGTAGAAGGCTACATATTCTCCATCTCTGCACTACTGAGAAGAGGATGCAGGATTAGATGGATTCTTGTGCTGCTTTTAAAAACATGGGTTGATTAACATAGGAACAACTAGCACACCCATATTCTTACCCTTAACAGAATCATAGAATTGCCGAGTTGGAAGGGAAGCTAAGGATCATCCAGTCCAACCCCCTGCAATGGAGGAATATGCAATTGTCCCATACAGGGACTGAACCTGCAATCTTGGCATCATCGGCAGCACACCACCCTCCCCGAAAAACCCCACAACCCCTTGAGTCAAAGCAAAAAGGAGATTTTGCCTTTCGTGGTGTATCTCCTTTCTGGAGCACCATCATTATACATAGCACTTTAGAGAGTTGCATAAGCAGGATGAGGAGGCAGCCCCTGTTCCCACAGACCTTACAATCTGAGAACAGTGGCATTCTGAAAGAGGTACATCGTATTTCTAAGAAGCCTGGGAACTGGAAACACAGAACGGAGCTCCCTCCTTCTCAGGACTGATACAACGAAAGCTTAGAACTGGAATTTGAAACTAGGGAACCAACAAAACAGAGCCAAACATAATAATAATAATAATATAACAACAACAACAACAACAATTTATTATTTGTACCCCACCCTCATGAAACTAAGACAGTATACAAAGAACATAAGATAAGAACATAAAAACAGGCAATCAATTAGTTAAAGAATAAGCGATATTTCTTAGAAACCCAAACCAGTTGGAAACCAGAAAGGGGGTGGGGTGGGATGTAATGTCCATCTGCTCTTATCCAGAAACAAGATTCATGCATAATATTATCATCTGGGTCAGGATAGAGGCACATCTCGGAAGTGGTATACAAAAGCTGGGGTCCAGGAAGCAACATTTTATAGATGACCATGGAACGGTCTCCCTTGGGAGGTGGTGGATCCTCTTCCTTGGGAGGTTTTTAAGCAGAGGTTGGATGATCACCTGTCATGTATGAACTTGCTGATATTCCTGCATTGCAGGGGCTTGGACTAGGTAACTCTCAGGGTCCCTTCCAACTCCACGATTCTATGACCCTGTTGACCCACAGGCCAAACAAAGGCTAAGCACACACTGTCATTTACTCTGTGCACTCCACTGGTGTCTGAAGCAGAGTTCACATGATGGTGGCCACAATTCTGTAGTTTGTTGAGAAAGACTGTTGTTTGATGCGTTTCCCCTCGAACCAGCTTCTATCCAATTTGAAAACGCAGGCTGAAGTTACACTGAAGTATGCACAGTTCAGGCAGCTGTTGCACATGTGTAGATGACAGGGGTTTGCAGTCGCAGGGAACAAAATCTTATAATGCCTACTGGATGAAGACATCTCCACCCCCTCACAAGTGTGTAGAGTAACAGCAAATGCGACTTGAAACACAGCAGGGGGGAAATGACCTTGCTGCATTTTAAGCCACTAATGTGTATGTTCCCTAATACATAAGAGGAAGTATTAAGGAGTACTTAATATATTAAGTATTAATGTATTAAGAAAGCCTTCAAAACTCTGACCTCAAAGGATCCCAACTTATAGGAAACAAAAAGAGTTCCAGACCTTGACGCCTTGGTTTTCTGCATATAAGCTTTCAAACATGTTCTCACATCTATCTTGGGCCATGCCCTCTCCTAACCACCTATGAATAATACAATCAGAGAATTGTAGAGTCGGAAAGGACTCTACCACCTTGGTGCTCCCCTGATGTTGTTGGACCATCATCCTTGGCTTTTGGCCATGCTGCTTGGGGCCAATGGGAGCTGTAGCTGAAAACCTCTGGAGGAAAAGGCTGGCACACAGCAATGCTGCTTGAGCAAAAGACGAAAACAACTTTTGAAACCTGGAGGGTTATAACTTTAGCTTCAAAGCTCTTAGAGCCAATTCCTTTCTTCAGTTATTAGTTTTTCCACAGAAGAGAAGGCAGCCACAAGGGTGTCAAATTTAGGTATACCTCCGTCGTCATCAGCAATGTATTTTTAGGAGAGAATACAGTGTGAGAAATTGCTAGTGGTTTTGGTCCCCATGTGGGAATTCCATTGCAGCTTCAGAATCTGCATTCTGTTGGGAAGATGGAAGCAAAATGGCAGTGAGGCTCCTCCATTCCTGCTGCCATGTGATGGTGAAGCAATGGCTAACCATGCAGTTCCCATGGCACCTATGGATGAGATGGACCTTCACATCATGTTTCTTCCAGGAGAGAGGAGTTGGACCTACACTGAGCAATTTCTGCAGTTCCAGGAGAAAGTGCCCCTCTCCCTAAGCCAACATCTCAGGCCCTGAAGCCACACTGAGACAACTACTTCCTGCTACTTGACGAAAAAGCCAAGGGAGAGTAGCTAAGAGACAGAGGAAGAACCAAGAAGCTAAAAACAAAACGAAGAAAATTAGCTAAGGTAAGATGTATGCCGATGCAGAGCTAAGTAGAAATTGCTGCCAAGAATTGCCTAGTAGCCCTAGGCAGGAAGAGGCTAAGAGCAGGGGGTCCCCTCCTCCAAGTAAGTCATTTTCTACTTCTTGCCTCCAAGATCCCAGGTAAGGGACACCTCATTTCCAGAATGTCCCTCTGCCCATATCCAGGAAGTTGCAAAGAGATTCAAGCATGCCCACACTCAAGTGTATCATCTCAAGCATGAAGACCCTTTCTTTAGACTCAGAAAATGTTCTCCTGTGCCTCCTGGAGAGACATTAGAGTGATTCCACTCAAATTACCAGTTTTAATTAAAAAGGGGTCGAAAATCAATTTCTGCTTTTAAACAAAACTGATTAGCAAGTAGGTTATTGCAATTCACAGCAGCAGAGCTTTCCCTAATTCTTTAAACGAAAGCGACTGGCGTTGGAAGGGCATTCATCTAAGCATCAAGACACCCACGGTCCTTTATATGATAACGCCCGCTTTAAACACACACTTTTCCCCACAGGAGATCAAAAAATAATGGTTTGGACAGGGAATCCCAGTGGTTAATTTAATCCACTTCCAAGATGTGTGTGTGTGTGTGTGTGTGTGTGTGTGTGTGTACTGGAAGACAGGGGTGTGCTGGAACAACAGCTGAGTGCATGCTGCAATTTAGGGGGGGGGGGGACGCGAGAAATTGTATGACACTCCCAGGAAATTCAAGACTTTGCAAAGCATTTTGTTGGCAAATGACACACAGCAGTAAATTGAATCCTCATGGCCACATTAGCTTGCAAGAGTAATGCTCATGACAGGTATCTCTGGATAATATATCTGCAGATCTACAGTGAAGGCAAGCATCTCTGCAAAAGTGCTGCATGCTCTTTCTTTCAACTTGTTATGCAGCAGTGGGAGGAGCTGGTGGCTTGGGGCTGGCCGAGAAACGGCAACAACAAGGATCTGAAAACATTTGCTACTTCCTGTCTGCTACCCTGGGGCCACTAAAACTGCCTTGCTTGGATATAAAAAACTGCGGTCTTACAACCCCCTCTCTTCTGGTGCCCCATCACCAAACGACCCCCCGCCTTCTACCTTTTACAGCCCAGCTCAAGATTCATTTTCTACCTTCTCTTAGGAAAAAACAAAGCAAAAAAAGCCAGACCTCTGGATATTGTTATCTCTGTAAATATTTGCAGATGTTGTAGGACCATGGAGAACTGCAATTCAGCAGAGAGTGAATGCTGGAGCGCTCTCTCTTTCCCCTCCCCCCTTACATACACTCAGTTATAAATCAAGGACTGAAATGAACTGCCTGCTAATGCTGGTTTTAAAGATACAGAATACAAAGAGCCAAGGGAAGCCAAACTGGAATCTTTGGGAAGGAGATGCATGCAGCCAAAGTATCCCAGGTCCTTTGCATATAATCAGATCATTGCACACCCTCCAAGTGTCCCTATTTTCCAGGGACATCCCTGATTTAGAGAAGCCACCCCAGTTTCTGATTTGATTCCAGTATATCCCACTTTTCCTTAGGATCTCCCTATTTTCATTGGAGAAATGTTGGAGGGTATGGAATTATCTGACCCCTGAGCCACCTGAAGGCAATCATGTATAGGGAAGTTTTTTTAAAAAAAATGTTTAATGTTTTATTATGTTTTTATACATGTTGGAAGCTGCCCAGAGCAGCTGGGGCAACCCAGTAAGATGTGTGGGGTAGAACTAGTAAAATTAATGGAATGGAACGTCCCTATTTTCATCAGAGAAATGTTGGAGGCACAGCAAACTATGAATTAGTTTCATGTTTGTTCTGCACAAGGTGTATGTGATCCTTCACAAATGCACTTTGCTTGAAGAGATATTATATATTCCAAGCGTTTCAGCCACAATATTAGGTACCTGGCAAAATGCAATTCTTCAAGCACAGTTTCTTGCAGTTGTGATTTCTGTGGGGAATATAGTTGCACAATTGCTACAAACACTTTCTAGCCATTCTTCATGACAGATACAACATGCACATACACATTTCTGGCCCGCTCCCCCCCCCACTATGTTTTATTTGGTGCACTTAATTTGTCCTGACATAAAATGCACACTTAAGACACTGGAGTATTCATTCATTCATTCATTCACTCAGTGCATTTACTTCCCACCCTAAGGACTTCAAGGTAGCATACATGGTTCTCCACCTTCCCATTTAATTCTCACAACAACTCTGTGAGGTAGGTTAGGCTGAGAGGCCATCCCTGGTTGGGGGTCACCCAGTGAGATTCATGAGTGAGGATTTGAGCCATGGTCTCTCAGGTCCTGGTCCTAACCACTAAAGGAATGGTGAGAGAAGAACAAGCAACTGTGCACTATCATGCAATGAGCTACTTTGGACAGTTTTATCATGGCGCAATCAATTAACGAAGAAGCTCCCCCTGCCTCACATGCAGCCAAATAGGCCCTTCCTTTATGTGAGATCTGATTAAACCAGGAAGTCTGTAATTAACCAGAGTTTCCCATTCCATTCAAACTTGGAAACTATGGTTACAAGCTTTAATACAAGACAGGATGTTAAACCATGATTTAAAGCGGTCTTAATATCCTGGCTTGCTCCCAAGCTAGTAAGCATAGTTTCTCAGTTGGTACAAAAAGAAGAAACTATGTTCAACTGAAGTCTTCCTGGTTTGTCTGGTCGTGTTGTGATGGGAGGAGTAAAGGGGTTTCATAGGAAAGGAAATAGCCTGTTCACACTGGGAGTAATAGTAATACTCCCCCCCCCCGTATTCCCAATTTTCCACAGGGATGGGGAGAGGGGTTGTATTCCACAAAGCCGCTGTGTGAGTAGAGCTTTGTCCCGCCACCTCCCCCATCACCCTCCAATCTGCTCTGTGGTTTCCCCAACTCTCCAGAGCAGATTGGGGGGAGATGAGGGGGGCACACCGGTTGTGGGGGAGAATGAGAAGTTTTGTTCTATTCGCAGAAATTGTTCTTGTCACGCATTGACTTCATTGGCGCTAACCCAAAGAAATTATCTCCACAGTTCAGCAGCAATCCTAAGCTCATAAGAAGATAGGCTGCTGGGCTCACAAGGTGTAATAAGTGATCGTAAACTTTCAGTAATGTAGGAGGTGGCCTTGGACTGAGTCACTCTCATTAACTAGCTCAGAACTTACTGTACTACATGGGATGGGACCAAACAGAAATTTTAAAATATGCATTTCTATAGAACTTTTTACTTTCTCAAAAATGATGGTGTATTTATATGCAATGTGGTTGTTTAAATACTGGGTTTTGGCTTTCATGAAGCTGAGAGAATGAACAAATCTTAACAGAGCACTTCGAGATAATTTCAATACATGTTTTGCTTCCTTGTAAAAACCACCATTCACTAAACTTTGAAAAAAGCAGAGGGGTATTAAAAAAAGAAAGAAAAGAAACTTAACTTTCCCCCCACCAAGCCACTGTTATGCATTAGTGGAGTTATAAATCCTGCCAGTCCCAGATGATTAGATGCGGAGAGCACAAGATACCAAACTGTTCAATACTGATTTTAAATGGTTAGCAAGCACTTTCTGTTCTGCTTTTACTTGGGGTTAGAACACTGAAATGTAGACCTCAGATATTTTTTTAAAAGTTACTTTACAAATACACAAAGACAGCTCAGTTATGTAGCCTCTCTTGTAATTATTGAAAGTTTTAGTTTTTTTAAAAAATCCCATGTTCTTAAAAGCAACACTCCAAAAAGCAACAGCTTGGCCACTTGGAAACTTCAGAAACTTAGGGTTCCTATATATCCACCCCCATGACCCAGGCACTTCCATGGAGGTTCTGCCATCCGGCAGATAAAAGAGATGTCATCTAGGAGCAGAGACTTCTGGGTAAGGCTTCCAGCATTTAGGCAGGCCCTGCCTAGGGAATCTTTCTCTTCTTGGTCACCTTTCAGAAGGCAGATGAAGACGACTCTTCTTATAGTAAGTATTATTAGTTGTGAAGTGCCTAAAAATGGGGTGCTGCACAAAACCCATAAAGCAACAGTCCTACTCAATGGGTTCATAATCTAAATTAGACAACAACAGAACAAGGAAACACAGGGAAGGAAGCCAAACACAATTAAATGCAGGGTGCAACTCAACAGGGAGATCTGTGATCAAGATAAACAAGGATGTCCTTGTTTGTTTGTTTGTTTGCTTGTTTGTTTGTTTAAAAAGGACCTAGCAATTGTGGGACCCTCCAGATTTGATTAGGACTGTGTTGAGAGGGTGGGAGTGTTAACTGTGCTTCCTCATGATATTCCCCCAATGAAGCCACCATGCTTCCCTGAAGCCTTCCCCCCAAAGAGATGGACCATGTAGGTACCACAAAGTCCCCTGTAGAGCAAGTAACAGCTTCAGGGAGTGCAATTTGAATCTGGAAAATGATACAGGAGGAGCAGAGTTTAAACTCAATGCTGCGTACACAACCTGTCCCCTTCCCCACCCAACCCCATGTCTAATATTAACATGTTTTTAAAAGGCCTAAAATCATAATCATTAATCTATCGTTTTAAGTATAGTTGCAACCATAGGCTACCTAAAATAAATGAAGCTCTTTTAAAGAAGGAGGAAGAGGTCCAATTAAATGAATATCAGCTAGGTAAAGAGTTCCATTGATAAGAAGCAATAAAAGTACAGAGCATAAAGATACGAAACTTAGAAACAGATACAGGGTTTAACAAGCAACAACAAAAACGGAAGAATGCAAAGACTAAAGCGGAGTATATAGAGATATCAAAGATAAGCAGGAGATAGAACGAATTCATATGAAGCAACAGATTCTTGTGAACAGGAACTCCGTGTGAAGAAGAGAGAAAAGCAAAGAATCATGATCATATTTACATGCATAAAAATAAAAGGGGTGACAGAGTGCAAACAAGAAGTTTAATATATCTATGTATATTTGTAGCATAAAGGTAAAGGGACCCCTGACCATTAGGTCCAGTCGTGGCCGACTCTGGGGCTGCGGTTCTCATCTCGTTTTACTGGCCGAGGGAGCCGGCATACAGATTCCGGGTCATGTGACCAGCATGACTAAGCCGCTTCTGGCAAACCAGAGCAGCGCACGGAAACACCATTTACCTTCCTACCAGAGCAGTACCTATTTATCTACTTGCACTTTGACGTGCTTTTGAACTGCTAGGTTGGTAGGAGCAGGGACTGAGCAACGGGAGCTCACCCCGTCGTGGGGATTCAAACCGCCGACCTTCCAATCGGCAAGTCCTAGGCTCTGTGGTTTAACCCACAGTGCCACCCGTGTCCCTTTGTCTAACCCTCTGTATATTTATTCAGAAGTCAATGCCACTGTATTCAATGCAAGCTGTATAGTACCACAGCCAAAAAGAGTAAAATGATAGCTAATCCAACCAGGACCAAATTAGAGAACCCACCAAGGTACAAGTAGAATCAACGAAAGGATGGACCAGGATACCTTAAAGACTGCCTGAGACAGACGGAGGCCAAACAACCATGCCTGAGCCCTTCAGTGGCAGCATTGCCGGAGGAATCCTGTTATCTGTCTCCTGTGTGAACAAGGCCCACTTGGCATCTAGAGGAAAAGGGGCACTGAGTGTGGCTGGGCCAGCAATGTGGACTGTGCTGCTGGTGGAAATCCATGCTTGTTATTCTGAGTTACATTTCGAAGGCCTTTTCAGTTGGATGAATGTTTGTTATGTGACTGGCCAGTTCTTTATGAAAGTTTCTGCTCTCCTTTATTTCTTATTATATTTGCTGTACACTGCTGAGATGTTTTCTATATGAGTTCGTGAAACACAAATATTTTTAATGATAAATAAGCAAACAAGGAAAAGGGGAATGAAAGGAAAAAATTAAATGGCAAGTTCTGCAGCTTGTGGCAAAACAAGAGGTGCTAACACCAAGCAAAGGAACAAGAGAAGAGTCTGACTTCAAACAATGAGCAGACGGCTATGAGGAAGCAGCAAAAGATTAATAAGAAATGACAACAGATCAGAGATAGAAAAGAATGAGTGGAATGTGCAGCAAAATGTTGCAGTGTTTTAGCCAGCCAGCCAGCCAGCCATACCCTTTCCCAGGGCACTCCATTCCACTACTACCACCACCAGTCAGCATTCTGTGGCCACTGGGCAGACAGAGTCCTCAATGGGCCATTCTGGGGCTTCCCTTCCTTTATATTGTGAACCACCCCTGAGATTTTCAGATGAAGGGTAGTATATAAATTTAATAAATAATAAAATAATTAGTAGGCTTTTTTAAAAATAAAAAAACCTATTTCTGTTTCCCTGAGCTTGCTGATACTACTGTCTTGTGCAACAGGTGACACCTCTTCGACTCTCTTATTATTATTATTTGGGATACTGTCACGACAGACCTGATAATTAAGGCAAAAAGACTAAATATTTCCCCTCTGCTCTGTTCTGGGGTTCTCCTGACCCCTGCCTGAGCCAATTTAGGGGGCATGAAGGAGGAAGGAGAAGGAGAAAGCCCGGTTGTGCAAGCAGAAGTCTGTACACAGGGCTTCTACTGATGGGACTGGTTTCAGGCATCCCCAAACTCGGCCCTCCAGATGTTTTGGGACTACAATTCCTAGGTGAATCCCAGCCTCCCGGCCTAAAAAACCAGAAATTTGAGGTATCCTCATATATTGGTTGGTGAGGTGGGAGGTGAAGAAAAAGAACTATTAACTCAGAGATGGAGAACCTATATTATTATAACTCCCATCATTCATGGTTGTTGCCTAGGCTGGCATTAGAGTTGGAGTTCAACATGCGGAGAGCCACAGGTTCTAGTGGAATTAGTACACAAAGATGAAAACAAGAGAAGATAATGACTGCAAAAACAAGGATACCGTTCAATGAAGAAATAATCAATAGCAACGGAGGAGGAAGATCAAGAAGAATAACAGATGAAGGAAAATTAGTTTAATTAGTTAAAGAAAGTAAAATAATTTGTTGACTGGTAAAATTACACAAAATAAAATTGTAACACAGCAAAACAACACTACAATCAGGCAATTTAGAAGAAAGTGGATTATATTTAGGCCAACAAGGAAGAATCAAGAGTAGATTGTTGCACTTTTTTGTTAACTGGAGAAACCAAAAGCAGGCCTTTCCCTCCTGATTAGGTTGTTCTTGAACTAGAAATGGTTTTATTACTCTCTGCTGCTTATTTTCATTAAGTTTTTACTGTTGCAGTGTTTTTATGAATTTTATGTGCTTTTAATTCATGTTTTATTTCTTTTGAAAGCCACTATAGGAGCTGTGCTGAGAAGCAAGCGGGTGAGGAGGTAATCCTAAAATTTAAAATAAAATAAGAGGAATATCCCAGCACCACCTGAAGTTTTGAATACAATCCGGAGTATATATTGCTTTAAGCCAAGCTTTATGTTCACCTCGCTATGAAAATAGCTTTGACTTCATTATTTCCTTTGTTGCATATTATTTTCAAATAATTTATCAAGCTTAGCAAGTTGAGATACTTGTATTGCAGGGGGCTGGACTAGATGACCCTCTGGGTCAACTTCCAACTCTACAATTCTATTGTATGATTCTATCATTTCACAACAGTGTGAAATCCAGCCACACTACCATAATAATTGTGCGGAAAGCAGGAGCCACAGAGATTTGTGAATTTGTGACAGAATCCACTGGGTAACACTGATCACAATGGCGTCCAACTGTACAACCCAATGATATTCTTAGGTCAACAATGTGTTATTGGAGGTTATCTCCAAATAAAAGGGAAAGCGGTTTGCACTCTGAACACAAGTGACCAATTCGCCATATTTTAAATACAGTGGTACCTCGCAAGACGAATGCCTCGCAAGACAAAAAACTCGCTAGACGAATGGGTTTTTTGTTTTTTGAGCTGCTTCGCAAGACGATTTTCCCTATGGGCTTGCTTCGCAAGACGGAAACGTCTTGCAAGTTTGTTTCCTTTTTCTTAACACCGTTAATACAGTTGCGACTTGACTTCGAGGAGCAACTCATAGAACGCAGTGTGGTAGCCTTTTTTGAGGTTTTTAAAGACTTTGGTGATTTTTGAAGCTTTTCCAAAACTTTCCCGACACCGTGCTTCGCAAGACGAAAAAAATCGCAAGACGACAAAACTCGCGGAACGAATTAATTTCGTCTTGCGAGGCACCACTGTAGCTCCACATTTCATATTCTTTTGATTTCAAATGTTTGGTGCTCATGGCAAAATGGCTGCATCTTTCTGAAAAATAACTGAATTCCAGCCCTACCATATGTACCTTCTTCTCAGCTGCTCTGGTGTGTGTGACCATAGTGTAGCCAAATAGCTAAACAGGGAAACAATAGCATTTTATTTTCTTCAAGGAATAATACTGATAGGAAATGGTTAATCTAATGAGGATCTGGCAATGCATATGTCTAATAACATTAGTGCTAAGACACTCAGTAGTGGCATAGCCACCAAAGGGAGGAGTTTGGATTACATTTATTTTTTAACACACCCCCACACCCAAGTGTTATTTGGTCATATATCATTTAGCTACTAATATTTTTTCTAGATTTTTTTTCTTTCAGCCTGGATGGTTTTAGTAACCTTAATTAGAGGGGATATAAAGAAAAACACATGAGCATCCCTTTAACAAATACCATAGATCTGTGTATTATTTGTTATTGTCACTTAACTAAATTAAAGTTTTCCCCCTATTATGCAGCTCAACACAAAGCTATTAAAAATAGTTGCCATTATCGGGAAAGCGAATACACAGGTCACAATCACACATGTGGCTAAATTTATATATTTCAGGTGCAATTTTGCCACAATAGATCATGTTTTATGGGGAAATGGTGGGCTTTCCATAATTTTTCAAGCACAGCCGAAGAAGATTGTGAGAACACCAACATGCAGCAATCCTCACCCCGTTGCATGGGCCCAATGAGGAATTAACAACATAAACTTTGCAAGAGGAATATGCTCCATTATTATTTTTTTGTTGTGTGCTACACATTCCAGAAGGAGAAAATGCATTCAAATTTTAATCTGATGTAATTTTCAGATGCTAATGGAAAATTATACTACTAATACTTTATTGGAGAAATTCTAGAATCCTTCATAAAAGCATACAGGGTTGCATTCAAGAGACTTCTGTACTTTAGTAGGAAACACAACTAAGATTAAAGAGGTATTTTCTACACCAGAAGATAGCATCATCTCCCCCCTACTTAAGAACTCCACAGTTAATCATGACAACATTAGCAGTAGGTGAGATGAATATTAAAAAGCACCAGGCCCTTGCATTGCTTTCCCAAGGATTAATGTTTTGCTCTCAAACCACATACACGACACCAGGAATGCAAACACATTTTAGAGTCCTAAAATGACAGGCAACTAAGAAGGAAAATATAGAAGTCTGTGGTTTGTCGTGCCTCTGCCTCCAGGTTTAGATCTTAAAGAGGAACCAGCAGCAAACAGAAGGCATTAATGGAATTCAGCTGATCATACCTTAATTACCACTCAGCTAATAATAGATACCCATAAGAATAAGGGAAATCCCAACATGTTGATCAAAGCTACAAGGTTGTCCATGCTGGGAGAGGGATTCTATGAAATAAGGTTGCTCTGCTGCTAAAAGCATAAATTTTGCTTACTTGAATCAATTACAACCTTATTCTTAAGAACTCAAGATATTCTACCTGCATGGTGTTTCCTTCAGCTCAGGCCAACACAGTGATACCAAAATGATGGGACAGGACTATCTGTTGGCTGAGTGTGGGGTGTCCACAGTAGATATTCGGAATGACACCAGACTTAGTGCCATGGAACTAGACCAGCCTTCTCAACCCGGTGCCCTCAAGATTTTTTCACTACAACTCCTATCATCTCTAACCATTTGCCATGCTGACTGCAACTGATGGTAGTCCAAAATCCCTGACGGGCACGAGTTTGGGGAAGTCTGCTCTAGATCAAGAAGAAAAGCTCTTAACAAAATCAACATTCCATTTTAAAAGTTTGGGAAACCAATTGATGAGTTGCATCTAAATCTTCAACAGGCAAGCCAACAAATGACAGGACTGAATCATTACAATTTCTTGTTGGGACCTCATGACTTTGTTCTCCTTCTCGGAGCAAAGTTGTTTTTCCACCTCAGGCTGTCTAGTGAAGATTCCTAATTTTGGAGGAAAGAAGGTGATACAAAGTAATGGCGTCGGGAGTTATTTTGCCTCCATCTGCTCACTTTAAGAATCTAGGAGATAATGAGAAGCTTTGCAAGTCTCAGGCACCTTGTCACAAACATCTTTCAAGGTGGCAGACAAACTTTTATTTAATAAAGCTAACTTTCAAAATAACAGTCACATGACAGGATAGGAAATCAGGAGTCTTGCTACAGCACGCTGTCCTAGAAGATGAATGAACACAAAGCATAACCACCAACCTTTTCATTCATAGTATTTATTGCCCTTCCATACAGGCTGCTGAGGACGTGGGTGGTGCTGTGGTTTAACACTGAGCCTCTTGGGCTTGCTGATCAGAAGGTCGGCGGTTCGAATCCCCACGATGGGGTGAGCTCCCGTTGTTTGGTCCCAGCTCCTGCCAACCTAGCAGTTCGAAAGCACGTCAAAGTGCAAGTAGATAAATAGGAACCACTCCAGCGGGAAGGTAAACAGCATTTTGGTGTGCTGCTTTGGTTTCGGTGTTCTGTTGCGCCAGAAGCGGCTTAGTCATGCTAGTCACATGACCCGGAAAAACTGTCTGCGGACAAACGCCGGCTCCCTCGGCCTGTAAAGAGAGATGAGCGCCACAACCCCAGAGTCGTCTGTGACTGGACTTAACTGTCAGGGGTCCTTTACCTTTACCTTTTTTTACAGGCTGCTGTAAAGATGATTAAGCTAAGGAAATGAAATGAGCAGTAATTTGAAATGCACAGTATTCCTAAGTGTTATTATAGAAAAAGGCACAGAAAGGGCACTTTGAAAAAACCCAAGAACAGATAGATTGAGAAGGGTACTTCAAAGGTAGCAAGAAGCTGGGTTAGAACAGGTGCTTGAATGAAACTATTTTACTAGCAGATCACCTGCTGAAAGTGGTATGTGTGAGTCCCAAGCAGATCCATTCTGCTGAATTTATTAAGCACAACTGGGACTTGACTTTAGAAGCTATTCAGCTCACCCACAACCAACAGAAGCAAGTGCATTGTCAAGAGGACACCGGAAAGATTTATAATTTCACATTTGCCTATAAATAGGAATTAGGTTGAAGGGGGAAAATACTTCTGCAGCTGATTAAAGATGGGAAAACATTTTAATCTACGTATATTGTTTATTTTTTTTTAGAAGCCATTTGAAAGTCAATACACATGTTTAAAGGAGTCTTGCAATAATAAACATCTAAAGTTATGGAGTGTGAGTATGTGTATGTGTATGTGTATGTGTATGTGTATGTGTATGTATGAGTGTCTGTCTGTCTATCTATCTATCTCAACTGTATTGATTTTACTTAAATAATACAAGTTTATACAATATCCTGATATGTTATTGTAAGGGCCCAGCATTCAAACAAAGAAAGCTGTTTTACACTGTCAGGCCATTGGTGCATTTGGTCACTACTGCCTACTACACTGAGTGGCAGCAGTGCGCCTGAATTTCAGGTGGTCAACATTCCCGGCCGTACCTGAAGATGCTGAGGTTTCAACCTGGGACTTTCTGCATGTGAAGCATGTGCCATTGATAATAAGCATTATTTTTTTTAAAAAGGGGCAGATTGAGAAAAAACATGGTAACTACTATTACTGATCCACTAATGTACTGCAGTACCTTACGAGTAAACAATATCATGATGTCTACTGATTCCCGTTAGCTGACTGGTTTTATTCAGGTACTGCTAAACATACAGCTTATTTTGTTTAGAGACTAAGAAATGGTTTAATGACTCCAATGTAGTGTTGACATCCATAGCCTCCTCACAAAACACTCATTAGAAGTGTTCTGAAACCTCAGAAAGCAGTGCTTCCAAAGCCAATAATCAAAAAGGCTCATCTTTCAAGCCACACTGCCTTCACAGAGCAACCTGCTTTCAAGCCAGAGGGGTGGTTTTCCTAACTCCCAATGCTGTGCAGATGTCTCCAATTGGGCTCTAATTCAACATTTGTTGTCGGCAGCAATCCAAGTAAGCCAGGGCCAATTAAAAAACTGCATCTGTATGGCGACACTTCATGCAGGCAGCCACAACCTTCTGAGGTTCGCTCCCAAGTGCATGGAGAATCTCCATAGTGAAGGCAAGTGAAGGCAATGGCAATACCCCTCATAATACCAAATGGCTGTCCCTGCTCCCCACCATTTTCAGTATTCTAAGCAGCCATGCATAAGTGAACCAAAGTGTTACAACAGTCCTGTCCCCCCCCCCCTTTTGTGACCCTGCTACATTCTGGGATACCACCTGGGAATTTATTTGCAAGGTTGCGGAACACCCTTTGTGGCAACTCCCAAGGAGAGATTTGAAAAACTGGAGCGAATGTGTGACATCTTGGTAAATAAAAATGATTATGTCCCCCCCACCACTTGGTCTGAAAGACCCCAAAGCCTAGAATGGAAGGCTTTTGTGCTCCATTGTAAGTTTGGGGAAACAGCCATCCCTCCTTCCTGTCAGAATTGTTAAGCAGGGAATTATCTACAGCCACTGTGGTAAGAAAGGAAATCCTGCCAAATGAAGATGGTGAAGATGTGTCTGTCAACAGCACTTCCAAAAGTGTTTACATAGGAGAGGCTGGATGCGTATAGCTCAACAATATTTTCAATTTCAGCTGCGTTTTCTTGTTTCTCCCCTGTTAAGATACTGCAACAAATTTTCAAGTGTTAAATAGCAAGGACTGGCATTTCATTCTATGGTGAGGTGAGTCCATCAGACCCCAAAAGGCTAAAGTAGCAGAAACAAAATTGAAATAATCATACAGTGTTTACAGCCCCCAAACAAAATTATTCTCTGCACATCAGTTCCTTAAACTAGATCAAGCCAGTCACCATTAGAAAACAACCTATGTGAAACTTGATTTCTAAAGACGTGCCGCTTGAAAATTACAAGCAAGAACACACACTTAGAATTAATGTCCAAGCTGAATATCATTTCCATAGAAGAAATCATGTGAATTTCATTCAGGTATGATACACACTTGTTCCATTTCAGTGTGTATACATGCGGCAGGAAGCACCAATTTCTGGCATGTTCCCAGGGTGACTAACAACTGTGCACACATCATGTGTAACTGCATGTACCTCCCTGAATGTCATTTCCGGCAGGGGCGTGATCTGTATCCATGTAGGGGATCAGGCTTATGCAATTCAGCTCTTAATCTTACCTTTCCCCCCACATTAATTTCGTTTCTGCTTTACCAACAGGATTATAAACTAGTAAACAAATGTAGCTAGTTAGCATGGGAAAATGCAGGGAGTCAAAGCTCAATAAAATGCAAAAGTGCTGAGGAACACCATCATCGGCTGGCTCCCAAGGTCTCAATGCATTAGGGGGCAGTGTAGGAACACAAACTTGATAGTGCTTTGTTATGGTGCATCCCTCACTAACTGCTGATGCATAGCTAAAACAGCAACAGACATTGATTTATGTTCAACTTTCCATTTCATCAGAGAGATTTTTCAAAATGCTACACACAGAGTTCAAAAATCAGCAGGAAAATACACGGCCACCAAGTGTACAGCAATAGCCGTACACAAAGAGCCTGAAAGAACACATAAGGTAACTGAGCATTGCTAGAAAACTCAAAGCACATATAGAATCTCATTTTCCAGTCCTCGCCACTCTCTCCAGAGCAGGGTTAGGCAACTAGATAAGAGTCTGGACCCTTCAGTGCATCTTACACCATAATGTAAAAGACAACACATGCCCATCTTTAACTGCTGCAAAGCCTGCCTTATCTCTGGAGGAGGTGCTGGCTGGTTTATAAGGAAGGCCCAGTATCAGCAGCTGGCACTGTGGGGCATTTGCTAGGGTCCATGGGCTGGCAAGCAGTCCATGGCTGATGGCTGACAAAACCCTGAAGTGGCCGCTATTGCAGGGAGGAAGCGGAGCAGTTGGCCATCTAGCAGCCCGCCCTGCTCTTCTGGGGAAATGGGGGGGGGGCCAAGAAAGTGGCCAGTACTTGGAGGCTGTTACACTCCCTTCTCCTTCACTACCAGCCCGTTCACCTGCCTTTTCTAGCTGGGGTCAAAGAGAAAGAAGAGAAATAGCCTCCACTATCAACACACAGGCTAACAGGGCTGGGGAGGCTCCACCATATACTGAAACCCTCCGTTTGTGAATTTGGAAAACTAAACTAAAGGTGATAAAAAGTTGAATTGTTTGTTATATTTCTGTCTCTTGGGCATTTTGATTTGCAAATGTTTTGAAGCCAAAGGGTGCAGCTTCTGACTTCTTTTATTTAAAAAATGGGTTTTCTTTGTGATTCCCCCCCGAAACTGCAAAGGGAAACATAGATAGTTATAGCTGTATTCTCCGTCACTGGTCTGCAGACCCGCTTGACCTCAGGCCAGACACAAGAGCAGGCATTGTCAGCTGAGCAGTTGCTCTTTTGTCCTGCCTTAGTTACAAATACAGAAGTTCAAGCAATATCCTTCGTAACCTGGAAAGGACCACATTGGCGCGGTGTGCATGTCATGTTAAACCAAGGTTTGCTCTTGGCTTATCACTTCCTGTATGTTTGTTTGGAGAGAAACAATTCACAAGCCTGGGTTCACAATGAGTCACATTTTGGGGCAGCACAGCAGCGGAGGAGGAGGAGGAGGAGGAATTAAGCACCCATGATCTCAGGAGCATGTACCAGCACACTGCTCATTTACATTAAACTATAGTTTACTTTAACTAAAGTTTAATACAGGATTCCCAATGTGGTGCCCATGGGCTTCTGTGTGTCTGCAGAGGACTTCCATGGTGCTGAAATCATGTCATCATCTCTGCGCAGATGAAAGCAGGCTCAAAAGTGTGTCTGGTTGAACCCTGAATTTAGTTTTATACCTTCTAAATCTTATTGCTGATTTTTTTATTTGTACTATGTGTCTCTGCCCCAGCACATTCAGACAGAGGGGCAGATTATAAATACCTTTAGTGAATTTATATATATCCCAAATCAAAATGGCCAATACTGTGCCATCTAATTGATTTACTGCTTAAAGGTTCAGCACAGTGTCAGCTTGTTGAACTGTTAAGTTTGGAATACTTGCCCCAAAACAAACAAAAATCCTCTGAAAAACATTGATAAAAGAGGATTCTTTCTATCAAACAGACTGAAATAAAAATCTACGCATGTTGTACCCAAGGCATACAAAACTTGAATTGCTGGCAGATGTTCCCATCTCACATCTTCTTTCACTTATTTCCACCAATATAAAAAACTCGCTTAAGCCTCTTTTAGTATCTCAGAACCAAGAGATTCTCTTTTTCCAAGTACGCACATGTCCTACAAATATATTATTCATTTTTTAAAAAAATTAATACAGCAGGCTAACAAGCCCCATCCACAGAATTAGTAGTTTTAGCATCGTAATCCAGACCATATAACTTTGATAAAAGTATTCATCGCTCAATACTTTTTTTCTTGCACACAGTCACTAACTCAAATAAGGTAAAACATCCTTCCAGACTACAACCAATATTCATAACTTTTTAGAAAATATTCTTGCTGATATGTAGCTCTGAAATACTAAAATGAACATCACTACCAATGACACTGGTAATCAATTAAACCTATGGCTTAATATTCACATGTCCCTTTTTAATTGACCATTGCCACTCATTAGGAAGAGGTATCCTAGTGTTCATGAATTTAAGAAGGTGCTATCCTTCATGGTTACAGAGATTAAAATGAATACATACTAGTCACAATATGCCAGGTTACAAGAAATAAAACGGCAACAAACTAAACTTGCTACTTATTAGATCTTATGAATTCTATTGCTTTAAAAATATTTTTAATGAGTTGCCAGAAGTTTATAAATATTGGGGATTAGCAGTTGCAAACTTAGATAATGTAAGTGCTGGAAATCCTGTGCCTATGTGTAACAACAAAACAACAGAAAACCACCACCACCATCAATGTGTGGCTTATATTAACTGCATCCTGCAGCTCCCAATATATCCGACATGGCCCTTGAAAGAAGCACAATTAGCCCAGCCATAACATAACACAGAGAGGAGGCATTTTGAAGAATTAAAACCTGTTAAAAATCCTGATTGCTTGAAAATCACTGTTAAACCCCGTTCTCTTGTTTCAACCATAAATGTCCTTCACCTTAGGTGTTGCTCACAAAACTATTACTTGGAAATCACATAAGGCTAAAGGGAAACTTTGCTAAAAGAAGGGAAATTTCAAGGGGAAATGAACTCAACTCCAATAGGCAGATATTGAGATACTGAGTTTCTCTCTCATTGCCATGACAGGCTGGATGGGTTTCTGCCTGTGGCGAGAGCTTAAGCTGGTTTTGTTAAAAGATTTCAGTGATGGCAGTTGGAAAAAATCAAGTGGTTAACCAGAAGGAAAAGAAGAAGAATCCAAATCCTGAATGTTCTGAATTACACACAAGCCTGTCATGACCATGACCAACAAATAAATAATTTTTTAAAAAGCAGATTTGGAAAATACTGAATTGTAAAAAAACAAAACACAAAATGAATCTTGCTTTCCAGACCAGAAAAAGCTAACACATACACACTGCAAAAACAAAGGTTAAGGGAAACCAAGCAGAATATTACAGCTAATTGGGTACTTCTGGCAGTTTTGTTTAAAAAGTGTCTCTGAGACTATGATGCATCTGTAAACTACTTAAGAATCCATTCATGCTCATGCATGCAGCAAACAGCAACAAAAGTCAGGAGAGCCAATTCTTACCTGAAAGAAACCTGGAGGAATGGGTCCCCCTGGCATTCCATCATTTGGAGGAATGTTTCCAAGTACTGGACTTGGTGCTGCGGCTGCACTCTGTACAAAACAAAAAAAATATACGTATAGATAAACAGCACTGATTTCAGGTCAGCTGAAAAGGAAGTCAACACACATCTCACGGCTCCATCAATTAGCACATAACCAATAACCAATACCATCATCATCAAGCCTACCCAAAGGAAATCAAACACTTCGCATTGTAAGAATGTGCCATTAAGACTAATAGAATGCCAATGGCTGCCGTTCAGATTAATGTGCAACTGGGAGTCTGGTTCCCAGTAACTGCAGCAGGTTTCAAAGCTAAGCCACCATACTGAAATTCCCAAAGCATACCCACAGTCAATGGAGGTGGCAAACTCCTATGTTTTGAGCGGAGGGTGTGCACAAGCACAATCTGATACCTCTGTTACAACATCTGGGGTCTTCTTCAGTGTAAAACATGGTTATTCATCCAATAAATAATGAGTTATCAGCCACCCCACTCGTTCTTGTTATAATTAAAAAACTTCATAAATATAAATGCCAGTTGCCAACATCATGAGAAGTGTCTAGACGTCTGCTTGAACATGTGAATGTGTATCTGTGGACTGGGGCACATATGAAAGTCCCATCCGCACTGTCCCAGTGCGGGCTGTCCTGTCCACTCAGCTCCTAGCCTCTCCTGTGCTGATGTTCTCATGTGCTCATGTTCAAGCAAATATGTGTAAAAGCCCCTGCAGACATTTCCTGCTCTGGAAAAATATACTAACCACCACAATCGCAACTAAATGTATCAAAAGCTGGAAATGTTCATTTCTGCTTCATAAAACATGAGATTTTGCAGTGAATATTTAAAGCAGAGCAAAAAAAAAAAAAGTGTTATGTCTTGGGTTTTTATTAATTATTTTTATTGGAGTTTTAAGATATGCTTTCATTGTACAGTATAACAATGCAAACAGCAAGTATTCCTATTCAGAAGCACAATTTTAAAAATAAAGAAACCAGATTTAGAATAAATACAAATCAAAATAACATAAATTGTTTTCCAGATATGTATATTGGCAGGTGATCAATATATAAAATCAAACTGTTAATAAAACATTCACAATGATAAAAAAAATATGGGGGGGGGAGAGAATAAATAAGGTTTAAATCAACCAGATCCATTTGTACGCTGGCAATGGGCACTGCCCATGTTATTTAATATTTGTATTAACTACAAAATCATACCAAACAGAAATAAATTTATCTAGCTTATTCTGGCCTTTCAAAACACTTAGTTTGCAAGTCCATTTTTCCAGTAAAACTATATCCCACATTATGTGGGACCAGTACTTTATGGTGGCCTCTCCAGTGTCAAGCTATGGGTGCCATCTAATTGTTAACTTCATACCTCTTCCTTCCTCCCAAAGCAGCACAGAGAAGGCTTTTTGCTTCAAAATCACCCTACAAGGTAGGTTCTGAGGTATGCCCAAGGCCACCCAGAAAGCTTCATAGCTGAGCAGGGAATATGAATCCGAGTTTCCCACATCCAAAGCCAACATTCTAGCCACTTCACCACACTCTGGCACTCAAGTTTCCTTCTCCTGCCACAAATTCTGACCTTTACTTTAATTCCCCAGATTGTCCTCATTTGATCTTTGGCACCATTTTATGAGGTTTATATGGGATTTGGGGGGAAAGGGTTGCCCATTAATAGACCCCAATATAATTTCTTAATCATATCTGGAATTCTACTAACCGAACCAAGTAATTTTGTACAGAACAAACCTAGCAGCCTCCTAGTTAAAGCAAAAATAACGGCAAAAGTTTGGTTTTGCTTGTCCCCCCCCCCCACTTTTACCAAACAAAGTGAAGTCTATACCAAAGATGAATCATCACCCATCACCCGTATTGTGTATATGGTCAGCACAACTGTTAGCATTGACTCTTTCACTTTCTATTTTTGAAAGTGAAAAGGATGCCAAGTAGCAAGACGATATTTGAGGCATAAAGGAAAAGGCATGAAACGAAAGCTAGTGTAGTTGAAGGCACAGAATGTCGTTTTTACATAATCAACAGCAGCTAACTATGGAAATAAGAACCATTTCTAAGCGGCCAGTCCGCTTCGGCTTTCCATCTATGGAGTTAAAAACACCACAGATTTGTGCACCCTTAACTAGCTCATGACTCTTGTGCTTGCACAAAGCATTAAACAATGGTTTAGCATTATGAGGAAAAGCAACAGTGCGCCACAGGCTTATGCACTCCTCGTCCTCCTCAGGCAGCTGCAGCTCAGCTTCATATGCTAAACCATGTTTGTGCAAACTTGGGTGTTTGCCAGTTTTTTGCTCTAAAGGAGGATAAAGAATCCTTCCCTCAAAATTCACCATTACTGACTTTCAGGCAGAAATTAATCGGCCATACCTGTATCTGTCTGTGTCTGTCTGTCTGTCTCTGTACTAGGGGTGGGGGGAGATTTTTACATACACCCAAGAGGAAAAATAATTTAGCTCAGGAGGAGATCCAAAGTTCCAATATATCACATGGTTCAGACTTCCACTGGGTAGAAGAAATGGAAAGGCTGAATGCAAAAAGCATTAAAATGTATGGGATTCCATTTTTTACTATGGTCCTTACACATGTGTACCAGATCAGTAATTCTTATACACTGGTGACATTTGTCTGAAAGAAAGCCTCTCCTTACAGCATTTGTTGACCACCCTAAGTAATTGACAGAAGGTCTTTATTCCTTAGAAAGAGACATATTCTGCTTTATAGACATAATTAAGCATAGCCATTTTCTTTCTCTTCAACAACTTATGACCAAAATTCTGGGATTCAAGGTGTATTGGTATCAGTTATTCCAGGTCCAACAGGTGCAGTATTTTTGTCAATAAAAATAACATTTGACATTCATTAAAGTGCACACATTTACCATTTATGTGCTTGTATACTGAAATTCCTGTCCAGGTAGTGAAAACATTTCAGTTTAATATCTAACTAATGCTGGCAGAGCTGTGATGAACCACAAATACATGGTGGTCGTGTTTGGCTGTTTAGATTTTTGGATAAAACGTGTTTGATGGTGCAGACACCTTCGCCAGACAATCATAGGACCCTGGAGAAACATTATAGGATATCCTCCCAGGGCACCAAGCAGAAGCAGTACGCAATCAACTACTCATCACCTTTCGACAGTTGCCAAAGTAGAAATAGCTATGCACTGCAAAAGTCAAAAACTACTCAATGTTAATTTTTGGTACAGAAAGATATGGGAACATCTCATCTTGGGCAAACTGGCACACCAAGTAAGATTTTCTAAGAATGGTTTAAATCAGTAGTATTGACCCCTGGTATCCATGTATAACAAATGCATGGAGGTCACTCCTGAATTTAGCTTGACTAATATTTACCAAATAATTATGCACTATTTGAAATATTGAATCCTTTTTTTTGCAAGTCCAGGTTCATCTCTCCAATTGTGTGGTTATTAATTTTTTCTTGTGTTTTTAAATTTGTTTTAAAAATCCATTATTTAAAATCTTAAACAAAAAAACCCTTTTAATAGGGTCATTTGTAGCTCCTTTGCCTCATCCTGCCAGGATGGAGTAGCAGCAAAGTGTCAGAAAAGTTTGTCCTTTCCATTTTCAGTTCCACACCAAAAGCTACTAGGAAAAGAAGGAATGTCTTTATTGTGGCACAATGGGATCCGAATAGGTGCCCTTGTATTACAAATAGTAAAATTCTAATCACCATACTAAGATAGGCGGAATCTACACACACATACAAAATGTTGTGAAAATGCTTTTTAAAAAAAGTTTTGAAAAACACATTGAATTTGTCATAGCTCACTGTCGCCATCTAGTGCGACATTTGTATACTGCACTTTACAACACACTTAAAACGTTTTATTTGCAGCTGTGTAGCTGAGTCCATAGACACTTTCTATACTAATCCAATACAACCATCCCTGCTGTCCCCAAAAGTATTTTTCCTCCCAAAGGACTGCTGAAATCTGCGGACAAGTTGTACACAAGACACTTTTGAACCATTAACTGTAAGCTTGATTTAAAGGAAATCTGCAAGACTTTCTATATATTTCCTGTACACCTTTTTCCTTCTTCCTTACCAGGTATAGAGGAGGTTCTTTCAGCTGGGGGTGGGAGATGGAGCAGAGGGGAAAATATGTTTTTTAAAGCTTTATTATAAATTCAAGTATTACTGGTTTTGGAATGCTAATGGATAGTGAATAATCTAGTGGAATATCAGAAGCACAAAGTACAGGAATACTGATCAAGAAGGGAAAGGATTTTAAAAATCAATGGTGATTTCAGAAACACCTGGCAGAAGTGATCTTCTGGAGGAGTAGGGATGCATGTAAAAACTCCTAGACTAAATTAATGGCCAAGAAAAATTATCATCCCAAGTGTGTACATTTGTATGTGTTTTAAGAAAAGGGAAGGGTAGGGAAAGAAGGTTGTAAACCAATAGGGGGACAGTAAAATAATAAAGCAGGCATTCTTTTTACATCATAAAGTTGGAAAGACAGGGAAACAAGCATAATTTCTCATTCCTTTGTAGGCCATCTTAAAAGAGCAAGCAGAAATTTTATTCTAAGGCCACTAAACATAGTGTAACTTCTCTGTAAAGTGAATGAATGGTCTTAATGAAAGTATGTCCAGGATCCAGCTCCAAACTGCAGTATACTCAATTACATTTTTTTAATAAAAGCTCTCTATCACACAAAGTGCTGCTCTTCCAAAGACAGCAGGCATCGCAATAAAGCTGCCAGCCAATATTTTATTGTTTCAGGAGATTTCCAGCATACTATAATCCCTTGCTGGTGAGCCTCCCAGAGTTAAATAGATCCCCAAAACAGCTTAGAATAATGCAGTTCAGAGACTCTAGAGTTCTACAAACCATCTAAACATCGGGGGTGGGGGACAGAATCCTGCACACTGTATTTAGCACTGCTATGTATAATGCAAAGTTTGCCAGTGTAAACTAGCAAAGAATATAGTATTCAACGTACTGCTGGGCAGAAGAAGAAGAAGAAGAAGAAATCAAATGTATAGATCTACAGTTAATGTTCTTCATCTACAATGGTATGAAAAGCACCCCGGATATGCAGCCAAGCCATGGAAAACGAACCGCCAGGTATCATGGTCCCTTTGTGTGGTGTGCACAACCTCTCGGCTTGGACATATTGCAGACGCAGCAAGGCATCTGTTACATTTCCTGGCTGGCCTGGAATGCCCTGCACAGCTGCCAGTTGGAATGCAGGGTACAATGAAAACCTCTTCTGCTAGCACAGGCATACCTCCCATCAAATCGTGGGAGTTATTTTTCCAAGATACACACATGTCAATTCAATACGCATTGTGACACTTGGTTGGGACTTAATAATTAAAGGGCCCACCAGTGCCCTGAACAGAATGCAAAAGCAAGAATCGCATCTAAGAGACATGATGCATTATTCAGAAGGCTGGAGTGTGGCATTCTCCCTCCCTCCCTCTGCCCCCCCCCGTACCCCCATCCTCCAAATGGCAGTTCATCTACAAGAGCAAGAGCAAACCTCCAAATCTATAGGCTCTGGATGGAAAGTGTCAGGAAGGCCAAGGAAACAAGTGAGGGAGAAACTCGTATCACTGGGTACCAACCACATTAGGTGGTGTCACATCTAACATGGCAAGGATGGGTCTTCACAAGATCACTGAACTTTCCCGTTCCTTGTTACTTGAAGGAATCATCCATTTACCCTGGATTAGGCTCCTCTCCTGCATAAAACTCACCAGCAACTGGGTGCACAGGACAGTGTTAATTGGCGGCGGTGGCTGCATCGAAGCAGACAAACTGGATCCTACCCACCCTGAGTGCTTTTCTGGATAAGGAGAGAGAAGCCAGGCATGCTGCAGGCAACCAATGCCAGTGAGAGTCACTTTGAAGGTGAATTAAAACACACCAGCAATAGATCCTGGGAGGATGATTCCTATGTACAAGGTGCTGCACTAAGATTTGGGATTGTGGCATGTTTCTGAAAGAAACACGTCTTTATCACTAATGTCATAAGATAACTAGGGGGAAGGAAGTTATGCTCCATTCCACTGGTCACCTTATCATCATATGAGTGGACAATTTCCCTTCATAAGGTTCACACAGCAACCAGGATGCTGTACAGAAGGGACAGGGTTGAAAAGCCTTCCTAAAAATAGGGCCAGAATAAATAATAAAAAAAGAAACCTGATTAGGCAATTCTTGACTTTTGTCTGACTCCCTTCATACTAGAGGCTGCAAAGGTGGAGAATGGTGATGAATGGCTAAGGCAGAGAAAATCCTAGAAACAGGTAACAAAAAGTTAACTAGCTAAGTGATCTGAGGTCAGAAAAGTGAAAGAACAATGTATTTTATTAAATAAATTATGCAGAATGTAGTGAACAAAGGCGGAGGGATGAGAGCAACGGGATGAAAAAAAGGTCAAGCCAGTAGAGAAGTTTTGAGCTGGCTCTAGACACATAAAAGAAACGTTTCAGTTAAATGTGTTGCAAATTTAAGCAGGGAAAACAGGTAGAGAAAAACGGGACTCCACAGCAGCACCTGGTGGCACAATGTTATATTGCATGTACAACATGTGTAAATTGCTTTTTCTTTGCCAATCTAGCTGAGTCCTTGTTTAAAGCTTGGGAGGGAGGGAGTTGGGTCACATGTAAGAGAAGTGATGCCAAGAACAGAGTGTCACAATAATGGGTTGGAAGAGTTATACCATATACGTGTTATATTTTATAACGGTAGTAAAGTAGCAGCCAACTTGTATCCTTTCCACACATTTTTCTCTCCTTATATAAAATAATTCCTTAACTGGGAGTAGGTCTGGCTATAGTATTACTGTATGCAAATCACAGGTTGTGATAGGGACCAGCAGGTAAACAGTTGCAATAAGCTTAGCAAGTCTTTTGAGCTGCTTGATCGTTATGAGATTGCACAAGATGTTACTGAACTTGCTACTTTGAAAGTTGTTTGCCAATTCTCTCAATGAACTTGCACCACCAAGCCATCCTGCACTTCACAGGGTGGAGAGAATTTGTGTTGATGACTTCTCTCTTTGCACCCTGAATGCTCTTCAACATGCCTGTAACCGGGATATCCAGGCATTATTTGGCTCATAAGAAGACAGTGCAAGACCCTTGAGGATACTTCTTTGCTAAATCTCTAGAGTAAAGGCCTAAACAGGCTCAGTACTACCATGCCACATGGTCTGCCAAATATCAGGCCCTAAAATTCATATTACTGTGATATAATATGAATGTTTTTGTAACAGAATATGATTTTAAAAACTGGGGCCGGGGGGAGGCAAAGCTCATGTAAAGAGGGTTAACTGTGCCCAATAAATGATCTCATTATTTAAAACACTGTGCCCTGAAAAATGTTCAGCAGCGATTGCAACTGCTTGAGCCATTTGGTGCACCTGGTGGAGTTACAAGACTTCTGGGAAACATCATTACTTTGGGGCAGAACTTAACATCTGCATTTGTGGGAGGTCTGACAGATTTCTGCAGGATGGGAGACAAGGTTCAGAATTTCTACTTAGCTGTAAATGCAAAGTAAATTATGGGGCAGTTTCTGACATTCATTAATTATATTTTAAAAATGAACCAGCACAGAAAATGATGAAAATCTGGATGGATGAGTTCTGCTTCCAAACTCAGACATGCAGTCAACACACCGGCTCGGTACACTCCAGCAGATGCCGTCTAAGCCTTTAAATCGCACACTAATTGTGCTAATTGAGCTAACAGTCGCTGTTTCGTCTCCCAGCCCTGAGTCAACCAGCATCTTCTGGTACTGCTACAGAGATCCAAGCTGTTGGCTTTAGTGTTATTTTGTCAGCCATTAAATGATTCATCAGAGTCATTAATTGATTTATTACTGCTGCCTGCAAGTATAGCTTTGCAAATAAAGAATGATGTAGGTCAGAATGCAAAAGAAATTGAACAAAACAACACAGCGAGGAACTGGATGCTTAAATAATCTGTAGGAATCCCACACAGAGATTTTTAAAAAAGTTATGGGGGCAAAGGGAGTTAAGTAGGGGAGAGGAAAGATTAGCCACTGTTTGACTCCAACATGATGGAATCTACTCAACTACCCAACTCTAACCTTCGGCTGCATGCAAAAGGCATCGTGAGCTGTCACGAGAGCCCGCAGCCCTCCAAACAAGTGATCATTTTCTTCTGTTAAACGATCCAAAGCTGGAAACAAAGTCAAAAGGATTCCACAACAGCTTAAGATGGTTTGATGTGAAAGGACCACAAAACCAGGTTTCAGACATGCATACTAAAAAAGAAAAGAAAAAAATGATTCCATTTCTGTGGTGCTTTCACAGCTGACCAATTCATCATGAAGACTGCAGACAGTGGTTACATGCAGCAGGCTAAAGAGCCTCATTTATTAAGAGCAGGGCTCCTCTTAATTCAAGACCCAGTCAGGGCAACCTGGGCATTCTCTGGCTGAGAAACACAAAACACAACTCCGTCTGCATTCTGACACTAGTAAATCTGAAGCCTTTGTAATTAGATGCAGAGTCCAGACTATGAACCCATTACACAGCTTTTTTGTGTGTGCCCTCAACCTATAAGATAGTTATAGTAGGAATCTTGTGCTGATTTTGATCTAGTGAAGGTATTTATAATCAACTTGGACAAAGAAGTGGAGGAGATGCTCATGAAGCTCTGCAGACAACACCCAATTTAGCAACTAATACTTTCAGAAACAGAATCTGGATCCAAGATGATCGCAGCAAGATGAAAAACTGGCCCAAAATTAACAAAATGATTCTTAAACAGGGATTAATATAAAGTTTTTCATCTGAGCAGAAAGAGTAGAATATAATTCTAGGTTGTGTCACCAGAAGTAGAATGTCCAGAGTAATGTCCAAAGTATTGGACATTGGACTCTATTCTGCTTTGGTCATACTTCCAGTTCTGGGCTGCAAAGTTTAAGATGGGTATGGACAAAATGGACCGCAGACAGAAGAAAGTGATAAAGATGGTGACAAGGAAGATCATGTCATTTGAGGAAAAGTGGGTGGGTATGTTTAACTTGGAGAAGAGATGTAACAGTCATCGTCAGATATCTGAAGGGCTGTCAGATAGATGGACCAAATTAATTCTATGTTGCTCTGCAGGGTAGGACCAGAGCCAAAGGGTTCAAATTACAAGAAAAGGAATTTAGACTGAACATTAGGAAGAACTTTGTGATGGCATGAGTTGTACAACAGTGGAAGAAACCGTCTTGGAAAGTTAAAGGTTTTCAAGCAGAGGTTGAGTGTTGCCACCAGCCAGGGATTTTGTAGTAGTAGGTTTCCTGCATTGGCAAGAGGTTGGACTAGATGAGAGCTGAGGTCCCATCCAGCCTTTTAATTTAGGATATTCATATACAGCTTTACACAAATGGACAATTCATCCTACCCCAAGGGTTGCAGCCTCTTTTTATTTATTTTTGTTCATTAAAGACTAAAAGCAACAGCAATTTGCATAACATTTTAGAGCATTGGTCTTCAACTGGTGGGTCGGGACCCACAAGTGGGGTCATGGACTGATCTGAGGTGGGTCACAACAGGAGTACTGCTGCCATGCAAATATCTGGTAAAAGACGACGAAATGGGTCCCCAAATGCATGTTTGGGTTAAAGGTGGGTGCTGGGTATGAAAAGGTTGAAGACGACTGTTTTAAAGAGCATTGAAAGTGCTTTTCATTAATCTTTGTAACAAGCCTGTAAGGTTGGTCAGTATTATAATCCCCACACTGCAGATTTTGGAGGGGGGCGGGCATGGAGAAGGGGCTGAGAGGAAGTCACTTGCCTAAAGGCCTTTAATGAAGCAAGATTTAAAATGGGGAATTCCCCAGTTTATAGTTCAGCCTCCTAAACTACTACACACCAGCTATAGACAGGTGGGGTTATGAGTAAATTTCAAAACAACAGTAAAATCCATTTAAATAAAGTAAGATCAGAGAGTCAAAGCACAAAACAGGGCACTTGCATGTCAGCACTGCAGGTCTATGACAGCAGTGGCTTAAGACACTGCATGTAATTAGAATGGAAGAAACACAGCAAGGTTTTCAACATTAAATTTATTGCACAGGGTGCTCCTGCAAGGGGGGGGGGACTTTTCAGAGGTTTCCATGTGAGGCTGCAACACTGACGCTAGACTCCAGTTCAAACAACTCCTACTTGGACCACCATTGGATTTCTCAAACCGCATACTGCTTACACTCAGGCGTAGTTTACACACGTGGCAAAACAAGGTGTTACTTTGAGGCGGTGCTATGGACAGTACCACTTCAGGCTGCAGGTGGGGCAATACAACTTTTGAACACTCCACTGCATTAAAAACACACTTTCCTACAAGCAAAAAGAAAAAAACCTAACACATCATACAAAAGGGTTTTAGTCCAGCCCTGCCTTTGTCGACTTGCTGGGATTTGTCTGTTTGTTTGTTTTTCTAATATGCACTCAGAGCAGCTTTCGACACCTGCAGTCTGAAGTGGTACAGTCCACTCGTACCAGCTTAGGACTCTACCACTTGATTCTTCCGCAGGCCTCAGAAATAATTAGTCAAGAGCCATACAAGTGAAACACAAATTATACTTCCCCCAGCCTGCCATTTGTAATAACCTCCACAAAACAGGAATTTCTATGGCTCTCTGGTTTGAATTAAATGTTGGCTGCTTAAAAGGCCGGGGGGGGGGGTGCGCGGTGCAGAGACGGAGGTGCCCTCACTGCTAAACATTCTCTTAAAAACTTCCGGAGGTACAACACAACCATCCTCACCCAGTCCTGACAATGTTTTGGTAGAGTATCTGGAGTGTGTCATTCCACCAGAAGGCAGTGATGTAATCTCCACAGGAATGGTTATTCTGTTCTTTTATCTTGCACCTCACTCCTGGTGTGATTTACACATAGGCAGACTGGGGCCTGCTCCGTGGAAGACAAACAGCAGTTCACTCTCCAACTCCAGATTAGCTATGAAAACAATTTGCCTGTGCTTACACAGAAGCCCTACTCTCTGGAAACCAGCCAGGCTTGGGGGAGGGCAGGGGAGGGAATTAAACAAGGCCCATCTAGCCTTTAAACTATTATGAAATGGGAGGATTTCGGTGCCCTGCATTTCAGCTGCAAGCTAATAGTTCTGTTTTAATCCAAGGAAGAAGAGGAGGAGCTCTGACATACAGAACCACCGACTGAATATAAGCTCTGTCCCTGCCTCACTTGAATAGAAGGGAGGATTTGGATGGATCATATGAAAACTGAAAGCTCAGTTCTCTAGAAATTGTTCACCTGCAGCTTATCTATCATTTCTAGAGTTCGGGTTGCTTTACAATGGCATGTTTAATTTAATCCTTGTAACAACTTTGTAAGGTATGTTAGGAATAGTGACTCGTCAGAGGCCAGATAGCGAGCTGCCTCCCTCCCACCTCACCCTGAAATTTTCATAATATAGTTTTCCCCCCTCAATTAATAGTGTGTAGAAAAATCACACTAATATTAGCCTGCTGCACCGCTGGCTCATATTTTGCTAGCAATTCTACTATCAGAAGATCCCACTACTATCAAAAGGCACAACTAAACACGTTTGTGGAAGGAGAAAATGATACACCAAGTTTACAAGTCTCTGGCCCTTTCCTTCTGGCATTTTGTTGCTGTGGTCCATTTGCTCTCCTTTGTTTTCTGCAGAGCTTGCTGGGACCCTACACTGACTGGACGCTCCAAGTCTTGGCAGAGACTTCCTATCCATGGTTGTTTATAGAGGCACCTTCTTTTAGAGATGTGATGGCCATACTCAGCCTCCAACAGTTTTGGGACTACAACTCCCATCATCCCTAGCTAACAGGACCAGTGGTCAGGGATGATGGGAATTGTAGTCCCAAAACAGCTGGAGGGCCAAGTTTGGCCATCACTGTTTTAGAGAGTTCCTGGGATACAGATTCTGGCAGCCATAATTAGTTTCAATTGCTTTCAGATGACTTGGCTTAACTCAATTTTTTTCTTCAGGTAAGACCCCCCAATCTCCACACACAACCACCCGAAATTTAGGTGAGTGGTTACTTAAGTGGGTGTGTCATCTTGGCCATGGCACCAGAAACGTTGCCTGGAGCAACGTTTATGTATTTTTGCTGCTAAAGACGATTTTATTTGGAGGGGACTTCAAGCATATTTTTTATAGCTTTCCTGGGTTTTGATGAGGTCTCAGTGATTTTTTTTCATTGTTTAATTGCATTTGTTTTTAAATTGGACACCACCCTTTTTTAGTGAAGGGTGCTAATACATAGACCGAATAATTAAAGTGCAGTGTTGTGCTAGGTGTTATACAGACAAACAAAATGGGACTGCAAAGATCTTACAACCTAAGCACAATACAATATATTAAGCCAGCAGGCAAAATAAAAAGAGCTTTTCTTCAAGCCTCTCAGCAGCGTAACAAGAAAGCAGTAAGATGGCCTTGTGGCTGTGTTAGCCCTGCAAAGAACAATACTGCTGCAGAAAGAACTGAAAATGTAACAAATAAGAGGTGGGTATCCACAGGATTACCACGAACTTGTATCCTTAATTATGCTGAGAAGCAGGTAAAAAAAAACCAAATTTCCTTCATCCATTGTATAATTTATAAAAATATGAGCAGAAAGTAACTTCCTAATCTAACTATAATGTGTACCAGTCCATGAGAGAGCAATATTTTTATACATGCTATGAGCAGAATCAACTTAGACATTTTTGCCTGAAGCAGTTTGGGGCCCTACATGATCATCACTATTATTATTATTATTATTATTATTATTATTATTATTCCAATCTGGAATAAGAGGTGCCTCAAGTAACAATGTTAGATCCAGGAGTACCCCCAAGCTACATTCAGAACAGGCTGTCTTCCCACCTCCTGGACCTTAACATATAAAACTTCAGTCTTTCCAGGATTCTGTTTCAATTTGTTGGCTGGCATCAAGCCTATCTCTGCCTCCAAACACCTGTCTAGCACCTCAACCACCTCTTCTGATTGAGATGGGTGTCATCCACATATTGGTGACCCTGCACTCAAAGACTCCTGATGGCAGCTCTCAACATATAGATGTCAATAGCATGGGGTACAAGATGGAACTCTGCATGACACCATAGGAAAGCGCCCTTTGCATTGAACAGTGCCCCCTCCCATAACTACTTTCTGGAAATTACTCTGGGGGCAGGAGCAGACCCACTGCAATACAGTGTCCCCAACCCCCACCTCCCTGAGCCACACCAGAAGGAAACCATGGTCAATGGTATCAAAAGCCACCAAAAGGTCAAAAAAGAGGTCTAATCCGATGCATAAAGCTTTAAGCCCCATCTGTGAAAATGATCGGTATTTAAATATCATCCTTTTCATATGTCAGCCTAACCATATTTTATAAGTTCTCAGGGACCAAGCAAGAATTATACAGTCATACTGTGAAAACAGACTTTTTAAAACTATAGCACGGAAGAGCTTGTGTTGGAATGCCAGTGCTTTCTTTAAGAAAATGTGCTCAGCTTACGGTTTGGGGGGCGGGGAGAGTTTTATCTCCTAACCAGCTGCTTTGCTCAACCTGAGATCAGATCCAATTCGTGTGCCTCCTCATGTATCACCTCCAGGAAGAAAGGTTGTTCAAGCCACATTCTGCTCTTGGCTACACATGTGGAACCTCCCTGGTGCCTTCAATAAACTTAGCCTAGGTGCAATGATTAGAGTCAGTGATACGCAGGAAAGCAGGAAGAAACCCGACAGTTATCTGAACTGTGTTTACTCTTCTGGGTTAGCTTGAGTTAAAAAAAATATATTCAGCATTTGGATTATATGACTGAAAGTAACAAATAGGACCAGGCAAACAGAGTTATACACTGCAGTGACATGGTTTCTACACTTGCTTTTCAAAAAGGAACTGCAGTGTACAGGAGCATGGCCAGAGCGCTTATGGACAGTAACAATTACTTTAGACAAAGTAGGATAGCCCACCTGACAACTAACCACCAAAAAGTGTACAGCAGGGTTAAATCCATGGCCCAATTTTACATCTGTGGTCCCAGGCTACAGAGGGTAAAGACAAAAATATAGCCTTTATAACAACAATATTACTGTTTGGGAAATGTGCCCCAACCTACAACATAACGGTTAAAAGAAAAAATTGGCAGTCAATAAGGAAGTTTTTTAAAGGAAGGCTTTTCATGCCATCCAACAACGAATACAGCATCCATTAATAAAGCAGAAGAGAATACTTGCGCAATGCAAAGCCTATCATGGGTACTGGTAGAAATACAGAAAATTTCATTTCTGGTTCTGCAGCATGTGACAAAACCTTTGTCATATCACTTCACCTCTATCCACCTGTAAAGTGGAGTTCATTATTGTGCTACTTTCCCAAAAGGTACAAGGATTGATTCAATTTACTGAAGCACTGTAATTAAACTTTCACATGCTCAGGGTTAATCTGTGCAGTTTAAATTTCATGCCATCTTTGTTACTATGAAATGTAAAAGGCAGAAAATCCAGTCAAGGTTTGGGTCTACAGTACCTGGCAACGCTAGTTGTAATCCTATGGTACCAAGTCACATTTAATCAACCCACAAATAATGGCTTCAGCTGTCTTACATTTCTGAGCAGCATTAATAAGTAAATAATTGGTCTGTTTGGCAAAAACTATCCCAGATATATTTACAGGATTAAAGGCTTCTAGTAGCAGATTGATTAACTGTCCCTCTATTTAAAAAAGAGTCACTGAAAGATGCCTGCTTGTTATTTTGATAATTTACTGGAGTCTTCAGTTTCATTACCTCTTGTCTAGTCTGAAACAAGCAACAGCAGTATTTTGCCAGGCAATAAGCCACTTAATGAAACAAGTTGTTTAGTAAATTCACTACATGCATCTTTTTATTGAGCTACATAATACTTCTAGGTAATAGTAGTAACTCTAAGCCATCAGTAAAGCCGTCTGAGAAGACTAAACAGAGGCTACCTAGGCCTAACAGTTTTAAGGTACCTGAAACTGCTTGATTTTTTTTTTTAAGGTACCAGACATGTAACTCTACATTTGTCAATTGTGACCTTTTAGGCCAGCTCCCCAGGTCAGTGATCTGTTTATTGAAAGGTAAGCATTTACAGACCTGTACCTAGCCCAACCTGAACGGTTTCTGCCGTGTCTTAAAAGCAACCTTAACCACATTAACTGAATCAGGTATTAAAAAGAGGGCAGACAAGGTTCTCCTTACCTATGAAGCCTCTTATTACCAACAGGTCTGAATTCAAGTCTAGAACCACACATGTGATACTAAGAACTTGTTTTACTCATGCAAACACCCCCCTCCCCAAACATGCTTCCAAGAGAATGTGACTGAAAACAAAAGCTGTGGATTAGTCAATGTATTTGAAGCAGCAATGTGAGAGCTTTCTTCAGCTTCGGTTCTGTTCTGGAATATTTTCTTGGTTGGGGCAGGGGAGAGCAGCTCAGTCTCTACCTCATTTAACCCTTGACCTCCGCCCTGCAGCTGGGGTTGTTTGCTGTCAGTCACAATATTTGTGAGTGAAGAAATGCAGACAGCTACATTAGGTATCAACCCATAAGGCAGCCCATTTAAATCGGTTTGAGGGGAAAGCACGCAATTGATAATGGATACCCTATAGCTCAAATCCTTAACCTGGCCAAAGGAAATTTCCCTGTACCTCCTCTCTTCGCCCTCAACATCGACTGGCATTTCTTCTCATCTCACAGTGTGAAAAACGATTCTGCATCTCTTTCAAGCATCAGATCCAAGTCTTTTTGAGAAACAGGCTGCAATGGAAATGAGGAGGCATCTGGGCTTGGTCCACCCATTTAAGGCAAACCCTGTCATGCAATAAATCTGTGTGCATTTGGCAGGACCTGCTAAGTAGCCCTTAAATAAAACAATAGTACTTTCTCTCTTTTTTAAAAATGAATTTTTAAATTAAATTTTCCATTTTCCATTTCCAAATAAACATTTTACAAACTTTAAAATATCCAATGACTTCCGTTCTTCTCCTTCCATGGTTTGTTTTACATATCATACATCCCTGCATATTTTACTATAAACATTCAAATCAGTTTTCCATTTTTACATTCATCAAAAAAAGTTTACTCTGTTGAATTTATCTTAGTGCTGCCAGCATTTTCAGCTGCATACAATTATTTCCCATATATTCAATAAATGTTTTCCACTCTTCTTTAAAGGTATGTTCTTCTTGCTCTCTTAAAAACAATAGCGCTTTGCAGTCTCTCTTTTAGTACCCACAGGTACAGAAAGAGGCAAGACCAGGAGAAAAACAAGCAACACTCCTGATGAAAGCTGTAGCAAGCGCACCTTTATTGTACACCGTTTCAGTAGCTGTTGGTTGTGAAGTGGCTTATACATCTGCAAACATACTCCTCTGCATGTGCCAGTTCTGCCATCTCTCTGTGGTACACAGCAGTCTGCATATCAGAATTTTTATCTGCAGGAGATTGCTGCATGGGTTGGATGTGGGGGCCTGGGCTTGGTTACTTTGAGATCATTTTTGGCAGTATGTTTTATTGTGGGGTGGCGCTGTGGGTTAAACCACAGAGCCTAGGACTTGCCGATCAGAAGGTTGGCGGTTCGAATCCCCACGACGGGGTGAGCTCCCGTTGCTCGGTCCCTGCTCCTGCCAACCTAGCAGTTCGAAAGCACGTCAAAGTGCAAGTAGATAAATAGGTACCACTCTGGCAGGAAGGTAAATGGTGTTTCTGTGAGCTGCTCTGGTTCGCCAGAAGCAGCTTAGTCATGCTGGCCACATGACCCGGAAGCTGTACGCCGGCTCCCTCGGCCAGTAAAGCGAGATGAGCGCCACAACCCCAGAGTCGGTCACGACTGGACCAAATGGTCAGGGGTCTCTTTACCTTTACCTTTAGCTTGGCCCGCAGTATTATGGGCACTTTGGTTCCAAACTAAGAGACAAATAGCAATGACAACAGCAATGCATTTTATGAAAGAAACTCGCTGATGCGCACCAGAGAAGACTTGACACAACTAGGAAGGTGTAAGCGGTAGCATGCCTCTTGACTGTTTAACCTCCTACTATTTTGTACATGCTGACAAGCTTCCAGAGTAAGTACCTTAGCAGTTTAGATAAGACAGTCTGTGAATTTGCACCTTTAGCTCAAAATGCTCCGCTCAAGGGTCTTTCGTTCAATCTCCTATTTGAACAGTAAGGGGCAAATAGTGCTTATTTCAGCACTCACGTCCCTTTCATTCAATCCCCCTGTCAGGATAATCACAAACTGCCATCCCCACTGCTTCTTTCCCCCGTTACAAGTGGCACAAAGCAAAGCAGCTTAATGGGTCACTGTGCTGAAAATTGAAGTTAACCTCATAAAGTATGGGTATATATTCCCACTTGAATCACAAGCATAATTCTTGGCCCTTGGGGTCTCTCTGCTCAACCTCACAGACCGGTTGGACAAGCAAAGTTTGGTAGGCTTTTGTCTCACCCCACCCCACCGCCATGTGCTTCATGTCTGGGACAGATTTTAATGTTCCAAAGGAAGCTCAGCACTGACCTTATTGTCAAATAATAGGGAAGAAGAGCAGTCTATTAAATAACATGCCAGGCAAAAACTAGATGCTACTGCAAAGAGCCAGTGTGGTATAATAGTTAAAAAAGTCAACATAAGGCAAATGGAACATTTAAAAGTAACCTACAATAGTAGAGGTAAGCAGGAAGAAGGACAACAGTGTCCAAAATATCTGATAAGGGTGTTTTGATTCATCAGCATAAATTTGTCTCAGCAATGACTAATATCCAAGTGGCTCTTCAAAAATACCAAAGGGTGCTTTTGTCCAAGAAACATATCCTGAGGGTACACACTACTACAGCCCATCCCCAGCAGAGATGGCTGGGTCAGACTGATAATATCTCTGCCCAGTTTTCTTCCCAAAGTCTAGACTACAAAAGCGTAAAAGAAACGACAACACTACGGGTCAGGGTTTAAACAGACTGCACAAACAGGTAAGACTGAATTTAAGTGGACTCCTGTTAAGCCTTTTCATCTCATTAAAGCTGCCTTCATCTTATATAGTGAGGTTTTAAATTTAATAATAGAACACTACCACACCTCATGCTAACCCGATTAACTTTAGAGTAAAGCACTATCTTGGCTATTTCATACAGATCTAAGCAGGAGATGGGTTTGTTTGTTTTTATTTCAAAATTCATCTCACTGCCCTGTTGGGTTAATAGTTCCTGCGTACTTCTGCCTGGGCTGCGTTTGTGAAATTACCAACACTTTTTTTTGCAACATTCACTCCTTGAAAAGCCTAATGAGTACTTATACTGCTGCATATAAACATCTCTCTCTCTCTCTCTCTCTCTCTCTCTCTCTGTATGTATCTGCAATATAGCAGCAGTTACGCATAACCATCGTTTAAACAGTCAAAAGCAAGAGTAAAAGCCTACATCCCTGCTACTTTTCAATTTCTAGGTCTTTTGTGGCTCCCAGCAAGGACAGCAATTGAGTAAAAGCTGTTGCCAACTGCTTGCTGTACCCACAAATGGAGGTTTTAATCTAATTTTTAAAATATAATTTTATTTCTAAGGGTCAAATACGCAGGTTAGTTGTAGAAGTCATAGACCTGTTGATAACGATCTCAGGCACTAGGCCCAAAGATGATCTGAAAAGTTGCCCTAGCACTACATTCTTAATGCCTGGTAAACTTTTATACTCCTGATCTTCTAACCATAGTTAAAGTTAGGGATGTTCCACTCTCCCATTTTCAGCATTAATCAGAGCATTACATTGTATCTGCACAAACATTAATGTCAACCATGGTTAGCTTTAACTAGAATTTAGAAGTTCGGTTTGAAGCTGGTTTGTAAATTCTGGGATAAAAAGGCAATGCTTGTTAATGATCATCTTATTACAGATGTCATGCTTCACCATGGTTAATGCTGAAAATATGGGTGTCATGAAAGAGTTGAGACAACATGAAAGGAGAGCCTCACAACAAGTTCCCAATTGCTTAACTGTGGTTAGAAGTCTGGAAACATTGGTCCAGTTTTGCTGTCAGGGATGTGCTCTGTTCCCACTCCCTCCTCCTCTTTTTCTGCTCTTCCTGCTTTGCTGTAACCATGGTTTGCATGTGAAATAAGGCAAACTCTAGTTACCCACAAACCATGATTGGCCTCCAAACCAGAAATGAAAACCATGGAATCATATTGTATGGATTCAGAAGTTAAAAAAGACAGGAAGGAAGAAATGTGCAAACACAAAGCAAGTTCCCAACCACGGGCCACAATGTCTAAACCCAAGCCATTATGTCTCTGACGGGCCTTTGTGGCCAAACTTCAAGGGCATTCATGAGCACGCAGTTGAAGGATCTTGTATATAAATAAAGGGTTGCCACCCCCCCCCCGACAAAATTTTGCACAGAGTATTCAGAACTCCTTTAAGACAGGCTGGGATACACTGTGAATGAAATATCAGGTACTTTGGAATAATTTCCACATTAACAGCAATACTGCTTTACTCTTAGATGTGGTGCTAATAGCCTGTAACTATAATAATTAAAATAGACTGCTACACTCTTTCCAACTAACATCTAAAAGCATGTGTTACAATAAATTATGAATAGTGTGCACATAAGTTACACATAAGTCTCCCTTTCCCTGCCAACTGTTGACACACACAGCTTAATCCTCTCTTTCTGAAACACACTGGAAACATGAAGAACAGCTATTTGAAATGCAAGTCCTAAATGTTCTAGCAGTCTAATTAATCATACTGCTCTATCTACCACTTGCTGAAATTTACTCTTGTAGGAGGAACTAGATGACCGAAATTGGTTTTGCCAAAGTCTTTAAGAAGCCAAGCGCATGAAGGGTGTTTTCATTCAAAACTGCATCTAAATTTACAAATACATATGACGCACTTGTATAAGAAGCCATAATTCAGGGGTAGCATACGTGCGTAGCATTCAGAGTGGTTCCAGGTTTGATTCCTGTTGTCCCTATTTAAATGAATCTCAGGTAGCAGGGCTTGGAAAGCAGTTTGCCACTGGCAATAGATATTACTGCTTAGAGCTGACATTATTGGGCTAAATGAGATGGATATCTGACTCTGTATAAGGCACCTTCATTTGTTCAAAATTATACCTTCGGAAAGACTATTCCAGGTTAGAAGAATTGTTCCCAAATTAAGGCATCAGATATGAACAGCACTTGAAAGGACAGGGATTTGGACCAAATTTCAGCAGTGAGAGTCATCTGCTCAGCCAGCCTGTCCAGACATAAAACTCCAAGAAAAAAATTCAACTTTTCACCACAAAAGCTCCACCCACAGCACCAGTATATTGATATGTATAGAAGTGTATAGAATTATACATTGGGAAGTTTATAGAATTATGGCATAGTCTCTCTATGTTGAGCTATAAGGTCCAGCATTACATGAATGGGACAGATTTGGTACCCAAAACAGGCATCTCCAAAACAAGCATTGCATGTTAGCAGCCAAGGTAACACAAGGCGATTGCAAGTGATCAGTTTTGCATCTTGGATGATGGTAGGTCTCCTGGTGCTGCCACAACATCATATAACAAAACCAGTGCTCTGATAAAAGTTAAAAGTTTCATAGTTACAGTTGGAACAGTTTCTTTCATGTTATGCCTTCTGTACAATTCAAGTATGGGTGGGCAGGGGTACCTGAACCATCTACACAGATAAATTTTATATATAACTTTCATTCATTCATTCATTCACTTACTCACTCGCCCACTCACCCTTATGTTCCAGGTCAAAACATTATTAAATGTTGAAAATGATTATAAACAGCGGTGCCTTTGTTACCAGCAAGATATTTATCTAAGTGGTTCTTTTGAGCACACATTAACTTTTAGAAACACTGATCTAATGCTTAGAAAAAAGAGGTGTGTGATTATTTTCTAGTACCTCTGATATGTGTGTGTGTGTGTGTGTCCATCATTGCGGGTGGGAGACTGTTGCTACAGCCCCACCCTTTTTTGCTTAAAGATACTGTAATATGCCTGTAGTTTATGTGGTTTACCGGTATGAAATAGCTCAGTTGGTAGAGCATGAGACTCTTAATCTCATGGTCCTAAATTCGAGCCCCATGTTAGGAGAAAGATTCCTGCACTGCAGGGAGTTGGAGTAGATGACTCTATGAGTCTATGAGGGGTTTGAGTTGCCGTGGCAGAAAAGTGACTGATAAATTTAATAAATGAATAAATAATAAAAGCAGTGTGGATTTTTCAGTACCAACACTGTAAATTTGTGTGTGTGTGTGTGTCTTCCTGATCTGGAACTTTCCTGCAGGGGCTTATGAGGGAAGGGTTAAGAAGGTTTTACTGAGGGGGAAGATTACTGACGAATATAAATTCCATCTTGAATTTTCTAATGATTTATCAGATTTACAATTTTCCTTCCCTGACAGTCACAGACCTAAGCAGCCATTCCAGATACAAGTCAAAGGTTTGTCCCTCAAGTCAGTTAGAGCTCTGATTTTATTCTGTTACAAATACACTAACCAATACATGTTTAAAAAGCTAACAATTTCATAGTACCTCATGCTAATACAAGGCCTGTTTTCCTGTTTCTCTTGTAAAGAGTAATCTGACAAGGCAGCTACACCAGGACAGCTTCAGTTTTCACACACACAGGCTTCCCTCTTCACCATTAGGAAACCTCTCCAGTCATTCACAGTTTTGTCAATGGCTCTTGGTGGTATCTCATGGACATACACGTTCAAAAGCCTGGCAGTGGTTACTTGCTAACATTTACAAACATCCTTGTACAAACATACTGAGACTCTCTGCTGATCTTGCTTTGTCTAAATATATCCCAAGGAAATAGCTTGGCAGGGTTGTAAAACTTCACAGCAACCAAATTAAAAGGGGGAATGAACATGAACAAGTGTAAAACAGGAAAAGAAAAAAAGGAAGCCTGCATGCATGTACACACACACAAAGAGGGGAGAGAAATTTAAGGCATTGTAGCCCTGCAGTGTTTGAAAGCTTTGAGGAAACCACTTGCTTGTTAAGTCATGTAAGCACATCAAAATCGAAAACATTACAAAGAAATTTGCTGCAACTTGCATTCTATGGAATTTAAGTTTTGATGTGCTCTATTCAACAGAGCTGTCGTGTTCTGGAATAAGAAACATAACAGGTTAGGTCTTTAGCAGCATCCCCTGTAGCGTTTCTCTTCAGCTGTCCTCTCCCCCACCCACATGAAAGCTGAAAGTGGAATATTATTCAGGATCATGACAAAGAATTAGATGCTGACTGTACCGCCTGTACGTTCACGACATATCATACCAAAAACCAGGTCATGCAGACATACACCCTAAAAACATGGCAAGACAGAATACTCTCGCCAAAGATAGTTTTTCTAACTTTCTAAAGTTTGCTTTCATACTGACCAGGGTGTTCTTTCAAACCAGTAGTATGCTAAAAAGGGAGTATGAGCAACAGCTTCATATTGCCATCTTCAGTCATTCATAATGCTAGCCAGCTGACTAGAAAATTCAACTCAGTTAAGCTGCTTAGCTCCCCTTACAACTTTTAGCATCTTTATCTACTTGTCATAAAAGCTGGTGGTAGAGAAGTGTTTTTAGAGATCATTCAAGCTATTCAGCAGCTGATTGTTTCCTTCCCCGTCCACCCCCACCCTCCATGGATGGATAATGCTCCCAAGCGTAAGAACGCAAGATGTATACATTTGGCAGAGGAAAACAAGTGCGCTCATTTTGTGTTATGTCAACAAAGGGATTTAATAGTATGTCAGTAATCAAGCCACACATAAAATACTTGGGAGATGGGTGGGATGACATACGACAGCATGTCAGCTTCAAAGCATCTTTTTCCTAAAGCACAGAAAGAGTATACTCAGCGTTTAGTGCCTTGTATTTGAGCATTTCTGCCATGTCACGATGCCTCTAAGGCCAAACACTGCAGTTTTAAAGACTTCAAATTTCAGTACAGTATATGCCAGTAACCATCCACTTTCCAGGGCCATCAGTACTACGCAAGCCGAACAGGTATATGTTCAAATTCTCCAGCAGTGTTGGTTGAATAATAACTATTAAAGAACTCTCCTTGGAGATGATGAAGTTGTCCAGAAGCAGAGACAACAGAATCTCTGTAGAAAGGAAGCACAAGGCAGTGCAATAGGGCAAGAGCGGCAAGTACAAATTTATTTTTTCACAAAGCAATCCCACTTGGGCTTCCAGGAGCACCCACTCCTTGCTCAAATACCCGAGATATAGGGGAGGAATGGGAAGGTACAAGGCTGAGTGGCGGAAGACAGCCCTTTGGGAAGTCTGCTATTCCACAGGGCCAATCCCATTCAACCAGAAAGAGGCCTCCTCATAAATTATTGCCTGCTTGCAAAGCAATAGAGGCAGGAAGTTGGTGTGGCTTGAAAGGTGCCTGTAAAAAGACAGAAGAACAGGGGGATCAGGGGAAAGGGAACTATTTGTAGGCACAGGTGAAGGAGCGGGATGCACTCTGCCTCTTTCTCTGACTCAGGCAAAAAGGGCCCAAGGCCTGCCCCCACCCCTTTCCTAACATCTAGAAGCACCTAAAGGCTACATTCCCAAGGAAACCGCAACCACCCGGTACCAGAACCATCTAGGAGGCTTACTTTTGCTTCCAAACCTTGGACAATTGCAAATGAGCAGAAACATCATCACTCTGTCGATCTAGCTTGCAAGGCATGGGTTACGGTTTTCAGCCATGCCAACCCACCAGTACAACATCCATCTCCAATCTAAACAATTTTAAAAAGTTTATGAGCTCCCAACACTGCCAGAAGGACTCAAAAAGGTTTTCACCAAAGGCACATGCAATTAGCAGGCTTAAAAATGATGTACATACACAGGTATTAATTAACTATAAATTTTCATCTAGTAATTCCACCAGCAGCAAACACTAGGCTCTAATCCAACAATCAATACTAGCCATTTAAAGGCTCCACCTGCCAAAAAAGTTATATAAAATAAATATATAAAACTTTCATTAGATTCTGCAATGGCTTTAGAACAATTAATCTACCATTAATGTATCAGGCGATATTGTTTTGTTTTATTGGCATGACAATTGACACCATCAATATTTCTTCACACCCTACACTATAGCTTCACTCCCATGCTACTCCAAGAGAGAAATTATGCCTCATTTTACTGCTGTACTGGCTCCCTCTGGGCCTGTATCTTCTGTTACTTACACACGCTTTAAAGAAAAAGCTTACAGCTCAATCTTCAGAGTTTTTAAAACAAAAGAAAAAAGCGAGGCAACAAAGCTGTTGGGAGAGGTAAATTGCCAGAGTTTCTGCAAAGTTGTGAGTATTAAAACAGATGGGTGTTTACTCGCTGCAACACTTCTCACTTCATGTGCTATAACCACCATGTTGCAATTACCAAGGGTCACTCTGCCACATGGCTGATCAGTATACCTCCCGTCTGGACACACACATGTACTTGCATTTCATCTCTCTTTATGTTTAAAGATAAAAGGCATCATAAGAGGAATCTAGATGATGAAGCTCTTCAAAATCCACCGCCCCCCGATATTCGAAACAATATAAATAAGGGGGTGTGTAAAATACCACTCCTCTGAAGAAAAGAAAACAACAAAACAGCCAACTCAACACAAAGTTAAACACAAATGGGCAATACACTCAACTGGGCATTGGGAGGCAACCATAGAAAAAGGGAGGCTGATTCCCTTATGGAGAATACATAGCATACAAGGCTTTAAAAGCAACGCAAAGTGGCCCCAACTGAAGGTATTAAAATCAAGAAGGATGCATTGAATATGCCTTCACCAGCCCTCCGAAAGGTTCCAATTCGCAGCCTGAATTTGCATTTGCAGGACTGCACAGAGGCTGTGAAGAATCTGTACCTGTCCCAAACCCCGAACCAAGCTTTGTTGGGAAAGGCATGCTCTAAGAGCATTACTGTCTCAACATATCCTACAGTCACAATTCAGCTATTAAAGGTTGACCATGCTAGTCATTAAAAGGCATAAAAGTATTTGCAGCTTTGCAGGAGCAAACTAACAATATAATATTCACTTGACTGGATGGATGGCGTGCTTTCTTCAGTTGATAAGTGCATATTGTACGCACACATGTATATAGAAAGAAAAATGTAAATATTTGGTCTAAATGGTTGTGAAATGCAGCAGATGACAATTCTTATGTCTTGTTTAAATATATACAAAATAAACACAGTATAGCCGTTCACCAATAATTGGCACTGGGAAACCCAGCCAGATGGGCGTTGTTGTTGTTGTTGCTGCTGCTGTTAATGGTTACTGTACTTACCTTGTACATATTTAAGCTTTGCCAAAGACTATACCTCTTGCATTTTATGGTCATTTGCCCCTATTGTTTACAATATCCCCTCTCAATACCCATACATGCATACATACATAAGTGTGCATCTCTCTCTCTCTCTCTCTCTCTCTCTCTCTCACACACACACACACACACATACACACACAATTTCTGATTGTAGTGACCGGTACTCAGTACCTTCTGCTGCTGCTCCACCGCCCTTTGTGAAGGAAGTATTATGGAGTGTCTGTTGTTTCTGCTTATTGCTTGGCAAGGGCTGGGCTGGTTGTATCCTCCATTCACTTCTTTGAATTTAGGCAGGGGGCTGACATTTGGTGTCTTTCAGGCAGATAGCTGCCTCTCTCACACACCAATTCCTATGAATTCTTGATTATCCAAAACTTTGGATGAGCTCACTCCAGTATGACCCATGCCACATAAGGGGAGCTCAATAGAAAAAGTCCTATTTGCTCACCTAAACTTCTAAAATTGTCACATAATGGAATGCCCCAAGTTGCTTTGATAAATTATGCTGTGTTCTATGTCCTCAGGGTAGAACAAGGGGTGTGAGAGACATGCTGAGTGGAAACTAGGAACGGCACTACAGAAGCTGCAGCATGAGGAATTGTCAGCATTAAAAATAAACCCTATCATCCTGAAAGGGGAATTCTTTTGGGAAAAGCTGAGAAGGGCGGGAGATGAAAAATATGAATTAGGTTTAGAAACGTAAGCTTCAGTGATATGTTTTGCTGTCTTTGTATTTAGCCAGCTATTTCCTCTGACTTTTCAGTTAGGTGTGATTGCCTGGTGGCTGGATGAGGGGAAGAAATCTTGGTCAGCTAGGTTCTGGAAGGGTGGGGTGCATAAAAATGAAGAGAAAAATATATAATTGGGGGGGTCCCTATTCTGGAAGTATACCAGCATGTTAACAAAAAAATAGAAAACGTGAAATATTCTGCCAAGGGGTGAGTACTTTATATACTGTTTCCCAGATTAAAAAAAAGGGGGGGGGGATGAAGGGGAATACATATACTAAAGACTTTCACTCATTCTTATTGCACTTGAATGCCAAAATATCACATTTGCTTAAGCCTATTTTACTGCTAGCAGCTGTCTGTTATATGGTGACTGCTGGAGAGCTCGCCCAAGAGCAGGTGAGCACCATCTGCCTGCCCCTGACAAGATGCCCATTTCATTTAGACAAAAAGCTGACAGCTACATGGCCACCATCTTCACGCAATAATATAAAAACCCTTTTCTCAAATGCTGCTGTAACCTTTCACAGATATTCAAATAGGCATTGTATACCTAGAGAAGCAGTAACACGTCTCCCCCAATCCGCCCCCTTCCCCCTCCAGCCTCTCCATGTTTAAATAAATCCCCTCTCAGGCACACTGGTGAGCATGCTTTCAGAAAGACCCATAATTGGCTTGCCTACTGATCTGTGAAGAGTACATTTTCTACAAAAGCTCTCTCCCCGCTACCCCTTCTTTAAGAGGAGGGGGGATCTCCCTGTCCTCGAACAAAAACGTGTGTCAAGCTAACGCAAAATTACCATTTTTAGCAAGTGGTTTTGTAATATAGTCTACAAAACACAGCTGATAAGTATTAAATACACCAACAAGAGGGAAAGGCCTTAAATTGAGGTGAAAAGGGTCAACATGGCCACTGCATTAACTGCTGGCAGCTCTCAGCTGTTTCCTATTATTCTTCCTTTCTCTAAAAGTTCCCTCAGCCCCCCGAAAAATGGTGGTCACAACGTGTGTCTTTTTCTCCTCCTCATCTGGTATGGCAACACTTAAAATAAATGAAGAGTATTCGGAGGACTGTGTCTATCAATGCAAGTTCTAGATGAAGCTTACAGAAAAGCCAAATGAATGATAAAGTTCTCTCATTGGCTGAAAACATCTCTTGACAATCTAAGGGCCAATTCAAACTTTTAAAGTTTCCACATCAAGGCCACTAAAATATGGTAGTAGCTGGCAGCACATAGAAGTCAAAGGTAATACCAGATAGTGAGTGTAAGCTGACTGAATGTAATCCGTCAGTACGATGGGAGGCCATTTTGTGACAATTCTTCTTCCCTCTGTAGTACCCATAAATATTGGTAAGCTAAGGTCATCATAAACATCCCACTTTATAGAGGATAGCCCTCTATATGAAAGGCTGTCCATTCCAAGTCTGTTTTAAGGATCAAGATCGTAAGAAGGGAAAGGAGACACTTTGAAGTTGCACTGGTCACCTGGTCGTAAGTCTTTCCTAATATGGCAAGATGCATTGTATTTATAGTAATTATTTCTAAATCTGCATCTATACACATGAATCAGCATAAGCAAATTTTATGCAAATATGTACTGTATAGTATTTTGTCCCTTTTTTGATGATGTACAAGTGGCCACCATATTGCAAACTGTTTATTGTGTAGATAGATACTACAGTGACAAGTTTCAATACTTGTCCATCTAACATTCACGGAGCACCACACAAATGTCACAAGCAACACACCAAGTTCTCCTACACAGATGTGTTTTCTGGCAGCCTCCTCATGGGGTCCGTCACATTTTACCTCGGAAGTCACAGGCTCAGATCTGGGGTTGCCCACCTCATATTAGAGGTGGAGACACAAAAATATTTAGAAGAACTTCCCAGGATCCTTCTATGTATGTCAGCAGTGTTTACAAACAAACCATGCAAAACAGCAGAAACTTATGAAAATCTTTTGTTAGTGCACCCACCAAGAAAGAGCTTTACAGGGCATGATATTCTGAATCCAAGGAATGAACCTCCTTCAAAAACTTACCTATGCATTCCCTATTTTGCTCTTTTGGAAAGGAAAGAACATCTCTGTATTTGCTCGTGTCTTTCTTAGACCAGCAATACTCCACATTTTTCAAAGTCCACTGGGATACAGCACTATGTGCACAAAAAGACCAAGGGATGTAAATCCATACCTCACTGCAGAGTCAGCTTTTATGGCTGTGGCAATGTGGTTCTTGACAGTTAACTGGGGTGCTGAGTGCCTAACTGAATGACTTCATGAACTCCTGGCTTCACTTGCTTTCAGACTACAAAATGAGTAGAAAGCTTTGACACAACTTGATGCTGCATCCTTGCTTTAAATCTGTAAGGAGAACATGACTGAGGAGGAAGAGTTATAAGCAGGACTGGCTGTGACACACAGCAGAACTGTCCTATAAGGGCAGCATGATTGCAGTACGATCAAATCCTTCACCCACCAAAGGCCAGCGTTTTCTATTTCTATCCAGGACATGGAACAAATCCTTTGAGTCGGTGCTAAGGTTAAGTCATGAGGTGTACCAGATGGTCATTTGTGGGACTAGTCAGGACCGGGCAAGAAAGGGCAAACAACAAAAGAACTTGTTTTAGAAGTGCTGCAAGTGAACTAAGGGCAAAGGAATCTCTTTCAGAATGGCAGATTGAGCTCTTTCTTTGGTGGTCCTGTGCCTTAGTTCTTCACACCACACACTTTAAAAGGTCCTACTGCCTTAGAAGTGGTGCATGGGATTTTGTGGTTGTACGTTTCAGAAAAGGCCCACTGCTGTGCAGAGATCTGAGAGGATCTTTGGAGACAATGAGATATTATGAAACTCACTCTTCTTCTTTAATTTAAAGAGCAAAGGGGGATTTACATTCATTTAAGAGGTGAGTTTGAATAGCTTCCTAAAAGAGGAAGGAAAGCTTCTTGAAACCAAGATCATCTTGGTTCTTCACAAATATTGTAATCTTCACAAATTAAGAGTGAAAGAATTTGTGAGTTTCATAATCGCCAAGGGAGTGCACTTTTATTATCGGTTCCATTCCTAGAAAGCTCTCAGTGACTCTACTATGTTTTCAGTAAAAGAAAGAATGAAGAAAGGAATCTTACAGGAATAAGAACAAAAACTGAGCAAGATTATGAAATGGGTTTATGTTTGGTTGAAAATTGAGAAGCCCCTCAAAATACAAGAAAAGGATAGGTGGGAAATGGTGGAACAGGAACCCCTCACAAAGTCACTGGCACAGTTATTCTCCCAAGGTGTGCCATGGAAATATATACAGGGGTTTATATAAGTCAGGGGTCTTAGATGTTCTCAACACTCTATATCCCTCAGCGCAGGTAGGGTCTGTGCACCAACCATTTCCTTCCCACTCACAATATATGGGGCAGTGATCATATTCTGTGGGAAGGAGTAACATGCATCAGGATTTTTATTTTTGGAAGCAATTTGGCCTAGAGGTGAGAGGTATGGGGAAAATCCCTTAAGAATCACTGCTGCCCATGAAGTATGGTCCCATCCAGAGTCCCGACTAACTGGTGAAAGGAACTGGGTGACCCCAGAAGGTAAAATGAATTGGCTATCCCTTAGATGAAAGATAATGCCTGTCTATTGTTGGGGTGTGTGTGTGTGTGTGTGTGTGTGTGTGTGTGTGTATATATACGCGCATGCACACACACATGCATACATTTATTTTTAGTCGAATCGAGTAGTATGCCTCCAATTTTAATCCAGAAAATAACATTGTGCCCCATGTATCAGGAATTTGGAAAACAGTACACCAGCCAAAAAATGACAATGTTTAGAAAGGCATTAGAAGAGAAGCATTTGCAATGGGCTACACTAGTGCTGGATATCATTCCTATCAGTGTGCCTCACTCTCTTTTTTTCATATTCTGTAATTAAGAAACAATTGTGCAAGTATTTCCTGGCAGAAATGTTCACTTGGGATGCAGCTTAGAAACAAGGTGCTATGCTGTAGTTTGCTTCCCTTTCACCTCCAGAGATTTCCTTTCCTGCCATGTATGGCTCTTTTACCAGATTTGCTTCAATGTGGCTCCTAAACCAAGATTTCTAAATCTCTCTAATGTCTCAGCAACTTTCCCCTCCTTCCACATGCCCGCTCCCCTTCCCCCTCCCAGTTAATCCCTGAGACCAGTCTTGACTAATCCCTTTGAGCCATATGGAGCTTGAACCACTGAGATCTCAACTATGCCCCCAGAATATTTAGCTCTGCCTTAGGCAGTACCTTATAAGCGCTGCAGCAGCAGCAGCTGGCACAAAGCACTCCAGAATGCCGCATTCGAACCTGGCAGTTCCAAGAGGAGAACGGAAAGCTGCTCCGAACAGGTATGACGGGAGCGGGGTGCTCTTTGCCAAAGGAGAAATAGTCTAGAAGAGCACCAGAATCAGAACAGCACATAGTGTCAAAGGACTGGGCTGCTTCTATATGCAAAGTCTTCTGGTTAACTTTATCAATGGCTACTAGCCATGATGATTGTGCTCCGTCTCCAATGGTCAGAGGCTGCCATGCTTCTGAATACCAGTTACTGAAAACTCACCCGATGAGAGAGTGCTCTCGGCCTCGAATCCTGCTTACAACTTTCCCACAGGCATCTGTGAGAACAGGATGCTGGACTAGATGGGCCATTGGCCTGATCCAGCAGGCTGTTATGTACTATATGGAAAGACAGGAGTGCCTGGCATGCTTTGGTCCATGGGGTCACAAAGAGTCGGACATGACTAAACGACTAAACAACAACTATATGGAAAGACTGAGGTGGAATCAAATACATGTGTTTATTTTGGAACAGAAGTTTAACTTGTCCTTAATTCCCAGAACGAGCTATGTGTATGTACAGTTCAGAGTGACCACTGCAATGTGGTGGGGAGCAGACATATATTTGGGGACGAGAAGTCCATGTCATTTATGCCTCCTCCAGCTGTATATCTATTTGTATATCTGCACGTGCACACAGCTATATTAACATTAAACAGGGAAAACAAGAATATTGTGTTAACTATTCGTATGATAATCTTGACTTTTCTGTGGTAGAATGGGAAGGGAAGACCCAAAGGTCATGTTAATTTACAAGTGAGTCCCATAAGGTTCAGTAAGTGTATGGGTGGGTCCCACTTCAAAATATTTGAGGATTGCTCTAGGGCAGGGGTGGGCAGTAAGTAGCTCAGGATCTACTGGTAGATCTGGAGTGATCTGCAGTAGGTCAGCAAGAACTCTGACTCTCAACTGTTTAAGTGGCAACAACAAAAAGCCACCCCTCTCCTGCTAATTTAGGCTGCTGAAGAAAGTTTAGGAGTAATACCAGGAGTGGGGTTTTGGGTGATAGGACTGTGAGCTCATTTAACCTATGAAAACAAATTTCTGCTCAAAGACATCCTGTTCCTTAATTATAGGAATATGTCCCTATCTCACCACAAGCCACTAAAGCACCTGACTCGAGCTGGTGATTTTGGGATTCTGGTAAACAAACAAGCAAACAAACAAAACCCAACCAAAGTACATCCCATAAGCCTGAAGTCTGCCTGCCACTGATCTAGGGAGTGGTTCGGTTTCGGCACATCTGCCATAGCCTCATGTTTCACTACACAGCCTGCCAAGCATCGTAATCTTTCAGCTGGTGGACCTGATACACAACTGCAAATGCTGTAACATGGAAACCCACTAGGGCTGAGATTGGAAACCTCCAGGTGTTGGATTCCATCAGTTCCAGCCAGCATGGCCAAAGGTCAAGGTTGATGGGGGTTGGAGTCCAACAACATTTGGAGGGCCACAGGTTTCCCAGGATGCCCTAGGGCCACAGGAAAGAGCGCCATGAATCATAACATCTTGTCCAGGTTTAGTTGTTAGTTGTTCATTATCCAGACCAGAGAAAACAAAAACAGAGGGCACTTCAGATTAGGCATAGTTGTAACATCACCTCTGCACACTTCCTACATAAAATGTGCAGTCTTAAACCACCACATGGGGAAAGAGAACAGGCACAATTTGACTCATTCTCCTAAGAAAAAAACATTCCTGCTTCAGCAGCCCAGCTTGATTTCTAGGCAGAAACTGAAGTGCCAGTCTCCAAGAGCTCAAGACCTTTTGAAGTAGGTCAACCAGAGCAAAGGGCCACGGGGGTAAATCTGATGTAAGCTACCATGTAATTCAGTGCTATCTGCAATAAACTGGATGCTTTCTTCATGCCTGGTGAAAGCAAGAAACTAATTTGGCATGGAGGATGGGCAGATTTCAGAAAACTGGTAGGAGGATATAGGTGCTTTCACAATAAGACAGATGAAATAGAGCAGTACAATTCACAAGCTGGATTAACTCTTCAGCGGACTCAAGGAGGATAGGGAGTCTGCACACTTGGAAGAAAAATAGGATGAATTATGTCAAATTTATGGTTACAATGGAGAGGGGAAGCCTGTACAGATTCATCTATGCAACGCACACGCAATATAAGGCTTCCAAGGACAAACAATTACATTTTCCCCTCCAGCTTGTACTAGCCAAGGACGTCTTGTTTCTTTTTTCAAAAGGCGTCTTGTAGCTCAAGGCTTCCACTACTGTTTCTGCTAAGTTCTCACCCTAGCAAGCAATCTGTAGTACTACAAGGGTGTGTGGCAGTCATTCAAGGGGAGATTTCAGTATCAAACTCACTAAGCATCACACATGCAGCCAACGATTTACCTGTGTGATGAAAGAAATAGCATGAACTGGCACAAATTCTAACGCATGAGTACATTTAGTTTACATTGCCAGGGAGGGTTTGCAGAGCTAAGTTGGTTTCGCTAAGGCGCAGGGTGGGTGAGTGGGTGTAAGAGGTCAAAGGCAAAGGAAAGACTTTTCTTATGAGACAAGTGCAAGGAGCAATGACCAAGAAAGCTGCACATTATCACTTCCCATCAATGCCCAGTCTTGCTTCCCCTCCCCTACCTTCTGAACTTTTAAAGTGGCATAACTTCTTAAGCGTACCTTTTCAGAACTTTTATTCATGACCACGAGGACTAAAATTTTGTTGTTTGTTGTAGAAAGTGACACCTGGATATTTCAAGCAAGCGAAAGTCTAAGTGATGTTATCACAATTCCACACAGTATAGCACATTTAGAGGTGGATGAAATAGGATGAATTAAACAAACAGGGAACAAAACTCTTCCAAATCCTGTAAGCTCCCACAAACAATCGCATTTAGATGCCGCCTGAAGAATTACACAAACAAAAAACTGGTCATGCTTTTACCATCCTAGCCACACACCCTGCCCTCCAAAAACTCCTAAACAGATCAAGTCAAAATTATTTTTGCTGATAGACTGCATTTATATGCCACCTTTCTGCCAAGGCACCTAAGGCTGTTTACAATTTAAAATACTTGAAAAACAAAAGCAGAGTCACCTCAGGTCATTAGTGGTCGCCTCAGAAGCTGACTGAATGAGACTGAATGAGTTGGGTTTTTTTTATATTTCATTGAGATCTGGTTTTAGTTTATACCAAAACAAACACAGCAGCAGCAAACTGAAATAACAACAACAACTGAGGGAAGAGGGAAGGGGAGAGGGATCGGTTAGCATTCATAGGTTTTCCTCATTTTCAATTTAGGGGTGTCATAAACAAAATACTTTCAGCTAGGAAGAGAGTTTGGTATAAGGCTTGCCTGGGCAAGAAACATTCAACTGCTAATTTTTAATTCCATGTTCCTATTACCAGCTCCTGATGTTGGTTATAAAGCTAAACTACAAAGATATGTTGCCTAGTAGATATGGTGATCTGCAGTCAGCATCCAATACCTAAATCTAGGTGGGAAGGATAACTAGTATACCCAGATATGTTCATCTAAAAAGGTGGCTTTGTATTATATTTATCTGGTTATGCTAGAAGTACCTTTTTGAAAGCTAGTGTTTGTGGAACGTTAAGAGGTACCTCTGCCCCTTCTGCCCACTACAATGTCTTCTGTCCACCATGTCAGAGAATCAGGAAAGTTCACCACACAAGGAATATGAGGTACACCTACCCTAGCATTCTGGATGACCTTAAGAAGGGCAGAGAAACCCTGAATATGAAGCTGTATGTTCAGTGGGAATGTTCCATTTATGGCCCAAAGATGATGACAAGCAAGGCAAGAGGACAACTGCATCTCTGAAATCCCCCAAAAAACCAATTCTCAGGATTATCAGCCCTGATTTGGGATGAAGAGAAATCAAACGAGTGTGACAGGTAAATGGGTATGTTAACAAAATCAGGGACTGACTGATCCCTGCTTGATCATAGAGGTCTTTGGGGAAGTCAATGTTAATGGCTCCTCGCTGTTCAGATGTATAAGGAGCAATGCATTCTTACTTGTTGGCCCAATTTGTTGGACAAGAATACTTTTTAAAAAATATTCCAGCAGGCTTTTTAATTGAATTCTGATTTTATAGTTTTTAGTCATTTTCAGTCTTATCATATTGGGTCTTTTGTACAGTGTTTAGCTATGACTGTGATGAAGCAGTATACAAATTGGGGTGGGGGGTAAATAATACAAGTCAAGCACTTTCCACTGACTGTGCCTCACACTTCACCAAGGTCTGGGGCCATCTTAATTAAGGAAATGAACCAAGGAAGAATGTAAATGGTATCAGGATAGCTCTCAGAAACTCAGATTAAAATAGGGCAGAACTGTCCTACAACATCTGGCAATCATACAGAGGCCACATCTTTGAAGGATGTCATTTATCAAGACACATATTCCCCCCAAATAAGACAAGTACCGCAACAGCAACCACTACCTAGAAAAGGATTATATACATCCCTTCATCAACCTTGCTTCTTCAGAAGATGTGAAGCCAATGGAAAGGGGCAACTGGATCCCCAATAAAACACCCCCCTTCATGTGTTTCAACACCATTTGTATAGATTGCTCAATAAACTGGACCTGAATGTGTTCTGAGAAAAGTCCTTTTGTGTATGTTTGGTTTTTAAATTAAATCAAAATAAGTCTTTAGTGGGGGTGGGGAGGGATGGTATGAACCTGAGCAGAAGCAAATTTCAGCAGAAAGCCTACATGCAACTGCAAAGCCAGCATCTCCCATCATGGGAAAGTTTTTCACACAGCAAAAGGAAGTGACATCAGAAGCCAGGGGCTTTTTATTAGTACAGCACCCTGCTAAGCTTTACAAAAGGGGCAGTGTGAATTCTAAAGACTCTCTTATTGCAGAGAAGAGCCCTTCAATCTTCCCTCAGGCTGCAGCTTTTGTATTGCCTTTACCACAACAGCCTTGTCTGGATTTGTTAATGATCATTTAAGCCCCCCAAAAGGAATTGCTGCAGATTGTACCTTAAGACAACCACCGAACAAACCAAGCCCCACTGCCACCACAAAATAGAAACTAGAAAATCCCACAAACCATGTATATCACTCACTTCTTTGGGAGCAATAGGGCATGTAAAGAAACAACACTTGCTATGAGTTTCTTCATCTTAAAATATGTCAACTACAGTGGTACCTCGGGTTAAGTACTTAATTCGTTCTGGAGGTCTGTTCTTAACCTGAAACTGTTCTTAACCTGAAGCACCACTTTAGCTAATGGGGCCTCCCGCTGCTGCCGCACCGCTGCTGCACGATTTCTGTTCTCATCCTGAAGCAAAGTTCTTAACTCGAGGTAGTATTTCTGGGTTAGCGGAGTTTGTAACCTGAAGCGTCTGTAACCCAAGGTACCACTGTACTCCAAAAAAAAGAAAAGAAAAAAAGCAGAAATCGTGTTTCCAAAACACCCAGTTTTGAATCTTTTATTATTTGAAAAATGTAGTCAGCCCTACGTTAGCAACCTTTCAGTAATCAGGTCACCTCATTTGTCAAAACTTCTATTAATACGAATAATTCAATCAATCAGAGCCACTTTTGAATAACAGGCTACCAATATGGCAGCTATTTGGACTATAGGCAACTAAAATCTTACCTGCCATCACCTCCTAACTTGCTTATGTTCAGGTTACATGCAACTGAAGGGCTACTGTGATTTTTGCCCAGTCTGACACTTGCTGTGGCATGTGACTACTGTAGCTGTGCAAACTCTCAAGAAACAACCTGTACCTGTCATGATCATAATCACCATCATTTCATAAAGCCTTAAACTGCTTAGGTCAACAATACCTAAGGACTGTCACTCTCCATATGAACCTACCTGGGCCCTGTGGCCATCACCTGGGGCCCTTCTTTGTGTGCCCCCTTCCATGAGAGGTCCAGAAGGTGACATGAGAAGAGGCCTTTTCTGCAGTGGCTCCACCATTTGTGGAATGCTCTCCCCAGGGAGGTTCGGCTGGCACCTTCATTATACACCTTTAGATGCCAGGCAAAAAAAGTTCCTCTTCACCCAAGCCTTGGGTTGACTGGCATCTGATGCCCTTCTAAACGCGTCGTGGGAGGGTGTATTATTGGTTTGTTGTTGCTCTTATCTTTTACTATGTATTTTGTGGTTTTTATATTGTAATTTTATGTTGTGAACCTCTCTGAGATCTCTGGGTGAAGGGTGGTATACAAATTTAATAAATTAATTTATTAACTAATAATATCTGTATGACACATTTCCATAGTTAAAACCATGCTCAAGTCGGCCTATGACATGAAAAGACTTGCACAATTACAAATATAACAAAAGTAGTCATAAACAATAAATAAAACACATCAAAAGGTACACAACCAAATCAAACAATTTCCACATCAATAATAATATATTTATCTTTATAATCGTAATTATAAATATACAACAAATTAATATCAATAACAGCAACAAAAAACCCTAACCAATGTCCCAGCCAAAGAGTCTAATGGCACAATGGTACTGTTATATTTGGCATACAATGCCATGATAAGAAGCTACACAAGTCCTCTTTTGGAGAGAGGATAAAAGGCCTATTGGCCCTTTAATGCTAGAAAAAGAGAGTGTAAGCAAAAGCACGTGCAGGCATTTATGTAAAAATCTCTCATCTTACATTCAAGAATCAGTAAATGAGTTACTAGCAAGGAAAAAAGGTGGTGAAGAAGTTAAGAGCAGAAAACAAGCTGGCAAATTTTCTTTCAAATTATATGGCTGATTTAGTTGGTTCATTGTTTCTTCCTAAACAATATTCCTGGAGATCAAGATAAGCTTTGCATGAACTAAACTACTAGCCTCGACAAAACTGTTCTGCAAAGCGTAAGTTGGCAAGGGATCAAGCGTGAGTCTACCCAGCTTCAAAGTTTTTCCGCAGGATAAACAAGTCTGCAGTGTGTCACTACTAAGTAGAGAGCTATGATCTGAGCAAATAATTTAAGCACATGAAATTATTATTGGATTTACTTTCTGTATAGAGGTGGAGGTTTCCCTATCATAAATTTATCACTTTTGGATTTAAGTATGACATGGATGTCCCCAAGCCATTCAGTATATGAGGACGTGCTAGTACGGGGGAAACTGGTCTGAGTCAACAGCTTAGGAAACTTGTTCATTTTGAAATCAATCACACCCTCCCACACTTTGGGTGCTTCTCTTGAAAACTAATTTATTAAAAAGTAAAAGTTTATTTTTTTTTAAAAAAAATTGCCTTCACATTCTTACGGGTAGTGAACAATCAGTTACAACATTGATGCTGCTTTCTCAAATGTTTTCTCTTCCTTTGCAGATTTGGCTGCAATGGTGGGTCATCAATAAACTCCTCACAGTAGCCAAAACAATTTTCGGCACCAGGACACAAGAAGCATCCTTAGTTGTGATAGGGTCCCAGGCCCTTTCCACCCTGATGCCACTATCTAGTCCAGGCATGGCCACACTTGGCCCTCCAGGTGTTTTGGGACTACAACTCCCATCATCCCTAGCTAACAGGACCAGTGGTCAGGGATGATGGGAATTGTAGTCCCAAAAACATCTGGAGGGCCAAGTTTGGCCATGCCTGATCTAGTCTAATAGTTTCAGTTCCCAGTCCACCAACACCCTCATTCAAGAAATATCACAGAATCATAGAGATGGAAAGCACCCTGAAGATCATCTAGCCCAACCCACTGCAATGCAGCTGTTCCGTAGGGGGATCGAACCTGCAACCTTGGTGTTATCAGCACCATGCTACAGCTAGCTTTACCTAATCTGATCTGAATGAAATCATAACATAATCTAGGTCTTAAATGGAACTGCATGTCTTGGATGGACTTGCCATAATGTAGATATAAAACTCATAAACCATCTACCTGTCTACAATAGCAGTAATAATAGGCATTTATTTAGTGCATCAAATGCATATGATTCTTGCAACAACCCTGCAAAGTGAATCAGTATTATAATACCCACGTTGTAGTACAAGAGTGGCCAGCCCATGGGCACATATGCATAGTGGAGAAACAGTCATGGGCACCACACACAGAGAGAGCACAACTTACACCACCGGATACAACAAGATGCTTCTTTCAAGATTAATTTCAGAGGGAGGGAGGAATCCTGTAGGTGCCAGATAAGACCTCTGTGGGTGATGCACTGGCAACCAGTGTTATACGGGGATGAAGGCAGAGTAGGGCCAAGGGGAAATCTGAACAGACATTCCTTGGTTCACTCTCTTAGCCTTTTCTGCACCACACCAGTCATGCTATCAGGACAACTTTAATTTAGCATGTGTTTGTTTTCCTTTATCAATTTTTGCTATTAATTAATCTGAGCTGACCTCTTTGAACTCCAAAGGGCTGGTGGAAAACCTACCACTGTCTTAACATTTATACTTCTATGCAGGAAAGTAAATGCAAAGCCATCTTTAATTATAATACTGCAACCGTTTATACTTTTTTATTTGGAAGGAAGTCTTAGATACCCGCAGAAGGGATTTTAAGTGAACTTTAAGATCACAGCGTAACATTGCAACCCTATAAACCATAGTTAAGGAAAGAAGACGCAATTATCGCCACACACACACACACACAACAAATCATTAATTAAGATGCTAATTAAGAGAAATCTTCTGAGGGTCAGCACCATTGCACCAGGAATAACTGCCACTTCAAGGTGCAAAAGCACACACAGCACAGAGAAAACAATGGCTCGTAGGATCAGTTCTTGACTTAATAACGCAGGATATGCAGATATTGCTTCCTAAGCCAGAATTTGATTGCGTCAATCTACCCTGTGAGTATACAGCAAAGGGACATTTTTGCATAAATCAGTGCTTCTGATAATTCGTTCCGGAGGTCTGTTCTTAACCTGAAACTGTTCTTAACCTGAAGCACCAATTTAGCTAATGGGGCCTCCTGCTGCCGCTGCGCCACCCGAGCACGATTTCTGTTCTTATCCTGAAGCAAAGTTCTTAACCCGAGGTAATATTTCTGGGTTAGCGGAGTCTGTAACCTGAAGCGTCTGTAACCTGAAGCGTCTGTAACCCGAGGTACCACTGTACTACACCCCAGATGCTAAATCAGGTTGTGCTTCTAGGACTAATGCCTTGAACAAGACGGTGCACATTCTCATAATATTAAGAAGAAATACACAAACCAGTAGGGAAGCAAGTTCATGGAAGACTCTCAGCCCAGTATGTATCTTGGATACATGAACAATTGTCTCCATTAACAGGAGAAGAAAGTTGTTTCAGGTTTTTGACTGGGCATCCCATGAGATGGCACATTCAAGTGTAGTTCAGCCCAGTTTGTAGCTCAACTCCCCCTGCCAGATGAGTAGAAAGAACAAACTCATGTCCAAGACTCATAACCGGTTGAGCGTTCTCCGTGGGATATAATGCGGAACAGGTCTGTGATCAGCTGTTGAGGTGCAGAAATAATGAGCAAGAGATAAAATGAACAACTTTAGAAATAGAAAGTTGCCAGACACCAAAAGGGAGCAGCAAAAAAATATCCTGGCTATTCAGCTTTTAGGTTCTTCTTCAGTCAAAACTGTCACAGTATGCTGTATTCATCATGATATACTATAGATCTAGAGAGCGCAAGCGAGCTTTCATGGTAAAATGAGTTTAACCACACAACAGTGGTCTTCTCTGCTGTATGTAAATATTTGTGCACTTTGAATTGCTACTGAGGTCAGAAGGTTTGGAGGAGCCGCGCATTATAGTTAGCTGCACAGCAAGGGGAATGGACAACCAAATTAATTTACTGGGTAAGCAGTAGGGAAGGAGGAAACTTTTTTTACATAGCTGTATTAGAGAGATTGTCTGTATATGAATCATTTTTTTATTACCTCACTGGCCTGGGAGAACAATATGCAATATATTATGTGTTTCTACTAAGACACCTGGAAAGTACAAAATGAATGCTAAAGTTCTGCGTAACTTTTAAAACTTCATTGTCCAAAACCAAGTTTCTGTCCTAAAAAATGCAGAGTAGCACTTGGATCTGCAAGGAATTTTCTTAAGACCCAACTCCTAGCTGCTTCCCCCAACAATATTTCCTTCTATTTATTATTTCCATGCAACAGATGACAGGTCAGATAGCCCTTTAGTGAGAAGTGAACAGTTCAGCTGAAAACAAACCAAGTGCAGAGGTCAAGCATAAGGTTAAGACTATCACAGAGTCTGAGATTACATTATCTTTAACAGATCAGTTCGTGTATTTCAGATGTGCTACAGTAATACATTTCTGGATGCACTGCAGCTACTGTTTTGTGGTGCATCAGTGGAAACAGCGGGTGGGGGTGACAGCACCTTTGTCGATTTCAGAGAACAGGTTTCAATGGAAAGGCACAATTAAAAATCAGCTATTAAGAATTGTAAAAGTGAAAGCAACATCATACCCATGACAACTTGGGGGGCTCAACATTTGCGACATTAAAAATTTGGGTGAAGCAGAGTTCAATGTTAAGAGCAGAATATTCTCGCTAGACGTGTCTAATATGCTTTCCTCCGTTGAACAGCCTTGATATTTTGCCTTGAAGTGCACCGATGGCGATATGACAGAACACTATCCAGATGCCCTCCGAAGGACTGGAGTCTTTGCAGCAGAGAGACACAGAGAGATTCTATCACAGAGTACATGTAAAAGTTTATCTTGCTTGGGCAAAAGCCACCAGCAGGTTCTGTACAGAATATGATACAACTAATTAGC